AAGTAGAGGTGGGGCGGTATTGGGATGCAAGCGATAGCACGACGACAACGATAACAACGACCACAATGAGCTATGCTACAGATTGGGTCTGCAAAGACACGGATACGAGTAGATACAGATACATGAGGGTGAAGGAATGGATTATTCAACGACGGGAAAACGGACACCGTGTCCGTAGCGCTCATGAGGACTACCGTCCAGCGAGAGGATAAATGGGTAGAATGGAAGACACAAGACGACTAACGCATCCAGATCAGGGAGCTTAAATCACGAGGTACAGAGCGATGACTGTGCTTCCGACCAGGATGCTCACTGTACTGGCACTGCGATCGACGACGCTGGCGCCGCCAGACTGCTGTGTTGTATCATCGAGATTTCCCTAGTTAGAGTAGCTATTAGACTCGTCAACACTTAAAGTGCACAACACTCACAGAGCTCTTCGTTGCACCAACTACGTTCGTCTCGCTAGGAGTGGCGGCGGACGAGGACATACTAGCAGCAGGGACGATGCCGGCGGCAGCAGATTGCGGAGGTGGCATGTCGGGCGACAGCTCATCCAGCACGTAATGCATGGGCCACCAAGGGGCAGCAAGCACTGTCAGATACGTATGAGCGATTCCCCTGGTTCCTGCGTGCACAATTGACGTACCGGACGGCGCTAGGCTCGCCACGAAGGCGAGCGCTACAAAACTGCGCACAAACACGCTCCAGAACAGGAGCATCGCACGATGTGAGGATGAACGACGCAGTGAGGTGTGAAGTTAGGATACAGAACGAAAGGACGCCAGCCCGGATGAAATGGCGAGTCCGAGAAGGCAGACCACGGATTATAAGGCGGGATACGTACAAATTGCGCAGCGCGTTGCGAGTGGAGACGAGTGCGATGCACGTTATATGTGATCCACTTCGACTTGAAGTAAGCCCAGCGGAAGACGGCCTTGTATTTCGAGACGTGCATGTCGCGTTGCCGCTGGAGCGGGACAACTCACTGAAGCTTCCTCGTGTAAGGCAGGACTAACACAAGTCTATATCCGAGGGCTAGCTTGTTTACGCAGAAGTTCTGCGTATGCGACTAGCTATGGCTTTCCTTGTATTCTGGGGTGTCGAGCGCGAAATCGATAAGAGTACAACATGCCTCGTAGTTACTTCCGAATACAATGTCTCATTGTTTTGGTCTGTTGACGTCAAGCCACATTGCAAGTTCTACTCGATCGATTTTTTGCACTGCAAAATGACAGTACATAGAATCGAGTGCGACATATTAATATTGTACGATTCATGCGAGCTGGACTGCGAATGGGCCATGTGCTTACACTGGTGGCAACTGTTCACACCGTGGAGAACTGGTTCTAGCCGTCTCCAGTAACAGCGAGGGCTGCAGGCTTCGGTATTGCATAACGGAAGGTACATACTTCCTATACAACGCAGGGCCTTCAAATTTGCATGAGTGCCAACGGTGGACTCGCAATGATTCACAGGGTGGATATTATAACAACGATGTCCATGAGAGTGTGAATAGTCTCACACGTGAAACAATAAAATGGGATCTATGCCCTGCCAGCTCCTCCCAGGGCAGAGCGTAGATATTGGTCCAACGTTCTGTTGAGGTCGACGCGGCGGGCTCGATATTTGAGGGCAGTGAGTGTACCATTTTGGTAGCGTGACATTATATCCGGAGCTTCATTCTTTGGTCCTGTGGCCGTGACTAGGCATCGTTGGGTCTAGGGTAGAGGAGCATGAATGGTACCCAAAGCACAGGCTTCGACCCGACTCACGACGTCAGGAAGTCCCTGAAAGTATTCAGCCGTCATGGGCTCTGGGTTGTCCGTGATGATGTATGTTCCTAAGTAATAGGGGGCACCGCCAAGGTGGGCGATCAAGTCTATTTGTCCCTTTGCGATGCGCTTGTTGAAGGCTTTGTTCTTACACGGTGCCCACTGTCCATTGTGACAGACCATGGACGGCTTGATGAAGTACGAATCCTCGATGGATTCTCCAGGAACGAAATCAGAAGCAGTAACAAAGAGAACGTGATTGAATCCGCTGTCAAGGACATGGGTTCGGTCAGCCGGCATCTCACGATCGAGATGTCCATTTTAGACGCACCATGTCTTCAAAAAGGTGCCAGGATTCAGTCACGGTCATCGGTCAGTAAGGGCCATCGTGAACCTACCCTTTGCAAGTGGTCTAGGGCTGCTTGAGTGATAACTTTCATAGGAAGCGGCGTGAGAACGTCTTCGATCCTCCTGCCCTTAGCCTGTGCGGGACCAGCAACGATCATCTCGCCAGCTGGGCGAGAGCCAGAGCCAGAGCTGCCTGTCTGGGTCATTGAGACCGGCCCCCGTTCACCAGACTGAGATGCGTCGGCACCAGGAGGAGCATCGGATCGAACGACCTTGTGTTCTGACTCTTCCAGCGCAGGGCTCGATGCGAACTCGGTCAGGCTGACCATAGACCCTGCCGTACTAGAACCCGAGTCGCCAACGGTAGCATCATCCTCGACCAGGGATTCGCTACCAGGTTGGAGCGCCGTAGTAGACGGCTCGCCGTTCACGTCCGACTGTGGCTCTTCTACGAGGACTGATGTCCGAGGCGGCTCCCTATCGTCCGCCGGCTGCACAAACATCAGAATCTGACCCAAAAGCATCTGAAAAAATAAGATACTGACGTCGGCTGGATTCGTCGCGGGTTGTTGGGGTAGATATCCACCAACGCCTTTGTACACTTGAGCGACCTTGTTGCGGACAGTACCCAGGAGGCCAGGCCGGCTGGATGCATCCTGGATGAGGCGCTGAGATCATGCAGCTGAGATCCGGAACATGTAGGATAGCGTACCTTCACTACTTCGACGGCCATACACAATGAAGCCACCTCTTCCTCATGTTGAGCGATCGTAGAAGCGAAGCGCTCATTCAATTGTTCGAGATGGAGCTGCCGCCGATGAAAGTGCACGAGAAATCAGGAACACGAAGATTCGCTCACTTGATTGGCTTTACCTGTCGTTGATTTGACTCAACGGTGAGCGTCTCAATCTTTCGTTTCAGTTGCCCATTTTCCTCGCGGAGGAACCCCATCTCCACCTCCATTCCTGAGGCTTGGGACTGCAGACACGTTGACGATTAGTGAGGCCAAACGAATCAGTCGACACCATACTTGAGACGTGGAGCAGGCTTCTTGGGCTCCTTTGAGAAGCTCTTGGAGATCGCTGGACTCGACATGTGCAGCGAAAAGCTGTTTGACCAGGTCTGACACCCGTGCCTACCAGGATAATGTTAGAGAAGTTGGGTGGAAGGGCGGCGCGAGGCGAAGGAGATGTTCTATCACCTCGTTTTTGACACGCTCGTCTTCAAGACGGCCCATCACACCATGTGCGTCGACGAGCTCGTCTCGAGCGACAGCTAGTTGCTGTTGCAACTCGTCAACGTACTTCTACGCGAGTCTGTCAGTCATCTTCTCAGCTCATGTGTCAAATTTTCGAGTCACCTTCGAAGCGCAGAAGTCCGTTTGTGTTGTTCTTGTGGGGGTCCCGTCCTGCAAATTCCATACGTAGTCAGTTTGTGTGCATCAACGTCGGAGCATCTATCAATATGCACGCACTTGCGTTCCATTGAATCCCCTGGTAGGAGCATGCGTCATGTGAGACACCAGCTCTTGGAGCGAACTCTGGCGATACACAACAGCGTCACCGCACGGCTCACTAACCACTCAACATGACGCTACCTGCATCGTACGCGTGCGGTCACTGATTGAAACGAGCTCCGTGCGGAGGGAATCGCTACTCTCCTAACACTATTGATTTGCACATTCGAGCTCGACATATTAGACGAGTGTGCGTACCTTGGGTGTGAACGCCGCTTCAAGAAAATCTTTCCGGAGTTCATTGAATTGTTCGAGAGATATCGCTTCATGACTGCCTTGCCGTGAGCCTCCCGACTAGTGTCATGGTAAGCCGGTGAATGAGGGATGTGAGTGACATTGCCTCCGCACCCTTTCATTTCCGAGTTCAACTCGAAGACGGATAAGCTCTGCAGCTTGCAGAGCGATGACTTCTTGTGCTACGGCTGGCGATATTTGCACGATCGGGCCGGGCGCATTCATTGGCATAATTCTGAGGCAGAGTCAATGTAAATTTGGGGTAGGCCGAACTAGCACGGAGACTTACAAGGTCGAACCACGGGGCGACTGCTTGAGCAAAAATCAGCTACACCTGGAGCAAAACAAGACAGAACGGGAGTGACCGCCGTGAGCTTCGTCGACCGTTAAGCAGCAGGCATGGTGCCGGTGTATATAAGAGGCCTGGAATGCGTGCGCCGCATCACGGTCGTCAAAAGCCTCGTGGAGGCCGCATTCCTTACCGTGACGCCACGGTGCCATTTCAAAGTCTAGGTCAGAACGCTTCTCCAGGAACATGTGACCCTCGATAGCACATACTGTACGTAAGTTGTTAGCTCTGCCAGCAAGGCGCGGAAGACGTCGTGCCACACTCACCCCGCAGCACTGATGAATAGACTTCCAGTAAACAGCGGGTACCGTCCAGGACTACCAGGGAAGCACTGCGGCGATGCTGCTTGGCATGGGTACGTAGCTTAGAGTGTCAATTATCCTCACCAGCAACCCGAGCTTATTGAACCCAACGTTGTGAGAACATCTCGCAGGTGGCCTTGCGTCACGAGTTCGCACTGTGGCAGCGCAGCGACGTCGAAACATTCTCGTGAACTTCCACGTGTATGGGAATCGGGATCGTACGAAGTCATTGCGGTATTTGAGCGTACTATAACGAAGGATAGACATATACCAAATGCTCGGTTTCATTCATTCGGTGTGTTCGTCAGGCGTTCTGACGCAGATATCGATTCAGCTTCGAGTTGAAGCCAGTTCTCCGCACCGGGAACTTGAGTGCAGAGAGCTTCCCACCCAAGTACAACTCTCTCAGAGATCCGTACTCCGTCGGCTTCCCTGACGAACCGACAACTCCTCGTTGCGTCTGTGAGATGTCAACAAAGAGCGAAAACTACTGCCAAGGCCGACGTTACCTTCTCGGGAAGCCGTTCAAATTCCTCGACATTCATATGCTCTGCTTCCCCCACAGTATAGGTGCCTACGTAGTAGTAGGCTCCCGAGAAATAAGGAATGACCTCAGTAGGTCCTTGCTTTTGGAGCCGCTTGATGGACTTTAACTTCGCGTCTTGCCACTTTCCCCCCTTGCCATGAAATAATGCCGGTTTGACAAAGTGCCCCGTATCCGGACAACTAGCCCACACAAACTCAGCAGGAGTTACGATGACGATGTTCCGGATACCCCTTTGAGGCAAGTATGTGTTAGTCGCGGGGGCAAAGGTCAAGAATGCTACGGCTCACAAAAACTAGGAATTGTAGCGCGGGTATTAGAGCCAGCACGCAGGCTATGACGAGACTAAAGACTAACCTCGCTGAGTACCCGAAGATTGGGCTCCTTGTTGGACAACGCTCGGAACATATCTTCCAGGACGCCTCCCGGTGTCATGTACAAGCGAGGGTCGTCATGGCTGATAGTAGACAACGAGGCGGTATTTCCTACCACGACATCATCGCTCGGACACTCACCCCCTTGAGAAGCGATGCCACTTTCGATATTTGGCTTCTCAGAAGCCTACAAACGCGTTGATGAGCAGATGCGGCGACCATTTCGTCGGACTCACCTCCGCCTTATCACTGTTGCCGATCTGCTCCTTCAACTCGACGACCTCGATTAAAAGTGATGCTTCTTTGGCCTAGATGGCGCGAATATCAAACCTCCCCTTCTTTCAATTCGAAAAGACCACCGACCTTGGCTTTGGCCAGCTCTTCTTGTGTCTTACGCGTCACCCATTTGTTGAGACTAGACCCCCGCAAGAACGCAGTTGTTGCATTGTCTTCAATCTGTTGACGTACTTTCTGCCATGAAATCGACTCAGTATGTTGTATAGATCCACAGTGAATGAGAGTCGAGCCATACCTGCTGGTCCGATATCTCACCGAGCAATTCCTGAATATGTTGAGAACATAAAGCTAGCTGATGCTCTAGCCATCCTTGGTCCTGCTGCACATTAGATCAGCGAGGGTTGACATTGACACTGATGGGTCGGACCTCAGCACCCCGAGCTCTGTCTTCCATCTCATCCAACATGTTCTCGAGGAAGCATACATCATCATCTGTTTCCTGGAGGCGGAGAGTGTTCTGCCTTGCCTCTTCTACAAAACGCGCCTGTGCAAGGTGAGTTCACCGACCCTCGCTCGTGGTTAATCAGTTACCTTTGCCCGGCGCAGGTCCTCGTCTGAACCCGACCGAGCAGTCTCGGCCCGCGTTGCTTTCTCTTTCAGCACATCGTTGGATGCCTTCGTCACCAGTCTCGTCAAATCACCTCTATTTTCCCCATGAGCCACTCACCTCGAGCTCGCAGATTCGATGTTGCGAGTCACGTAGCTGCGATCGCAGCTGGTTGGTGATAGACTGGGAAGTTGTAGTCGATAAGATCTGGTTCATATACGCTTGGAAGGCAAGACACATACTTCTACAGCAGACAATTTTTTGCGTAACTCTTGATCGCATTTAGTGTCACGACCCTGTACTGGAATGTCAATCCGATAAGTTGTGGTTAGGGATCCAGCTGACTTCTTTGACAATGTTCCGTAATTCATCAATCAAATCCCGTATGTCGTGACGCTCCTTCAGCTCGTCCTGCATATATCTATCAGTAACCTTCTGGAGCACGGTGCATCTCGTACCTTGGCTACTTTCATTTCATGGCGCAGACGGCAAAGCTCTGCGTCCTGCAGCGAGACGACATTCTCTAGCACATTCTTGGCAATACTGATACCTCCTTTGAACTGCATGGTCTCGTTGATGGCGTAGAATATGCGATCGAGTAAACTCGCCAGCAGTTGAGATGTGCGCAACTGACGAGCGAATGTACTCAGCCGCCAACGCTCCAAAGAGTTGCGGGTTGCTGGTATGAATGCCCTGTGCAGAGCCTTCATATGAGCTATCGAACGTGACACAAGCGCCCCCATGTACGCTTCTTCTCTTCGGTCTCCCACCATGGGACGCCGATTAGTTTACCGCATTCATTACAAGCAAGGTGTCTTGCCTAACATAGCCCGATCTCGAGCCAAAGTGGCGCCTGCAGGCCGTCTTCGTCACGGGATGATCACACCTCATGTACTCCTATCGGCGGAGCGAAAGCGCAGACATTACCCTGAACTCAATCATTACACCAGAAGCATGTACGAATCTTGAACCGTCTGCGTCACTCGCCATCACCTGACGAATCGCTTTCTCCAGCCTCGAGCTCCGCCGGAGGGTGCAAGGCTTGCAGCGCGTTCACGAGACTGACGACCAGAGCGTCGTTGAATGACACTCGTCTCAGAGTGAACTTCGTAGCGCTCAGCTCTCCAGCCTCGAAAATGGCGTGAAGCTGTTTGCGGTGGCTCTTGTGGCCAGACTGAGACAGGAGAGCTCCGCGGGTCTGATGCGCCTCTGAGTAAGCAACTCGGGGGCAACATAAGTTAGCACACGCACCTTATTCGGCAACGCCCTCGAATCCTCCAAAGATAGCGCGTCCTTTGCCGTGACTGCGTACGTCCCGAGGTAGAGCCAGCTGCCTTCCGCACGAGCGATGAGTTCGATCTTGGGATTACGGCGCAAGAGCTGTCGGTTGCCTTCTTGCCATTGACCTTTCTTGCTGAGTCGACGATCAGGTTTCACGGAGAATCCCACGTCAGGAAATTCCAGCCAGTGAGTCTCGTCGCCAATTACTACTATGACGTTCTTCTTTCGGCTAAAAGCGCATCCAGACTGAGTATTTCCAGGTGTAAGATCGTATGTACACGCACTGATACTGATAGCAGCGAGTCAGAGCACTGATATAGCGACAGGATGAGTAGAGTCACCTTTTTGGTCTCTTGTATGAACTTGCGAGGTGTGGTTTCGTCGCAAAGAACTACAATGCCACGAGCATCCTTGTATGAATACTGGCCAAGACTGACAGAAGGCTCAGAGCCTCGCATTCGGTCACGAATGCGCGCAACCTCGGCTTCTAGTCTGGCGTGCTTGCCCTGGAATACGTACAATTAGCCCTGGCAGGTCGCAAAACAGCTTGATCTGCACCTGCAAGTCGCTGTAGCCCGCTTGCAGCTGAGCCAATTGCTGTATCAGAGACTGATTCGAAGTCTGCAATGTTCGCATCACCGAGTCGCGATATTGTAAGGCTGACACAAAAACCACACACCTCGATATCTTCCAGTCGGCTGCGGAGCTGCTGCCCTTCCTCGCGATTGAACGCCGGAACGATGTGCTCGACACCACTAGGTACGTCGACGTGTGTTGTTGCCATGTTGTCCAGGTCCCAACGACTGCAGTGGACCACCGGTTCTTCAAGGTGGGCGTTTCTAGCCTTTCCCAGGCTGACATGCGCATGCAATGAGGCGCGTATTCGTATGAAGATGCGGTTACAGTTACAGAACGCATGCAAAGAAAGACGCACCGCATATTGAACTCAATCTCCATGAGGCGATTGCGCATTGCACGAAGCACTCCACATCTAGACACATTGGTAGGCGGCCGTTCATCACAGGCTAGGCATGCGTCGTCGAAGGTCAACATAGAGTTTGGTTCATGCTTCTCCAACGACAAAGGATAGTGGATTGCATGATCCCGAAGTAAGGCAGTATTTTGTTCGCACTGGGCTTGCATAGTAACTCTTCAGTCAGTGTCATCAGAGCCCTCGCTCTCTTCGCCCTGGGGGCCACCAATGCCGACGTTGGCACTGGACGCGAGGCAATCCCACACCCGCTGGTTCACCCCAACCCTTCTGAGGCTGATCTTGGTCATCGTTATCTCGCCGTTCTCCAGCATGGATCGCAGATCGTCACGGCGACTCTTGGTCCCAGCCAACGTAATGACACGGGATTGCACCTATGCACCGATCATCAGAGCAGCGTACCGACGATTCGGAGCAAGACACTCACCTCTTCAGACAATTCCCGGAACGAGTGAGCCGGCAATGTCTCCGCCGAGACCGACGTATACGTTCCCAAGTAGTACCACACTCCAGAGATACATGCCATCAGTTCATTCGCGGGACGACGCAGCTTGCCATGTTTGACGGTGGTCCAGTTGCTCTTCTTGGACAGTCTACGGTCCGGTTTGATGACGTATCCCGTCGCCGGAAAATTGTCCCATACAACTTCGCCCCGCGCGATTATCACACTGACTCGTCCACTAAGGGTACTGGTGAGCTTGAGCGAACGCCTGGTATTGAATGCTTACAGTGTCTGGAAGTGATCGTACCGGGGTAACGTCAGAATACCATCCACTCGAGGAGCACATCGCGTCGAACTCACATCCTTCATCATCTTCAAAGGAGCGGACGCGGTTCGCTGAGAAGAGATGGGCAAAATAGCAGCTTCACCCTCTTCCGGAACAGCACCAACAGCGAACGGACGTGTCGAAGAAGCCTCCGTCCCTGGAAGCGGTCTTTGCAGGTCTGCTAACTGCCGCTCCAACTGAGCCTGTTCTCGCTGAGATGCAATTAGCCGCGGCGCAGTCCAGTACGATGTCAGCCATACTTTGACGGTTCCTGCTGCTGCTTGAGCCTTTCTCAACTCAGCAGTCAGACTCGCATTCTGTGCCTTTGAAATAAGTTGAGTGAGAATGTGCCATACTCGCGGGACGCGTTGAGTTGCTTACCTCCGCGAGTGCAAGCCGTGAGCGAAGGTCTTCCACCTCCAGGTTGCTGAGCGAGGCGATCACGTCGCTATTGTTGCTCTCCATAACACCCTACAATACAGGGGAGAACTAGCTGCTAGATGGTATGCGGCTGGCGCGCATATACTGTGATGGAGTGAGGACAAGGTTGAATCGATGAGAAGAGGACCGTCGAATTGTATCGACACGAGGTCCAATTGTATCCGAACCCAGTTACATCCACGCTATTGACGCTATCAGCGATGATACGCGTGCCAGCCATCTTTCAAAGAATCAAGCTGACGAGGCTCGTTGAGTGGCTTCAGGCAAGAATATTTGCAGTAAATGACGCGACGCTACGGAGAAGTCTACGGTGAGTGATGTCACCCTCGTGTCAGTGCTTCAAGTTGGAGGTACACGCAAGTCGGAACAGCCAAGGCTAGAGCGAGCTTGTTCGTATTCCACATTGCGAGAAAGAACCATAGGCCCTTCTACTTCAGCGGGATGACCTTGGGGCGAGGGCGAGCCGCTTTGGCGCGCGGTGCTGGAAGATGCGTACAAAGATGGCGAAGACCACGCATATAGACGTCCAAATCATCGACATGCATGAAGCAAAGCAAGATTTCTATATGCCCAAGCATCGACGTGGCAGTACTAGTATGGAAAGAAAGCATCGAGGCCGTCGAGACTCGACGACTCTCGAGGCATTACTTGCCTGCCCTGAAGCTACTCTACACGTGCTCTAACAGGCGCGGTACACTTAGCACTGGCATTATACAACTGGCATAACGGAACTACTGGGAGACTTTGAAATCTCAATCCTCTGGCATCTTCATTTCGGCCTCTAGACGTGCTCGACATTCGCTTTATTCTTCGTTGGTTCCCGTTGAACCTCACCGCTCCCTTCCGGCAAGCTCTGGTCCACCATCCACTCCCAAAGCTCGAGTTGATTGTACGCTTCCGTCCAGGAGTCGTGCCCGAGGCCAGGATATCTGCAGAACTTCACTTGAGGCGCGTGTATTTGCTGCAGCGCCTCGTACATCTCCTTAGACTGCGAAATCGAGATGATGTCGTCCCTCTCGCCATGATGGATCCTGTCGCGATATCAGTACGCCAGTCATGCAAAGACCGTCTTGGTGCTCACCACTGCGGGATGTGCTTGATGTTTAGTGCGAGCAGTGGCTCACCTCCTCCGCATATCGGCACAAGGCTCGCGAAGCGTCTCGGCGAATGCTGCGCCAGCTCCCACGTACCATACCCGCCCATCGAGAACCCAGTGGCGTGCACCCTCCTGATGTCGACGCGGTAATCCTCGACGATCTCATCGAGCAGCGACGACAAGGCCGGCGCGTTCCACCCGTATCCGTATTGCATGTTCAGGGAAGGTGTGACCGTGATGAAGCGTTCCGCGACGAACTCGCACACGCTCGCGGGAACGGGCGTCGCGCTCAAGTCCTCCTTCTGCACCCGTTGTCCGCCCCTCAATGGGATGTCGACCTTTGGCCCTAGGCCGTCTTTCAGTCTGTCGTAACAGAGGATGATTTTGGGTACGCCATGCCGCAGGGTGGCGTAGCTTTCCTTCTTCCCTCTCTGCGACTCGCCTGCGCCGTGGAGGAAGAACACCAGAGGCCAACGCTTCTCGCTGTCGGCATCGTAAGAGGGCGGAAGAGACACGAAGTACTCATAACCGAATGCAGAGGCTGAGCGGGTCTGCTTGTAGAACTCGAAGGAGATGTGCTTCGTCTTTGCGTACGGGTGCCCGGGATCGATGCGGACCTGCTTCGTCGTCGACATGGCTCGTGGAAGGACACCGGTACTGGTGAGGCGCTTTGCGTTTGAATGCTACCCGGGGGCGGCTGCCTTTGCCACGGTCCTTTATACGACGTCTCGTATACCCGGAACATCGTTCTCCGTGTATACGGTTCAAGTACGGGCCATTCCTCGGCTTGCACCAAGCTTGCACTGCAAAATGTGGAGACATCACGTGCGGTATGCGCATTCGCATTGAACTGGCCGTCGACGGTAAGTTACCAACAGGTCAACCTCAGCGCTCAGCGCTCAGCTTTGGCTCAGGTCCCAGAGCTCTGTCGCATCCACAGGCTTCACGTCGCGTTGGTTTAGTTGCTCGGGAGGACTGGAGACAGCCATAGGTTCGCACAGCTTGGTCCGGCAGAGACAATATGATTGACTCCATATATGTACGACAGGAGGCAATATTACACAGGCAAGGAGCAAATGGCACAGAGACAACGGATGCGCAGGTACAGTAAGTATTGATTCCAACGTCCTCAACTACGTAGAGTGAGTCCATCAGTATATGCGATTATATCGTACATATGTACCACGTAACCGTCCATCCTTGATGCACATGTTGGACCGTCAGCAGTGTCACGCCCATCCGCCGTTGCCATTCGGTGGCGAGCAGAATGCACATAGACATTCATTCGCGTACCGCGACGGAAATCGCTGCGCACGGAGCACGAGAATTTGTTCAAAGTACGCGCGTTGAGATGCCGAGGGCACGACGATGCGCGCGCTCCTCGATTGCCTACGCGCCGCGGCCAAAATGGCGTTGTATTGTGCGAGGGAGCCGTCCGGCCACACGCCAGGCTGGAGTATTTCGACGCGCCTCGCACGCAGGACCAACACGAGTGTATGGCCGAAGTGTTTTTCCACATACCGCTCAAAGACTTTCAGCTCCTGCGCCGGGATGGTGACTGCATATTCGAGCGCTGTGAGCAGGGTTCGTTCCAGTTCGCCGACCTTCTCGCGCGTGTAGCCTTGCCTAGCCATGGTCGCGATGGCCGCGTTATTCCAGTTGTGGTCCATCAAGACCTTTTGCGCCACGGTCAAGGCTGCAAGAAAGCAGTCTGTGGCGGACTGGAACACAGGCTCGGGACATTTTGTCTTGACTTTATCGACAAGGTACAGTGTGGCTATTGCGACATTGCGGTGGAAGTTCCCGATTCGGAACGTGTTCGAAATGACATTGGATAAGCCATTCGGAACGAAGGTCACCAGAGCCGCATCGTTATAGTGTATATGGTCTAAGAACCGCGCGCTGAGCGCGACCAGTTCAGCGTGGGCGACATACTATTTTGGGGAGGGGGAGAGAATGCAAGTCAGCGGAGGATAATGTAACGACCGGAGAGATGAACGCACTGTGTGATCAGGCTGGGGCGCGTTCATTGTGATGATTAGAAGGGAGATGAGGATGAGGGATGCAGTGAGTGAATGAGCGTAGAGGCCCATTTTTCCTGCCATTTATACGCTTGTGCGGAAGCCACACATCAGGCCTATTTAGGAGGTGGCCCGGCCAACCCCAGGAGGTGTGTATGATAACGATGAACATTACCTGACCCGCGAGTAAATTCCAGGACGGGATTTGGGGCGGAGGAGCGGAAGGGAGGATGGCGTTAGCGGTGTTTCAATGTTGTATGCGAGGGGGGACGACAAGCGAACGTATCACTTCAAAGAGTGTGACAATGGAGCCGACGTAAATGATATATACTCGACGTCTGTGCAGGTAAATTACATGACACGCACCGCACGTTCCGTCCGAACGCAAGCCTCGCTAAGCCATGACTCACGTTTCATCAGGAGGTCCACGGTCCATATTAGTGCGTTAGCTTGTCTTCCATGGTGGCGCTGTGCCTAAAAGGAGCGAGTGACCACACTCGCTGATGGTGACAACAGAGCCCGTCAGGGCTACATCTGATACAGACTCCCTGCAGACCGGTGGCCGCTTCGGAATCTGCGTAGAAGAGGTCGTCAGCTCGCGAACGTCGCCGAGTATGATCAACACACACCTAAGTCCAACCGACGACGAAGCGTAGGGTATACGCGTGCTTGTGCACAGCAATGCCCTATAGCACGGAGACATGTTTAGTGGGAGGACCGTACATTCGTTCACCTACACGATCATGATACACAACCGCAACGAGAGGGAGAGATGTCTGCACGATTTAGTACTCGATTGTCCATCGAAAGCCACGAATGGAGAACAGTCAAGCGTGGATCAAGCAGTCAATCTCCCACATCACCAGTAGAGGAGACGAAGGCATTGAGAGCCATGTCCCTAGGCATTAGCGAGTGGGTACGGAGCGCGTCCACGCCCGTAGGTAGAAGTGCACAGCGGGAAATTTTCCAGAAGAGTGCAAAAGTCGCGAAGACGAGCTCAAAAGCTCATGTAGAGCTCGTGCAGAGCAGAAATTGTGTCAGCTTAGTGTACGATGGAGGATAGAAGAATCACAATGCTTGAAGTTGAAGTCGTCGTTGATCTCACCAAAGAAAACGAGAGTAAGAAGGAACGGGTTCTCGGCGAGCTGGCAAAACGACTCGACACGCAGACGCCTGCCCTGAAGCCGATGAACCACGTGATGATTCGCGTGTTGTTCGCGTCGCGCGCCTGGTCGTTGGCGCCACAACCGATCGTCCTGTACCATCTCTCTGCGTCCTCTCTCCTCCCCACGCAGCCCCAAGACTTCAACGGATCTTGAACAAACCCAATCCACTGCATCATACTAGAAAACGGGTAATTGAAGCGGTCTCTGAGCCACTCGTATAAGAGAGGATCCAGTACCAGGTTTCGCAGTTACACATCGAATTGCAGGTACGCATGCATGGTCATCCTCGGCGTGCATGCAGTAAAAGATTCATAGCCATAGACAAGACAGGATGATTCTAACACCATCCATGGCGCCTCCGCCCGCCTTCAACTCTGCTACGCCATCCGCACACGGCACGCGACCTGCTGTGGTGCAGCCACCCCTCACCCAAGCATCTGCGAAGGCTCCGGTTCGCAAAGAGGATCCACAATGCTCAGACGCAAGCCTATCACACCTGAAAATCCCTTATGTGCTTCTAGACGCTTCGGTGGTGACGCATACCATGGCAGCGAGGCTGGCCATGTCACTGCTAGGCCACATTCTCTTCCTCAAGAGCCAGATTCCTTTGTGCGCACATTCCGTTTCCTTTCTATTTCGAGACGCTTATCTCCGCCACAGCCCGGTGGTCCAGCTTGCCCGCATGCCAGGTGGACGGTCCGATACACGGGCAGCGAAGCGCCGAAATGACCTCCTGGCCACAATCGACACGCTAGAGTCTCATATGCACACGACATTTACCGCTCTGTCTACTGCGCTCGCCCGTCGCAAGTCTCGAGATGAAGATGTTGCTTTGCCTTCGACGGGTACGGCGCATCTAGCCTTTGTGCTTGGGCCGAGTGTCGGAGCTGCTCGTGCGCGGATCGTATACACTGTCAATGGCTTGGAAGTCAAAGTGTGGGGTGAACGAGACGATATTCCGGGTCCATCTAGACATCCACGGGCAGAGGAACCCGATGCCGATGACAGCGAAGAACAGGAGGAAGCCGAAGACGACTCAGATGAACAGAGCGAAAGCGGAGACGAAGAGTCCGAAGATGACGCCGAAAACGCAGAGGATCAGACGTGAGCGATGAGGAATCTCCGTCCGGGCCGCCATCGTCGCGGTCACCTTCACCTTCACCCCCAGCTTCCCGCTCCCAGTCGCACACATCGTCGCCGACACGAGAGTTGTCAGAGAACGTTGCCCCACCACCAGCGCCTCGACGCGCCTCGGCGTCGCCACCGGGTCAAGTATCCAGTCAGACATACGCGGAAGAACAACAGAGTCTACGCATTGCGGAACGACTTCTCTCGCGAACTCTCGCGAATGCTTGCGCAGAAGACGGCGGGGGCATGTCCTCTGAGCTTGGTACGGGTTCCTCGATTTCATGCGTCTTTCAGCATCGCTGATTCTCTGTCCCAGCCCGACGCAAACCCACATTCTACTCCGCGCACCGAGGCGATTCGCGCACCCTGCGTGGATCCCGAGGCAAAACCTGACACGTTCGCTTGAAGGGACACTCCAATCTTCCTCGATGATGCGTGTGCCGCGGACGACGCTGCACAGACCAAGAAGAAGGGCCTCGCAAGAGGAGCCAAGACAGAGGGTGTCTGGGTAGGGTGCAGTAGCTCGAATCTCGCTGCTGGCATGCAGCTTGGCAGCGACGTTGACGAGGATGAGGCAGACGAGATGATCTGGTGGGTATGGGACGGAAAGATCGTTGGGTTCTCAGACTGGTGAACCCAGTTTGAATACCACGAGGCGACGATCGGATTTAATTGGCTCGTCGTGGAGGACCGACACAGATCGCACATTGTTACCACACGTATCCCTTGCCTGTACATATACCCCGCAGTGACGAATACGGGATGGTTCACATCTAGGCAAGATTCCTGGCGGTTATCGTCAGGATTGGCAGAGGTATCAGGTGGTGTTCGAACATTCAAATGATCAGAGTTAACCTTACTAAGTACCCTGGCGCGTCCGGGTCAGATAAGGATATCCTGAGGCACGAAGGTGTAAGGAATTGTCCGTCTGCCTGGGGAGACCATTGGGAGACCAGCTCAATGATCTGTCCGGCGCTAATCAGAAGCTAATAATTCAATAATAGCAGGTCAGTAACCATAAGTACTTACTGTGATGTCGTAAGTACAGAACTATGCACTGACATAGTACTGGCATCTATCATCATCACTGCGAGCATCCCACACATTGACGTGACCTATACCCTGTCCGTCTCGTTCCATGACTGGCCAACCGTTCTACCGCCATTGTTCCCTGCATTTCCCCTGATTCGGCGCGCCGCAGACACGCGGTAGGCAGGATTCAATAATTCATGGCCGCCGTACCGCCGCTAATTTGCGTCATAATCCCGTAAACGACCCGGCCTCGCCCTGACAAGGTCTGTGCGATGCGGGGAACATGGGAAAGTTCGCAACTCACCGAACAGTAGGCAACGAGGCGAACAACAAACTCAAGCTCACGTCGTACGACACCCTCTTCCATCCCTCCCCTGCGTGACAGTCCTTAAACCGACCGTCTGGTGGATCCAAAGGAGTCGTACCGCCGCCATGGGTCTCTCGCAGTCGAAGAAGTTCAACCCTGCTAACCTGCCAGACCTAACGGGCAAAGTAATCGTCATCACTGGCGGCGCGTGAGTGTGCCTTGTTCGGGTCTCAGGCACTCAGCCTCTGACCAGCATGTCCAACTTTGTAGAGCAGGCCTGGGATTCGCGATAACCCAGCACCTTGTCCGCAAAGGTGCCAAAATCTACATCGCAGCGCGTGCCATCGACCGTGCGGAGGATGCTATCAAGAGGCTCAAGGCGGCGGGCCTCGGTCCGGGCAATGGACAACTCGAGAGCTTGGAGCTTGACTTGATTGACCCGCATACCGTGAAGCGGGCGGCGGAGGAGTTCATGCGCAGGGAGAGCCGGTTGGATGTGCTGAGTGAGTTGCGCTGTGTCTCGAAACGTGCCTTGTTCGCTGACGAGCCGTAGTCAATTGTGCTGCCATGTAAGTGATCGGTTAGCCAGAGGATCGACCCGGTAATGATACAAGCTCCTCTCTACAGCATGATGTGCCCGTATCAGAAGACAAACCACGGTGAGTTAATGACGCCTGGCAGTTGTTTCCATATTGTCGGGCCCCAGCCTTGAGAAGTAACGCTATGGAATCCGCTGTCAGAGCGGGACTGAACGGTCCTATAATGGGCATGTATCCAGTTGTGCAGTCCTGTCAACTCGCAGAGTTGATCTAGTCGCTTATGCCTATGTGAATCTACGTCGGATCCTGGCTTCAGGTGACGCGCGTTCTGTGTCACTTGAATTCAGTACCGACTAAAGTGTGGGACCCAACGATATGGAGATACTCATATTTTGTAACAATACCGTGCTGACGATCGAGGCATGTAGGTATTCAGGATGTCGTGATGATCAAGTTAGTCCATAGGCATCCTATGTTCATCACGGAACTTAAACAGTGTCCAGCCACATCGGACATTTTGTCTTCATCAAAACACTCCTGCCCATCCTGAAGAACACCGCGAGCGAACCTAATAGCGATGTCCGCATAGTGGTTGTAAGTCCGTCTGGTTACTCATGAAAAATCACACAAAGAATGACATGCTGCCTAGGTATCCTCTGATGGCTACGAGGCGGTTCGACACCCTGTCAAGTTTGAGACTATCGAGGACTTTAATCTGGAGTACAAAGACGCTGTCTTCCCCTGGCCGTCGTTGCAGCGATACTGTACGGTCTCGCCGTGCACCGTCAGATAAACCAACTGACAGCTATCGTTTAGGCTATAGCAAGCTACTTGTCTGCATGCAGGTCGCAGAACTGCAGCGACGACTGGACGCAGAGGGCGTCCCATCATTGTCCTGTCCACACACCCAGGAGCGGTCAACACAGGTGTGTGTTCAATGACCCTGCTATTTCCGTCCCGTCATGTCCCACCTCAGAAGGCGGATGTCGCCGATCCGTGAGCTGAAAGGGCCTGCACGCTGCTGTGCACTTCAGCCACCTGCCTCAGATTTATGGTGGCGACACCTGTCACTGATCCTGCACCCACAGATGGCGCACAGAATTGGCTCGCCACTCTCGGTACCGGCTTCCTCGCGACCCTCGCGACTTGGATCGTCAGCCTCTTCTTCACTCTCCCCACAATAGCCGCGTACGGCACCGTTTTCGCTTCGGCCGCGCCGGAAGTGCGCGCCGAACCTAGAAAGTATCGTTCTGCATACATCACGCCGCCTACGAAGAACACTGGGCTGAACGAAAAGGCGCGGGATCCGGTGGCGGCCAGGGAGTTGTGGGAGTTGACGGAGAGAACGCTGAAGGACATCGGCGTGTAGTGCCGCTTCTAAACGTGTGTATCTTGTGTGCTCGTGCAAAACCAGCCTTCTGGAGCCGTGCCCACAATGCTGTGCCTATCTACGTACATATTCAATAGTGTCAATATAACTGGGTAGGAGGAGGAGGAGGAGGAGGAGGGGATTCCATTTAGTCCTCACGTCTGCGTGCCATAAGGCACAGTTGCACACCGTCAGTGCCGCACCAATCAACGTTCGGCGTTGTAACTTACATAACTGTGGCTTCCAGCCTTTGAAATCCACGCCAAATAGTCCTCGACTTCATCGCTTCTCGATGGCAACAGTCACACTACAAGGCGGACGCTATGGCAGTTTCACAGCTTCGGCCATCTCTCCCTCGACGCTATGGGTCTCTTTTCGAAGTCGTTCAGTCCTGAAACCGACCTCCCTGACTTGAAGGGCAAGGTCATCATTGTCACTGGAGGAAAGTGAGCGTCATGTACTACTTAATCCTGCCCACCTATGCCCATCCGCGCCCTAACTCTATCCGCGCGTCTCCCACATTTCGCTCACCACCTGTGAACCTCCAGTTCCGGCGTAGGATGCGCTGCCATCCGGCATCTCGCGCGAAAGGGCGCGAAGGTCTACATGGCCGCACGAAGCGAGGAGAAGGCGAAGGCAGCGATCGAGAAGGTGCAGAAGGCCGGCCTCGAGCCGGGCAACGGCGAGGTCGTCTGGCTACCGTTGGACTACAGCGACCCGAGGGATGCGAAGAAGGCGGCTGAGGTGTTCATGGAGAAGGAGCAGCGCTTGGACATTGTTGGTGAGTCGGTCGTTGTCTGGAACAACGGGCGGGCAAGTGACTCTGACCGACTCCTGTTCGAACGCAGTCAACTCTGCTGCATTGTACGACACTCTCCTCGTGTCAGTTGACTGTAGTTCTGATGTTGACGATATAAAGACTCTTGACTCCGTTCACGAAGACGTATGATGGTAAGGAGTTCCTCCCTGACTTCCCGTGACGACTGCCCATCACCGAATGTACTCATTAGTATTCGCCTAGGCATCCAAGAAATTGCAGTGGTCAAGTATGCCCATCTCTCCAGAATGCTAGATATTCCAAAACGAATGCATCTTCCGCAGTTACTTCAGCCCATTTGTGTTCATTCGAACACTACTCCCTCTGCTCAAGCGCACTGCCCAAGAACCAAAGAGCGACGTCCGAATAGTAATGGCAAGTCTGCTTGTCTCTTTGCATGAAACAAATCCGACTGACATATTGCTCTAAGCTCACGTCAGAAGGTCACCGTATGCCTCCGAAGGACTGCCACTTCCGCAGTATCGAAGACTTCAACCGTGAGTTCAAGGACGAATCATTCGCTTCGAATAGGCGATACAGTATGTTTCCTCCAGGTTCGTGTTCACAGCTCCAGTGCTGACCTTGTACTCGTACGGAAGACTTGAGCAAGTACATGGGCGTCCTACATGTGAAGGAACTACAGAGACGTCTGGATGCCGAAGAGGTTCCCATCATCGTCACGGCCGTTCACCCTGGGATCGTAAACACAGGTGACACTAGTTTATACCTCGGCCTCTCAGAGAAGTGTAGCTTACATGACTCAGATGGCGTTCAGAACTTCGCTCACTCCGCGGGGACCTTCAAGGCTCCTGTGTACGCCTTCATCGCCAACGCATTCTTCACCAGCCCCGAGAAGGGCGCCTACAGCACCGTTTTCGCGGCAGCTGCTCCAGCTCTACGCGAGGATGTGAAGTACAAGGGCGGATACATCGTGCCTCCAGGGAAGCTAGGCTCCGTGTATTCGCCAACGGAGGACCCCGAGCTCGGGAAGGAGCTATGGGAGACGACAGAGAAGATCCTCGCAGACATCGAAGTTTAGGTATCGAGCACTCCTTCTCAAGACAACATGTCTTTGTGTATTATCTCCCTTCTCGCTCTCTCTGGATGTATCTGTTGGTGGGCTCTGGATAAATTGTGGGCTTACAGCCTCGTCACCGACCAGACCATCAGCCACAGCTTTCCCTGCGGTGGCGCCGTCGCATAGATAGGGACGTCTCGGAGCTCCGCCTCGACCTTTACCGTGCCCTTTGTGAACACCTCGCCATCCCACAGCGCGGCCCACGACTCGGGTGAGTGGCAGAACACCTGGATCACATCCGGGGTGTCATCGCCGCCAGGCTGCGAGTCCCGCACGCCCTTGACGTCCGCGCTGTAATGGAGGCCAAGGATCAGTGTGCCGGGGAGAGGCGAGAGTAGACTTGCGAGGCGCTGTGCGAGCGCGAGCTGCTTCGTCTCGTCAAAAAAGGTGCAAGAACGTCGCTGCGTTGATCGCTGAGATGCGGCCTTGCAGCGGAGTGAGGCTGTTCAGGCTCGGGAGCGCGGGTGCTGGCGTGGAGAGCGGCGCGTAGAATGGCAGCGCGCTCGTGAGATAGTTGGCGTCGAAGATGTCGCCAGGCATGGGTCTGTGACAAGCTACGCTCGAGGGGCCAGTTGCAGGGTGTGATTACCCCCCGTACCTATGGCTTCTTCGCTGTCGCCCTATCTGGCGAGCAACTGCCGTTTCCGCTTTGGGACTCTGAGGATTTCGAGCTCGACCTTCCCGAAGACGACCCAGAAGACGACCCCAGTCGCGACGATCCCCTGCCGGATGACAAGTCGGATGAGGTGTACGACGAGGGTCCTGGGGGCAGGGAGCTCTCGCCGTGGTGCGACTGGCAGCCGGATCCTGACGCACCGCTCTTAGCTGTTATCGTCATGTCATGTGGGGGTGCGGTTTACACAAGGGAGGATGATGCCGACAAAGCGACGCAGTGAGTCTAATGCCTTCACTCTCGATCAATGTTACTCATAAGTCGGTGTACCCAGAGAGGACGTACGTGCGATACTGGATGACTTGGCAGCCAGCTACCTATGGCACGGTGATCTGCGCCCCAACAATCTTGTGCGTGCGCCGGCAGGCACGGAACTGTGCAAGATACACAATCGTGTCCACGAGTGGAATATCATTGATTTTGCCTGGACCAGCGTCGACGATGCAAACGGTGATACCGAAATCAAGTTGAAGAACATACGTGACCACCAACGCTGGGGCTTTCGGAGCTATTGTTTCTGGCATGGTCCCCCTACTTGAGAATCATGTTGCTCGTTCACATATAACTTAGTGCAGCTCCGTTCGTTACATATCTGCATTGCTGTCCAGACTTTCTATTGCTGTCCACTGTGTACATGTATATGTCCTAACCGTCCGAAGGGGTTGATGATTTTCTCAAATGAATATTACGGGCCCTGCTGAGGCTGTACGCTAAAGCTGAAGAAGGTAGAATCTTCGTCGCGTACGATTCCTCAATCGACGGGGCATATACCAATTAATCAAGTACACGACTCTGAACGAGTTTTACTTGCGGCTGCGACCAAAGGAAGAACGAAACAGATGCGGGACAACTGGGTCGGCGCTCCAGTCCGTGTAGTGAGACAATATGGAATGCATCAACAAATTCTACAAGTACAGTTACAGTTCTGACAGTTATTCGTACATACACAGACATAATAATCAACGAGAGCATACTCGACGTTACACCATTGCTTTTACGCCACCAGGACTTCTGGATTCAACAGTCGTACGCCACCCTGGCCCCGACCCACGGGTACGGATAGTTGTGCTGGTAGAAGTTGCGCACTGTGCAGCGCTCGCCCAGGCGGGGGATGGTCGCGTACGATGCGCCGAGCTTTAGAAGGTGACCGAGTCAGCGAATAATTTTGCCAAGCAGAGAAAAGCACATACCACGACCTGGTGCTTCGTGTCATAGAAGTCGGAGGAGTAGCTGGAAGGCATGACTCGATTAGATGACGCGCTGCAGTAGACGCGAGACCGTACACACCCAGGGAAGATGCTCGTGCCCGCGAAGCCTTCATGCATGTCGAAGAGCGTCGACGTCCACTCCCAGACACCGCCGTTGGAGCCCCGTCCTTCGTCCTTCTCGCCCCCGGCCGTCGCACTACACAGTCGCTCAGCCCGCCGCCAGATTGGAGACAAGACGAGTCAGTAAAACTCACGGCATAGGGTGCCAATTTCTGAAACCCATGTTCGCGCCCTCCTCGTAGCCAACCTGGTACGTGTCCAAGAACAGCCGCAGCTCCGGCTCCGTCGGGATCCGCCCGCCCTTGCTCGCCGCATACGCCACGAGGTCGTCGTACGCCGTGAGCACCGGCCAGTGCCGCGCGACGTCCATCGGCACGGACCCGTACAGCGCGCGCACGCTCACCTCGCTGTCCTCCGAGTCCGAGTCGAGCACCCAGCTCGGCGGCAGCCCGACGCGGTCCTTGCCCGCGCCCCGCCAGAAGTCGAGGAAGTCCCCATTTGTGACGGGCCGCCAGGAGATATTGAACTGCCCGACGGAGACGGTGCGCTTCGGGCTCTCGTTGTCCCAACCGAAATCGTGACCGGCGACGGCGTTGGTAAACTCGGGAAGGAGATCGTCCGGCTCTTGGTCGTCGTGGCCCATTGTGAGCGTGCAGGGTCCGAGCGTGGCATAGGGCGTGGTAGGCGCAGGGGTGGCGTCCCATTGCGCGGCGAGGTGCTTCCAAGGAGGGGTGGCGAAGCCGGGCGGCGGGAGCATGCCGGTGCCAGCGCGCTGGATGAGAATATAGAGTAGGGTCTATATTACCCTTGGTCAGTGCCAAGTTGAGCTGACGGGCAGATGGGGACCAACCTCGATGTGGAACCCGTCATGCTCCAGGACCATCACCAACGTCCTCGCGAGTCTCCTCGTCAAAGGTCGCTCGCCCTTTTTGACCTCCTCATACAGCCGCATGAGGCGCTCCCGCACCCTGTCGCGGTACGCGAGGACCTCGCCCAGCGCGGGCCAGTCCTCGTCCTTCTCCGGGACCTCTGAGTGCGAGTGGCAGTACTCCGGGTCGTCCACGTGTGGGTCGATGCCGCGCTCGAAGATGCTCGTGAACCGCACGGGCTCGACGGGGCGCTCCTTCAGGTACGCGGTCATGAGCAGGTTGAGGAACGTCGGCAGGTGCCCCATGTAGAAGAGCGGCTTGTGCCGCAGGTCGATGGGCTTGCTGTGCAGGAGCGAGGGTGGGATCATCCCGAGGGTGATCAGGTCCCACACGCGCCAGCCGTCTTGGAATTCGGAGAGGGAGGGCATGTTGTAGGGGCTGCCTGTGGGGTTCAGGGGCGAGCAGGGAGTGAGCGAGAGGCGGGGGAAGGTGACGGCGGGGCGCTCGAGGATGTGGAGAGCGAGGGAGTCGTCGGTAGGGGATCGGAGTGTCACGACGATCCGGAGATGAGCATCCGTAACTATGTTGAGCATGTCCTCAAACGATCGCTGCATAATCGTTCGAATCAGCGGCTAGTGAGGCAGACCAAAGATACGTACGCGTCCCGTCTGGACATGCAGCTGGTCGAATGCAACCGCGTCAGTTGCAGCACTCAGAATTGAGGCGTTCGTTCGGTACAATGCCACTTCGGCGCCTTCGTCGGTCCTCTTCACGCATTCCCACTTTTCTGCGTCGATGAGTGACTTGTCCTCGACGACGTCGGCCGCCTCTTCCAGCAAGGTCCGCGCAGCGCCATGGCCTTCCAGGAGGAGCACACGGTCGCCGCTCCCCTGTTGAGCCGGCAGTGCCTTCAGGAAGGCCGCACTTGACTCGTGGGTGAGGAGGAAGTAAGCAGGGGCAGACTCGACGGGCGGAGTAGACGGCGCAGTCGAGGTCGGAGAATAGGAGGACGACGAAGAGGCAGAACGAGACATGGCGGCTGGATATTGGAGGGGCAGATTGCGACTGAAGCGTCACACTGGGCTGTTCGGACGGAGAAAATGCAAGCTTTTATAGACGAGCAGGGGAACAAATATGTACAATGCAGTGGTCACACGGAGGAGCAGAAAGGAATAGACCAGAACAAAACGTACCGAGACATCGTCTCAATTACGCGCCCATGACTTCGATAGCATAGATTTTGACACATATCGGGGGCACTCCTGGGACTCGGGAGAGTAGCCGAGCAACAGACATGGTGAATCAGAAGACCGTAGGCACAGATTATCGCAGACAAGGTTGGCAGAACCATCGGCAGCAACGGAAGAGACAGGCAGAAGGACGCCCGCAACACCGTGGCGCTGGCGAGAATTCGGAATACGAAGCGATGGCGACCCCAAAGCTATCGCGCACGACCTGCGACAGGGGGACGAGGCACACGTTCACCGGCACGCGTGCAACAGATTGCCCAGTCCTCGTGAGAAAGAAGAGCGGAGCTTGAACAGCAGACACGCCTGAGTAGCAGCCGCAGGCAGCAGTTCCAGAGACTCTGGACTACACAGCGCAACAAAGAGCGACGGTGACCAGATGGTGCAGAACAGAAGACCTGGAGTACCAGTGGGGAGCAGTCGAAGCGCGCAGGGAGAGGACGTAGGCGACAGACGGTAAGGCGGCGGCGATAAGGAGGGCGTAGACATAGGGGCTGGGCAGGCTGCAGCATGGACATCCGAAGACAGCCGAGCGAAGGTACTGCGTGCAGAACATAGCGGGGCCAGACAGTTGCCTACAGTGGCCGAGAGTCAAACGGTGATTGGGGTAAGCCGCCTGTAGCAAAACCTGGTGAATACTCCCACAATGTGTACACTGACTGCATCGCGAAGTGTCGGGTCAGACCAGGATCCGAGTACGCACCACAGTAGGCCATTGCTCCCCACCTGCTGCCTTCCACCCGGGAGAAGACTGTCCGTCATGACAGCTTACCACAGGGCATCTCCATCCCGAACGCATCGTCGCGACTAGACCTTATTCCGCCAAAGGCTGATTACCTGTGAGGGCCTCGCATTCCTCCGCGAGGCAACGCGATACGCCTGAGAATGCACGTCGCTCGGATACGTCAAAGACTTGCATCGAGGAAACGTCGTATGCGCCCAATGTGATCACGTGCTTGACCAAGAGAACCATCCAACCGCGGCAGATAAGTCGCAAACGACGAGGTCAACGAGCAGGTATAGAGGATAGTCGTGACGAAGACAACGCAGGGCCGGGGCGAGATGAGGGCAGGAGGAAAGGAGGCCGTTGCATCCAGCGAGGCGTTGCAACTCAGACGGTGGCGAACGATGGCGCAATCGCGACCTACGGTCACGTGTACCGTGTAAACGCGTCCTTTCGCGTCTCCTCGTCGTCTTTCGCGTCCTGCTCATCGTTGTTCGTAACTCTTGCTCACGAAAAATACAGAGGTATAAGATCTGAACACAGACTAAGTGTACACCGCAACGGCTCCATGTCATAATTACCACTTCTGGAGCACCCATGACGCATCAATCAATCATGGGCGGGCCTGCGCACTTCCCCATTAGCGTCGACCTCGAACGAAACCCCACCCGAGACCATCCGAGTACAGAGGAGTCCACAACTTTAAACGATCGAGTTGCGCCGCTGCCTACGCTTCTCCGACTTCTCAGAGACCGCGTCATCGCTCTCTGTGCCCGCGTCCCTCCGGAGCATCGCGGACCCCGCGCTACGGCTGCTCTCGAGCGCACCCGCGAGCGCAAAGCTCTTCTGCGCCATCTCCTCGGTGCTCGTCTGGTCCCTGGAGGATTCGAACGCCGAGGTGCCGCTGTTGGCGAAACGGACGCCGCTCGCCGGCGGGAGCTCGCATGTGGATTGGGTGTACTTGCGTAGGTATACGCGACTGTTGAGGTTAGTAAGGAATGTGTTCGAGTACCTTGAAAAGCGTGAGTGAAGGTGAGGTCCGTCATGCCTATGAGACGACTTACATTTTCGTGAGGATAAGCGCAGGTGCCTGATAGACTAGCGTCTCGTGCAGCTAAGAGGCAGTCAGTCTGACCGTCATCTCCCGAAGAAGCAGCTGTGTTGACTCACTGGTCGGATATTCGCGGTGATGAGGACGAGGATCGAGAGACTGGCTACGAAGGACCTGTCAGGTTGAGCGCTGACGCGAGAGCTGTAGAGACATACCAGTAAGGGTGCCTGTCTCGACCACAAGGCGGACCATCCTGTTGATAAGCGCGTCTGTTGATGATATCCCTGTCTTTCTCCTCAGGAGCTGCATTCGCGTCATTGAGGGGATATCCGAGAAACGAACGCGCAGAGGACGTACGAGGTAGGTCATGCACACGGCGATAAGCACGTCGACTACGACAGTCCCCCCTAGCCAGAGCTAAGTGCCCATGAGCAGGTTTCCGAGAGTGCATGATCATACGGGACTGACGATTGCGACAGTGAGTAGCTGCCCATGCAGCGCGGAAGCAATGCCTTCAGCTTTCTCCTGCACCAAATGCCTCGGGTTCAGCCATCTGGTACGCATCCGCCATCGGCGACGACTGACCTTCACTCCCGTGATTATACATGCAATCGTCTGCACCACTGCGAGCTATTCACACACCGCAACGACCGTCAGCCCCAGCACATTAGACCAGACCAGAGAGTACGCACGGCGACAATGAACGCAGCCATCGAGCCACCCAGCACGGGCGACCGCGACAGCTTGAAGATCCGCCATGCAAAGAATATCTGCACGACGGCCGAGATGAGCCCGCACATGATCGTCGCGGAGAACCAGGTGTTGTGGAACGCGAGCACCGAGATGACGTTCCCGTAGTCGTACACGTAGATCTGCATTGCTGCGGCCGTGATCAACCCGGTCTGCACCCACTCGTAGATGAACACGCTGAGCACTGTAAAGGAACAGTGAGCAGTTGGTCGGTGTGTGGTCAGTAAACGAGGAGAGGGCGTACCGAGGAATTTGAGGGAGAGTCGGTCGGTCCGATTGAAGTTGTCGTAATATGAATCTAGTCGGGAGTGTGGGCCGAGGACCTATACAGACAGACAAGGTCCGACTCACAGCATTGTAGTGTTAAGACTCCCAGGAGACCCCAGTTGAAGAAAACACCAAGTAACTGCGCCGTACGACGTCAGTCCTTCTCAGCACTATGCATGCTGCTGTACAATTAACCTGAGGTCCGGCACTAACATGCGTCCACGCAGAGAGTCAGTACTTTACCCGACGGACTAGAGCGGAGGCGTACAGCAGCGGTAGAGACGTCGGTAACGCGAGGGGGACCGTCGCAGGCGAAGTCATGGCTGTGGTTCTGATACTATAAGCTGGTGAATCGGGGAGCTTCAACGAAGAGGACACTTCGTAGGAGCACGAAGTCGTAGCTAGATTTCCCCAGAATTGGGACGCGGCAGGTAGAGGCTAACACGGTGCGGGGCAGGGCACCCCCAGTACGGATGACCGCTCACCTATATACAAAGTTCGATCACCTGGGGCGCACAACGCGAGTAGAGTAACTTTTTTTGGTCAGCAGCGGAGACTACAACGCGAGGCAACGCGCGATGTTCGATCATGGATGAGTAAATCATCTGTTATTTGGCTGTGCCGTCCATATCAGCATAAACATAAGCCCAGACCAACGAACAGGGGCAGACCTTGGTTTTGATATGATGATGATGGACTCAACAGTTATTAACCGAAACAAGTACTAAACAATGTGCTAAGACGCGGGAGACTAGGAGACCTTAGTTGCAGGCTTTATGCGTGTGCCTCCGAGTCATATCCACTGTATCAGGAATATGACGTGGAAATGAGACTCAGCTCCACCAGTAGAACATATGACGGAGGCTTTGAAGTGGGAGGGTGCTTCAGGACTCATCCAGGATAGCAACAAACCCGATAACAATCGAGCTGCAGCCTTGGGCTGCCGCATATGGCTGAGGACCAAAGTTAGGTCGCAGCAATTGATGGCCATGGGGCCTAGGCTAGAGCACAACGTGATCTGCAATATCTGAGCACGTCCAAGGCATGTCCTGATACGCCCAGCGATCCAGTGTACCTGAGCACGGGGAGGCCATGTGCGAAAAGACGTGGACTATGTGGGGTAAGTATGGGGCACAGCCGTGAACCGTTGAGTGTGTTAGTATTATCGTTCAAACGTTCACCAGTAGGGCAAAGCTGGCGGAATAAGAGCGATCGTAGCCAATCTTGCCGTCGAGTCGTGGCTGTGATTACATCGGCAAGATCCCCCCAATCCCCTCCTCCTCCTCCTCCCCAAGTCGTTGGGTCAATTCTGATCACGAGTCAGAACGGCGGCGAGGAGGATATGGACACAACGCTGGAGGAAGAACGCTTGAAAATACCGTACACGAGGGCATGAGATGATACACGCTGAATGTCGGGGTCGTGCTCAATGATTTGTCGCAACGAGAAGATCACTTCCGTATCCTGCGCAAAACGTCAGAAGCTGATCGAGAAGCACAGCCAACACTCACCAGCTGCTCTTCTTCTCGTGACTGCTGATAACTCTGTTCTAGCTCCTGCATAATGCGATCTTGCGTCGCGGTGACGTCGGCGCCGTCTGTGCACTGACAGTACTGCTCCAGGTATATCCTACACCGATCGGACATGGATCCCTCTTTGCTTCTAACGCTCACCACTGGCGAATTTTCCCACGGTCCGAACCTCTGACGGGAGGGGTATACGGACGTGAGGACAGCAACTAGAGCTTCCAGAAAGCTCTCTAGGCAAATATAACTGGTACCTTACGCTACACAGACTCGATGTCGAACTCCGCAAAGGGAGGGGCGACGTCTAAGGCAGCGAAACCGGCGGCATCACCGACGACACGAAGCGCCAGTGAGCGACCTAACACGAGAGCTACAGCCTCGGCGCCGCCGATGGACCTAAAGACAGAAAGAGAGAAGGTGGACTCGTACGATAAAGCGTACAAGGTCCTAGTGGGCCGAGCACTAATCCCGGAAGAGACCTTGCCCTCGGTGGGCGCCCTGGTAGAGGGCCTGCGCTTCTGCGCCGAGACGAGCAACCAGGCGCAGGTACGAGAGGCCATCTATGCGTTTGCATCTTATGCAGAGGCTATCCGCGACAACCGGCCCGCCGCCAAGGTCCTGGACGACCTGCGCCCGATTCTCGTGCACCTCACGGAGAAGAGTGAAGCCGAGCCAGGGCAACTCAACGAGGATAAAGCCAGCCGCCTGGAAGAGATGGTGGATAGGCAGGCGCAATCGACCACGGAGCTGAATGGGATGCTGGGGAGGCTCACGGAAGAGGTACGTAAGATCGCTGCGTCCCAAAAGAAGTTAGCAAAGGATTTGGAGACGGTGGATGGACTACGAGGCGACCTTCAAGGCGCCTTGAAAGAGACACAGGAGGTGCTGAAGGCACCTCCCCCGGTCGTGCATCACGAGCATGTTGCTCCTGTGAGCAACGGAGGTGCCTACACGGATGGTACGGGGGGACGACCCTCGTACGCGGCGGCCATACAGCACCAGCTCCCCGCTGCGCACGCCTCGACGATGCAGCGACAGAGCGCACGAGGACGCCAGATGCTAATCGACGTAAAGTCGAGAACGAGAGAGGACGGGACGCCCCTCACCGAGCTGGAGTTGGTCACAAAGGCCAACCTCGCACTCGAACTGATGGCCAATGAGGGGGAATCATCATCCCCGAGGGGGCGAAGTTTTTGACCGCGCAAAAGCTCAAGAACGGGGGAATCCTGTACGAGCTAACCTCCAAGGCGGTGGTTGACTGGCTGAGGATCGAGAAGCACTTGGCTGCTTTTACAGGCAAGTTTGGCCTCGAAGCGACCGTTCGAGCACGCCACTACGCTGTAGTTTGGCAGAACGTGTCGACGTCCTTCGTACCAAGCGAGCAATCGTACAGATTGCTTGAGAAAGAGAACGGCTGGAACGAACGGGAGTTAATGGTGGTCCATTGGATTAAACCAATCGACAAACGAAAGCTGAACCAACAGACCGCGTACGCTATTGCGAAGTTCAGTAGCGCGAAGAGAGCCAACGACGTCATCGTCAATGGCCTCATGTACTTCGGTCAGCGACTGAATGCCTGGCGTCTGGTCAAGGAGGCGCGACGCTGCATGAAATGCCAGCGTATGGAGCCTGGCCATATGGCCTCTGACTGCACGGAGACTGCGAAGTGCGGAACCTGCGCGTCCCCGGAACACACGACCCAGCAGTGCAAGGTCCCTCCGGGGCGCAAACGCTGGTGCGTCAATTGCGAGATGGCAGGACACGCGTCTTGGGAACGCCACTGTCCCTCGTTCATGGAAGCGAATCACAGGATCCAGCGTGCTAACACGCTGGAACAGTATCGTTTCTTCCCGATTGCTGATGACCCGACCTCTTGGGAACCGCGCTACGTACCGGACCAGCCTCGCTTCCCATTCCCAGAGGATGCTGCTCCCCCGCGGCGCAACGATGACCTGCCTGCGCACCCGCCAGCTGACCCTGGCCGCATGCACCCTGCACGAGCGAGCCGCCTCGCGACCTCGTGGGGTGATGAACCGCTCCCAGACATGGGCGACCAGGGGTGGAAGCGTGCAGGCAAGGGCCCTGGCCCGAGCGTAACTACTAATTACTCTCGTCCACAGACCACCAGCTTCCGAACAGCGGATGGCAAGCGCCAGGGGACACTGACAGGCGAAGGCGGATTCACTACGCGTTCTGGTCCACCGACACGCCCCAGTTCACGCACATCTACGAGATCTCAGGAGTACTACAACCACCTCAATGATGATGGAACGTTCTAGGGAACTCAAGGTCTGCCAAGCCAACGTGAACAAGTCGAACATTGCCCAGTGCGCCCTCCTTCACGATGTTGCCGAGTACGATGTGGTGGCCCTGCAAGAGCCCTATATCGACCACCTTGACAACACCCGCGCGGCTGCAGACTGGATAGTGATCTACCCGATTGGTCATAAGGATAATGAAGCTACGTCTCGCTCTGTCATATTAATTAACAAACGCGTATCTACTAATAGCTGGACAGCGATCCCGATCAAGTCCCCTGACATTACGGCGATCACACTCCGTCTCGACACCTCTACGATACATATTTTTAATATCTACAACCCTCAGGACAGCAATCTAGCTCAGGCGGTCCTATCTCGGGAGACGCGGAAGCTCCTACGAGATGACGATGAGGACCCCGAGCGTCACATCCTGTGGCTTGGGGACTTCAACCGCCACCACCCCCTCTGGGACGACGAACGGAACACCCACCTGTTCACGAATCAGGCCCTAGACCAAGCAGATCGACTCATCGATATGCTGAGCGCCTTCGACATGCACATGCTCCTCCCGCAGGGTATTCCCACCCTCGAAGCTATGCGAACGAAGAACCACACGCGCCCTGATAACGTTTTTGCATCGGAGGGCCTGAAAGACTGTCTCCTAACCTGTGATGTCGCCCCGGATATACGCCCCCCCCACACCGACCATTTCCCCATCCGCACCACATTCCTGCTAGATGTCCCCCAGGCGCCACCACGCAAGTTCCGGAACTTCAGGAAGGTCGACTGGAACGAGTTCAGGACTGAACTTGCCATACGACTCGAGGACGTACCTGAACCAAATGGACGGATTGACTCCAAGGAGAGTTTTGATCAATTGCTAGCGACACTTATGACTACGCTCACGGAAACAATTCAGGAGACGGTCCCAGAGACGAAGCCGCCACCTTTTGCCAAACGATGGTACTCGAAGGAGCTTGACAAGCTGAGGAGAGAGGTCGGACGTCAGGGACGTCGCGCGTTCAAACAGCGCGAGTTCCCGAACCACCCCATACACAAGGAGTACAGGCAACTTCGGAACAGGTACGGCGACCAGGTGCGCGCAGCCAAGAAAGCGCACTGGGACGCATGGCTCGAAGAAGCGGATGCTAAGTCAATCTGGACGGTCGGCAAGTATATCCGTGCAGGGTCCACAGATGGGAGCAAGAGCCGGGTGCCGCCGCTACATCGCCCGGGCAGTGCCCAACTCGAGCGCGGAAACGAGGAGAAGAGCCGGGTCCTATACGAGACATTCTTCCCGCAGCCCCCGCCCGACCTTGAACTCCCAGACCCAGATGCTGAGCACTACCCAACCCCCGTCTTCGACTTCGCACACGTCTCCGACCACCAGATCCACGCGGCCTGCCATTGACTCAAAGAGTTCAAGGCTCCGGGCCCAGATGGAATACCGAATGAGGTGTATAAACGGTGCGCAGATCTGTTAGTTCCTATGCTCGGCCCTCTCTATCGTGCTACATTCGACCTGCGTTACTACCCCGAGCAGTGGAAACTGTCTACGACAGTAGTGCTGCGCAAACCCGGGAAGAGTGACTACTCCGTCGCTAAGGCATACCGGCCTATTGCTCTTATGAGCTGCATGGCGAAGATCCTGTCTTCATGCGTTGCTGAGACAATGGAATACGAGCTGGAGAAGCTTAACCTGTTTCCTAACCTCCACTTCGGAGGCCGAGCTGGTCGTACGACGACTGACTCACTGCACCTACTGACCAAGACGATCCGGGACGCATGGCGGGCCAAGAAGGTCGCCTCAGTCTTGTTCCTCGACGTTGAGGCGGCGTTCCCTAGTGCAATCCCGGAGCGGCTCTTCCATGAGCTCCGGATGCTCGGGCATCAGCAAAACTGCGAGTTTGTCTGAAGCAGTCTGAGAGTACTGACTCAGACTCTTCAGACCCGTCAGACTTCACGTCTGACAACGGGAGATTAGTTCTGACATCAGAAGCAATCTCTGATGTCAGACGGCCTTCAGACCGTTGCTCAGACCATTTCAGATGGTCGTCAGACTGCTACTTAGAGCGTAACAGAACGTAGTACTAATAGTACATACAATACATTGTAAACTACCAGCTAGTACTCATCGTGATCTTACCTGTCTGCCCACCCACATACCCACCCTGCCTTCGCCACTGTGCTTGCCGTTTCCGACAACACCCCACTTGCTGGGCGTCGGGCTATCGTGTCGAGGTTCGGCGAACTGATGTCCACGGGCCGCGGATCCGTGGGCAATCGTGTAGGTACTCGCGGTTGGCGTGCGTTGCGCGCGCCCTGCCCGTCGCGGTCACTCATGATTGTTCCGTGCCCACCTTCCATTCGTCAGTCATGCTCGCCCGCCCGCTCGCTCACCCGCCCGCCCGCTCGCCCGCTCGCCAGCCCACTCTCCCGCCGTCTGCTCGCTCGCCCACACGCTCGCCGGCCGCATGGTAGAGGGTGGCGCGGCGATGTAGCAGGGCTGTGGCAGGGCGAGAAGGCGGTGGCGTGGCGCGGAGGGCCCAAGCTCGCGACTAGACGTTCTGTTATTGTGCAGGGTCGCCTGGCGTGTGCGGTAGGTCCTCGGCGTGCATCGCACGCGCCCGGGAGATTGTAGGACGGCAGGGGAGGACTGGGAAGGCGGCAGCCATGAATAGACAACCCCACTCTTCCGCGGGGTCGTCATGGGTACGTGCTACGTGCTCGGCATGCGCTTCACGCGTCCGAGAGCTGCAGAGCGCGGGGCGGCGAGGTAGGAGGGCTGAGGCATGGCGAGAAGGCAGTGACGTGGCGGGGAGGGCCCGAATCTACGACCAGATGTCCCGTTGTCGCGCCAGGATGCCTGGGACGCTGGGACAGCGGGGGCAGACTGGGAAGGCGGTGGCAAACGGACAGAATCGGACGGCCCCGCTCTTCTGCGGGTCGCCCGTCGTTTGTGCCAAGACCGCGACACGCTTGTGATGTGTGCGAGACGCGTGACGTGCTAGGGAGGGCGGTAGTAAGCAGGGAGAGAGATGCGGTGGTGGGGAGGGCGGTACGATGCGAATGGACGCCCCCGCTGTGATGCGGGGTCGTCTTGTGTTCGGCATGTGTTTGGTGCGTCTGCAAGGCATAGAGGGCGGGGTGGCGCGATGGTGGAAGGCGGTGACGTGGCGGCGGGCATAGAGCACGAGGTGACGAACCCGCTCTTGCGCGGGGTCGTCACGTCCTCGGAACACTTCTGATGCGTATGAGCCGGCAGCGGGCGACAGGTAACAGTACATGAATGACAGGGCAACACGGGAGAGTGAGTGGAAAGGAAACTTACTTATTCTGTCTCAGCTTTGCTTCCTCCGAGCGCTGTCCACCCGACGCGCGACACTGTTGGGCATAAAATCTGGATCGCGGGGTTCGCGCTGGCCGGGCCACGTCACAATGACGCGGCCTCTCCCCGTGATGTTCTGCTCATCTGCATGCATTAGGCCGATGCACAGCGATTCCGCGGGCTGCCCGAGGGTTGTAGATGTTAAAGAGTGGAGAGGCAGTGAGAAGGGAGGCTAGCGAGGCATGGTGGAGGTGGGAGGCGCGGCCCTCGCGATGGTGTCCGCTCGCTGTGCATTGTAGCCGCACATCGTGGCTACGGGCAAGCCGGCGCTTGTGCACCCTTCCGGACGCCTCGTGCGTCGCGACAGGCTTCTGCAGCCGCTGCGTGTCAGCGACGAACAGCGCAGCGCACCAAGTCGAGAGGTGGGGAACTTGAAAGGCGAGTAACACGACAGAGAGGCGAGGGAACGATGACGTGGCGAGGTGCCAGCGTGGCGCAGTTTAGGGCAGGCGCCTAGTGGACTTGGGGGAGATTCGCTGCGGGTGGCTTGAGGTCGCGCCCGGAGGGTCTGACGGGTCTGACGGGTCTGAGTGGACTGCGTCGCCCTGAGAGAACGAGCACGGAATGAGCAGACGGAGAGCGACGAACGGCGCGGCCATAGACGCCCGATTGCTTCAGATGCGATAGAGCTCTCAGGCACCGGATCAGACGCCTCAGATCCCTCAGGCGCCCTCAGAACCCGCGCACATTTGCTGATGGGGTACCAGTAGAGGTGGTAGTGTAACGGATATTCCCGTTATAGTATATCTTACATTACATATTTGTCCTTGTTTGCTCTAGGACTCGTATGGCGCGCCGGCACACCTACGAGTCCTGAGCCTTTACCTCGTCACCGCCTTTGTATGCAATCTGTAGACAGTACCTCTTGAATAGAGACTGGGTGCAGCGCATACGAGGCACGACGAGTAAGGCGCATTACACTTTTTTGCGCTCCAGAAAAGCTTCTATCTCTCTGGGGACTATCTACTCTAGGCAACAAACTCTCGAACCTCGAAATTCGACATCAACAAACTCTATGCTACTTTGATCATCCTCTGGCCAACTCGACAACTCGACAAGATGTCCGAGTCGACCAACACCCCGTCCGCACCTTCGCGAGGCAGCCGCGGGTCCCACAGTGGAACCCGCAGCAAGCTGAAGGCGTTGCGTGCGGAAGTCCGAGCAAAGCTCGCCGCAAGTCAAGAGCGGATCAACAAAGCCCTCGAGGAATCCAAGCAACTCGAGGCCGAACTGCTGGCAACGGTCGACGCCGCTCTGTCCGAGGCCAGCAGCCGCAGTCGGTCTTCTCGCACGAAGACCACCCGGACTGAGTCTTATCACCGCGAGGACTCAGCCGGAGCCCTCACAGAGCAGGCGCCGTCCGACCGTGAGGTCGAACAGGCACCGCGCACTGAGCGGCTCGAGCCCAATGTCGAGCCCGCTCAAAACCGCCCGGAGACCGACTCTCCACCTGCTTCGACCCAGCCGATGAAGCTCGGCACCACTCTGAGGAGTGGTGAGCGCGCCGAGCTCGACAACGTAGCCGTAGTCGAGCTCGTGCCTGGATTGAACGAGCAGCGCCAGGAGCTGACTCGTATCAGCACCCGGGAGGGCATAGGCACACAGTACTACAGTAGTACTGTGTGCAGTGGGAACGAGCCCACGCGTGTAGATACGCTCGTCGCGTGTTCAGAGATGAGCCGCGACACAAAATATATATATTCGTCGTCGAACGCCGTGCGCGCCACGACGAGCAGCCTGCTCGACGCGACGCGCGACGCGCTCAACGCTACAGGCGTCGAGCGCCACGAGTCTGTGGTGAGCGCCCCGAGTTCTAGCGCCCACCGCACTACGCTCGACCGCCACCACCGACCCCTCGTCCTCGCCTCCTCCCACTCTCTGGGCAGCCACCTCGAGCGCCCGTCTGGCGAACCAGACGCGCGCGCCGCCCCGACGCGAGTGCGAACTCGCGTTCGCGAATGGCTGGCTGACTTACCGCCAGTCCAGTCAGTGGCGACCAACGACCTGGTACCTCCCGGTACCAGATCGCCAATTCCTCCCTCACCGGCTCCTCAACTCTCCCTTCTGGTCCCGCGCCTCGACTTGGGAGGTCCCCTCTTCGAGTCCGATGACTCTGGCGACCGTCACAGCGGCTCTGGCGACACGCAACCCAGCCGCATGACCCAGGACTTGAACGACGCGCGTTCAAGTCCAACGCCGAGCCGCAAGACTGAGCGGACCATGGACAACGCGGAGCAAGGAGAGTGGAAGGAGGACAGGGGGCAGAGGAGTAGCGAGGTTGAGGAAGGAACACAGGGACAGAGGGAGGAAGGGTGCGGGGCGAGCAGGATGCACGAGCACGAAGGCTCGACAACCACAGGCACGTACTCACCGTACGTCCCTGCATCGCCGCCTCCGCTTCCAGTGCCCGCGCCAGCACGCGTAACGACGGACGAGAGGTTCGTCGTGCGTCCTATTGACCACGAAGACGGCACTTCCGCCTCCAGGTACGACTGCGAAGTCGTACCGGATGTTTCGCGGGATAGCACGTCTGTGCTACGGGACGACCTCGCGGTCGTACCCTCCAATCTCCGAGGCAGTACGCCCAGGATACGGGACGACCTCGCGGTCGTACCCTCCAATCTCCGAGGCAGTACGCCCAGGATACGGGACGACCTCGCGGTCGTACCCTCCAATCTCCGAGGCAGTACGCCCAGGATACGGGACGACCTCGTGGTCGTACCGTCCATCTCGCAAAGCGACACGGCGGACGCGCAGCAGTGCACGTCCGACGTGTCCCATTCATCCATCACCGACCGATGGATAGCGAGTACGCCGAGATTGATGCTCGACGTACACGCTACCGACCAGCATAAAGGGTCGAGAACTGAAGGTACGCCCCTGATGGACGTACCCACCTCGATACCTCCTACCTTGCCCGCATCCGCACCAACAAGCGTAGCGACGAACGTTCAGTTCGTCGTACGCGTTGTTGGTCATGAAGACGGTGCGTCTGCGCTACGGGACGACCCAACGGTCGTGCCTCCCATTCTGCAAGGCAGAGCGCATGTGGTAGGAGACGACCTTGCGGTTGTACCTCCTAATTCGCGAGGCAGCACGACGGACCTGCAGCGATGCATGTCCGAAGTGCTCTACTCAGCTTCGACCGTCCATTGTGCAGCGCGTACGCCTAGCCTACTGCTAGACGTACCCGGTGGCTATGACCACTGCGCGTCGACCGTCCCTGACCCTTCGTCTGGCAGGCCCATCGCTCGACCAACTGCGACGCCACACGGCCTGCACGTCCTCACGGAAGTGCAGGCCCCCAGTTGCTCCGATGTAGCTGAACCTCCTGAGGTTCAGCTGGCCAGGTCGTGGGACGACCTCGACGACATCTCCAGCAGCCCCCAATCGCGCGCAGCCGACCTCCGAGAAGACTTGCACTCCCAACCGGAAGTACAAGCCCCCGGTAGTTCCAAGACAGCTGAACATCTCGCGGTTCAGCTGACAGGTCCACGATACAACCCCGACCGACTCGACGAAGCGGCGGACCTCGGCCTCGACTTCGACCTCGACCTCTCCAGCAACAGCATCCACCGCTCTCTCCGCGATCTTGGTGCCCCGACGAGCGCGCTGCCCGACGATCGCGTATTCCCGAGCAACGCGCGAGCTCGAGATCGCGACCCGACTACTGCACTACCAACAGTGCAGCGGCCGGCGCTTACGAACCCCGACCGACTAGAACGGCCTCCCGACCGTCAACCCGGCGAGAACTTCACAGTTCTCGTCGATGGCTCGCTCCTAGGGACCCCCACCCAGCTTCATACCGACCTCTCCGCGGCCCCCGATATCGTTGGCGACAATGACAGGCACCGCAAGTCGGAGGTCGCCCGCGAACTCCGAAGAGCGCGTGAAGGACCGAAGGACGGTCAGGACGGGGACGAGGGCGATGTGGGTGAGGGCGAGGAATCACGAGAGGTAGATGAGGAAGGTCAGGCAGAAGGAGGAGAGGGGGAAGGGTGCAGGGCAAGAAGAGAAGATGAGCTCGTCGAGCGGGATAGCTCGACGACAGGTACGTCTTCTTTAGACGTATCTCTTCCTCCCCTACCACCATCTCCTATCCCACTACCACCACCTGTGACGACCACGACTACCAACACGGTTGTCGTGGCAGTTACCACGTACGATGGTGGTACGGATGGCCCATGGAGCGACCTACAGGTCGCACCTGGCCTGGCAATGCATTGCGATATAGTTGGCGAGCGAGGTTGCTCGACCGACGTGCCCAACGGTTGTACAGCTCACGCGCAGACGTACTACTTCGCGAACGAAGTTTATACCGAGGAGATCGGCGATGAGTCGAAAAGCGAGTACCTCACGGTACTCGTTCCGCCGTCACCACCTCCTGTGCCGATACCACCACCGGTGACGACCACGACAACCACATCGGTTGTCGTGGCATTCACCATGAAGGATAGTGGTACCGCCGATTCACGAGGCGATCTACAGGTCGCGCCCAGCACGGACCAGCATCGCAATCACGACGCACAGATGGTGAGCCCTACGCTCAACGGACGCGCCGCTGATGTCACCGGCGACCATACGTTCCACTCGCGACCTCCGTCATCGGTCCCATGCACTTCACTAGGGAATGACCTCAAGGTCGTTCCCGAGAGTGCATATCGCGGTGCACTCGGACTGCATGGTTGCAGTACCGAGGCACCCCTAACATCCGCATCCGACGCAGTACAGGCATCGACCTCGTTGGTCGATGCAAGTCATGCAGAGGATGTCACACGCGGACGCGACCCCTCCACTGCCAAGGGCGAGTACCATGAGGTACTCGCCAACTCACCCTTCCTAGTCACAGTGTCGCCGCCCTCTCACGCATCGAACACGACGGGCCCACCGATCGTCGTGAACAAATGTCAAGAGGGGATGGCGTCCGAGCCCAATTCCGTGGATCGCGAACTGTCGACCGAGACGTCTACCACAGTAGACGTACGGCAGGCCGCACCTGAGTCCGAAGGGCGACCGTCGGGACGCTACGTGCTACCGGCACGTCGCGTTCAGCAAGACCGACGTGAGCTGGCTGTATCCCTCGACAGCGAGCACCAGCCCAAGTACTGCGAAGTACCTGGAATTGGAACACCTAGCGAGAACGAATATTTGTTCTCGCGGGTGCGCAGCACGGCAGGCACCTCGAGTGAGGTGCCCGCGTCGACTAGCACGACGACGACGACGTCGCCGCGTACCCGATCAAGGAAGCGCTTCCGGGAACTGGTCGGAACGGAGGTGGGTGAATGGCAACGTTCACCTACTACTATCCATGGCATTGGGACCGAGTCGGGGCGAGTGCAGGGGAAATCGTCAACCACTACGAAGTGGGATGCTATTCTGAGAGGGGAAGGGAGCGGGGCCTCGAGTGGCCGCCGCCTATCTCACGCTACCACCAGTACATCGCGTGAAGAGGTACTGGTCTCGGATCCTGCAGTGACACGGACGCCAAGCATCGAGCTTGACGTACGGGCCTCACGTCGAACATCAAGGCAGGTACTACCTGTACCACGAGTGTCGAGCGATCGACTCGACGTGCAGCATACTAGTGATCATCGCAGCCACGACATCACCTTGGAAGCCAGTACCTCGCGCCGCGAAGTACTGGGATTGAACCGAGTACCGACTGCACGGGGTCACCCAGTGACTGTCGATGTGAGTCAATGGCCCATGGATAAGGCGTCGCGCGAGGAGTGCTTCACACTCCTTGCAGACCAACTCGACCTCGACCTCGATGAGGCTGATTTTGCGGCGAGTGTTGGCGAGTGGGACATTTGGGCTCACTGCAAGAGGTCAGCACTTAGCTGTGGGCATGCAATCGAGGAGATGTCCCCGCGACTGGGGACATATTCTCGTGCAGCTCGTCGAGCATGGGACCACTTCCAGAGGGAGTTGGAAGTGGTTCCTCTCGAGTTCGATCCTCTGCTGGTTGCACCATTACCTATGGAGATGGTGCGATATTGGGCCTACAACAAGCTGGGATGGCTTGTTGTACCACCTCGCAGTCAACCTCAGGATGACTCCGACTGGTACAACTCCTCTGATGAGGAGCCTCGTACCACAACTCGTGAGGATTACTCTGACCATGTTGAGTCAGAGTCTCTCTCCGAGTCCGAGCATCATAGCTCGTGGGATTCTTCGAATCCAGGTTCTGAGGGGGCAAACTCAGTAGTAGTCTCTGACTACTACGAGCAGTCCGAGATGGAGGATACCTACAGTTCTTCTGCACTATCTGCTGAAGACGAGGGTAACTCCGAAGATGCAGACTATTACTCGGAGTCCGAGTAGTAGTCTACATGCTGGTTGCACAACTCTGTCGAGTTGTGTATGACAATGGTGAACGGTCGTGTCTGCTCACTGACATGAAGTAGTTTGTCGCTGTCTACAGTTCAACATCATCTTTGTCTTGCCAATTGCTACCACCGTTGGGTGGTTGCATGTACTATTCCTTTCTTTCCTTTTTCTCTCTGTTTCTCTGGTTATCGCTGGGACCCGTGGTCGTGTCCAGTGGGGGAGAGTGTAACGGATATTCCCGTTATAGTATATCTTACATTACATATTTGTCCTTGTTTGCTCTAGGACTCGTATGGCGCGCCGGCACACCTACGAGTCCTGAGCCTTTACCTCGTCACCGCCTTTGTATGCAATCTGTAGACAGTACCTCTTGAATAGAGACTGGGTGCAGCGCATACGAGGCACGACGAGTAAGGCGCATTACAGGTAGACTGGCTGCGCGAGAAGCTCAGAGGGCGCAAAACGTGCATGACGTTTGACGACTTCGTGTCGGACCTGTTTGAGATCCTCAGCGGGATCGACCAGGGGTGCCCACTCTCGGTCTTGTTGTACAAGATATACAACCTCGTCCTGCTGAAATGCGCTGACCAAAAGAGGGGCGAGCTGGCGCTAGGATTCATAGACGATGTGGCTACAGTGGCAGTGGGAAAAGATCTAGACGAGACCTGCTCGAAGTTACGGAGTTACATGGAGCGCGCTGGCGGCGCGAAGGAGTGGTCGAGGACGCGGAACTCCCGTTTCGAGATCTCGAAACTGTGCCTGTTGCACGCTGATCCAAGTCTACCGAAAGACGATATGGGCCCGTCACTAGACCTCTCGGACGGGTCAGTGCAGCCCTCCGAAGACGCGAAGTTCCTGGGCGTCTGGATAGATCGCAAGTTGCGATTCAAAAAGCAGGCCGAGTATGCCCTGAAGAAGGGTACCACATGGCTGCTGCAATTCGGACGCCTCGCGTGTCCGAAACATGGTATCCCGATGAGACACGTGAAGTCCCTATACCTCCAGATGCTCATCCCAGCCATGCTTTATGCGGCGAGTGTATGGATTGTCCCGCAGAGGCAGATGGAGGGCCGGAAACGGCGCTATGGGTCTGTTGGCCACACCAAGCAGCGCTTTCTGACCGATCCTCATCCTACAGCCGACGCGCAGTCTCGCGGAATACCATCGCATGAGTCGACGGCGGCCGACGCGTCGGCTTGTACGATGAGGATCGTGCAGCCGACATAGGTGTATAATGTGTTTGGCTGGGGTGATGTATACAGTACCGTAGTGATCCTAGTAATACTTTTACGGTCGGCTGGGCTCTTCTTGCGTGCTCAAAGCGTCGGTTGGCACAGTGCGATCGTGGCGCAGTGCAGCGCGGTGCGTCACAACTGGGCACGCGTTCAGACGCGTTGACTCGGAGACTTTCAACGTGTCAGTGCGTCAGCTCTCAAGATCTCACTCTCATGCACCGCCTTGCCCTCTCATTCACCAGGCGACCTGTCGCTCGCCGTCTTGCGCTCATACCGTCTTGCCCGCCTACCCTATCGCCTGCATACCCTCGCCCCACTGCTGTCCTGCTGTCCTGCTCGCACGCCGTCTCGCCGGTCTATCGTCTCACCCGCTATCTCACACACCCGCCATCTCACACACCTGCCGTCTCACTCACCCGCCGTCCACCGTCTTGCACGCCCATCGTCTCGCACACCTGCCGTCTTGCTCACCTGCCGTCTTTCTCACCTGCCAATTCACCGGCCTACTGTCTGGAGTGCCACATGCAGTGCCACAAGGGCACGCGGAAACGCCACGAGGGCGTCAAGACTGCGGGGATGCGGGCAACTCGAGCAGGTGAGTACCCCCACGCACGGTCTCAGGTGAGACAACACACGAGGACGGCGACGGGCGCACATAGGGCAACTGCCCCAGATGCAAGCTCACCGCATGGCACGCGGACACAGCGCGCGGACACAACACGCGGACACAACGACGAGCCGGGAGGAGTGCGAGAGGTCAGCGGGCACAGGGTATGGCAACGTACAAGGGCGCCCAGACAGTGCAAGCACAAGCAGGGCGGGGGTGGACGAGTGGTGAGACGGGCGAGCAAAAAGACGGGTACGCACACGCGGTGATGTGTCGCATGACGGGCAAAACGGGCGCGTTGCCCGCCGCGCGTGAGTGCGAACACATGCGAGTGAATTCACTGACTGCAGGCACAGGAAGTGGCGGCGACGTGCTGCACGACGCGCACGGCGACGACGTGTACCAAGGGCCAATGCCTTTTGCGCAGACATGACCGATGAACGGCGGCGGGCAGACGAGCGGGCGGGCGGGAGCGCACGCCGACCGCGCGCGCGCTGGGCAACTACCCGGCACACGAACATGGCCAACGAACGCGCGCAAGGCGAGCGCGTCAGCGGGCAGGTCAGTGGGTGGGCAGGTGGGCAGGGGGGGGGGGGGCAAGTAGACGGACAAGACGGTGGGCAAGTAGACGGGCAAGACGGCGGGCAAGTAGACGGGCAAGACGGCGGGCAAGTAGACGGGCAAGACGACGAGCAGCCAAGCGAGTGAGCGGATACCTTAGAAGGCGGACGGCGCACATAGGGCGACTGCCCCGGATGCAAACACGGCCAACAAGCGCACTGCGCGCGCGGGCCCCGGACGAGCAAAAAGGCGAGTATGCGACGCGGCGATGTATCGCACGATGGGCATGACGGGCGAGGGGAATTGCCCACCACATGTGAGTGCAAACACACGCAAGCGAAATCACTAACGGTAGGCACAGAAGGCGGCGGCGACGTGGGGCGCGACGCGGAAGGCGACCACATGTACCCAGGGGCCAATGCCCCGTGTGCAGACACGGCCGATGAACGGCGGCGGGCGGACGAGCGGGCGTGCGGGAGCACACGCCGACCGCGTGTGCGCTGGGCAACCGCCCAGCACGCAAACACGGCCAACAAACGCGCGCGCGCATGAGCTCAGGACGGGACAGACAATGGACAGGGCCGGGGTGTGCGGAACACGTCGACCACGAGCACACAGGGCCAGTGCCCCGCGTACAAATGCAGCCGACGAGCGCGCCGTGGGCGTGGGCACAGCGCCGAGCAGGTGGGAGGGCGTGCGGATGGCGCGTAAGAAGCAGGGACGAGTAAGCCTAAGCGAGCGAGGAGGACGGCGGCGGGCGCGGGCAACGAGCCCAAACCCGCGCAGGGACCACCGAGGTACGCCAACCCACAGTGAACCGGGGTAGGATACAGGTAGCACCACCCATGGATACGGGTACGCTCGTTGCGGGTGCGGCATGTCTCACCTGCTATCTTATACATTCACCGTCTTGCACACCCGCCGTCTTGCACACCTGCCGTCTTGCACACCCGCCGTCTTGCACACCCACCGTCTTGCTCGCCTACCTGCCATCTTGCATTATCAATCACCCACCGTTACATTCTCCTTCTGGTTGTGCTCGCTTTCTTGTCTGTTTGAAGTCTCGGTGTACTAAAACTGTAAGAGCCTACAAACTAGATCAAACTTCCGATATAAACTAGATTTGTTTGTTGACAGCATTGTGGGCAGTTTCAGACGAGAGAGAGCATGGACAAGAAGTGTGATCTGTTGCTATAAGGCTTGCTCAATATAGTTCCAGTCGAGCTTGCCTATGGCCAACACTGCCAAATTCATACTCTGTCACTGTATGGATGTGATGGTTCGCTTTGAGCAATGAAACTCGTTGTCAGTTGGCCCAACATGCACATACACTCTTCGTAACTGTACTGCAGTTACACTTGATATAGACTTCGGGATGTCATGATCATATGTTCAGTACAACCTCTATCAGCATTCAATAGTATAGAAGTACAAAGGAGTGGACAACTAGAAGATATGTACACGAACTCAATGATAGTGGTCAGAGCACCCACTAAATGCGTGAACACTCTCCAGTGTTTTGCCCTCGGACATTGCCTCGGCCATGTCCCCGAGTCACCCGAGATGGTCTCATTCTCTTTATAACTTCACCTCTGAGCCACCATATGCTATGAGACTTTGTACCAAGCATGACTATGTGTAGTACATGGCTTGTATAGAATTCTGTGAGAATTGAACCGTGGGGTGTGTTTGTCTAAGACATGCTCTCCATGTATAACCTTCTTAGCTATCTCAAGCTATAACATTGCCAGATTGCTTCAGAGAATTGCCAGCAGCCACATGTACCATAGACACAGCATGAATACAACTTCTGTATGTACTTGATTCAAACAATTGTCTTGCAGAAGCTGAGATTTAATCCACATGCCTCTCAATATCTCCAAACAACATGTCATTTTTGAAACATATCCTGAGATCCTCTTCCCATACGAGCTGAGATTACACAAAGCCAAAGTGCTCTTTACATACACAACAATGAGGCTAATGGCCTACGTGAGTGGCTTCCCTAATCTACTACATGTAGTTCCACAGCAAATACAGTAGATCAGCGAAGTATCATCATTGTCAATTGCTGCGAGCCATTCAGGAATCACTCTAACAGAACAAGGAATACCTCAGTGTCTTACCATTGTATCTCTATTTGCTGATATACAGTTACTACATGGTGTATTGCACCTCAACACCGTAATGACTGTCTATAGACACAGTCACGGTACAAACATATATTGGACATGTTCAATAATACATCCACACCATTGGCCCCAAACCAATGAGCAAACAGCATACAGTTTTGCACGTACATACCATTCAAGTCGAGTCAAGAAACAAGATGCATACTTGCTGCCTTGTCAATGTCAAGGAGGTTATCACGATTCAAGACGGTGAGTGTCAAGGAGGCTTCTTGACCAGTCCGCCTTGATACCTCCAAGGAGCTCTCCGTCTTGAGATGTCCGTCTTGAGATGTCCATCTCAACTTGTCCATCTTGAGATGTCCGTCTTGACAATGTCCGTCTTGAGATGTCCGTCTTGACAATGTCCGTCTTGAGATGTCCGTCTTGACAATGTCCGTCTTGACAATGTCCGTCTTGAGATGTCCGTCTTGAGAATGTCCGTCTTGACAATGTCCGTCTTGACAATGTCCGTCTTAACTTGTCAGCCTTAACTTGTCAGCCTTAACTTGTCCGTCTTAACTTGTCCGCCTTAATTTGTCCGTCTTAACTTGCCCGTTTTGATTTGTCTGTCTTCACTTGTCCGTCTTGACACCTCCAAGAAGGCTTCTTCAATATGCTCGCCATTTTGATATCCTCCTTGACACTTTCCACATTGAAACCTCATTGGTGTTTGCCCACCTAGATACCTCATTAACACGTTGGTATTGACCAAGATGAGCCAACCATTAGTTACCTTGGGTCAAGAAGGTCTTAGTGAGTAAGAAGGTCAAGAAGGTCAAGAAGGTCAAGAAGGTCCAAGAAGGTCGGCTGAGTCAAGACGGATATCGGCCAGGAAAGATACCTCAGCTGATGCTCGGCTCATGCATTGTCTTGGGTGAGACAAGACAGTCGGCTGAATCCAGACAGTGGTCGGCTGCAAACCTTCTCCAACCGACGGTCGGATAGTGCATTGTCTTGGGTGAGACAAGATGGTCGGCTGAATCAAGACAGTGGTCGGCTACAGATTTTCTCCAGCCGAGAGTCGGATAGTGCATCGTCTTGGGCGAGACAAGAAGGTCGGCTGGATCAAGACGGTGGTCGGCTGCAAAAGCTTTGCAGCCGACGGTCGGATAGTGCATCGTCTTGGGCGAGACAAGAAGGTCGGCTGAATCAAGGCGGTGGTCGGCTACAGATTTTCTCCAGCCGAGAGTCGGATAGTGCATTGTCTTGGGCGAGACAGAATGGTCAGCTGGGTGAGAATGTCTGGGGCAGCCAATCGTCCCACGCACCGCCTTGCCCGCCTTGTGCCGCTTTGCCCGCCTTGCGCTCGGCCGACTTGATCACCTTCCATGAGACAGTTGCGGTCGGCCGAGGTCGGCCCATCCCATCCCATTCCATGAGACTGCGCGTCGGCTGTACCATAACCTTCCATGAGACAGCTGAATGGGCTCTGTTGGCATAATCCGCAAGCTCGAACGGGTCCACAGACAGGCGTGTCTGATGATATCTGGTGCGATGCGGTCAACGCCCACAGACTCCCTGACTGCGCACTTGAATTTGCTTCCATTTCATTTACTAGTGGACAAAATGATAATGCACGAGGCCTCTAGGTTATGCACCCTACCCACTTCTCACCCACTCCACCGCCACGTCACACAAGCCTCGCGATGGGTTAAAAGACATCGAAGCCCCCTCCACGAGATTCTCGGAGCGTATGATCTAGACCCCCAGGAGATCGAGACTATTGAAGCAGTGCGCCTACCACCAAGCTGGCGACCTCCGTTCCGGGTCTCGATAGCATCGTCGAAGGAGGAAGCGGCAGCCGAGGAACAGGCATGGGCGAGGAAGAATGGATGGCGAGTCTACTCGGATGGGTCAGATATAGACGACGGAGTCGGAGCAGCAGCGGTCCTGGTGGTGCCTGATAGCGAGCCAAAAGTCCTCCGATACCATCTTGGCCCGTCGACGAAACACACAGTGTATGAAGGCGAAATAATTGGCCTCAACCTCGGGATCGCACTCCTTCACCGGGAGCTATCGTGCGCACGAGCGTCCACGGCAGCGGACAACCTAGCGAGCCTACATGCAGCGAAGAACCGTAAGCCACACCCGGCACACTACATGATCGACCAACTCCTACATGCGATAGGACGACTCGAGATGCGTCACCCGAACATCGACCTAACCCTGAGATGGGTACCAGGCCACAAGGGAATAGATGGGAACGAGTTGGCGGACGTGGAAGCGAAGAAGGCGGCAAGAGGAGATAGTAGCCCGGTCGAGGATCTCCCGGGCTGGCTGAAGAACGCGCTCCCGGCGAGCTTATCCAGGGTCAGGCAGACGCAAAACGAGAGGCTGAGACGGATGGCGAAGGAGGAGTGGAAGGCGTCCCCAAGGGCAGAACGGATGGACAGAATTGACCCGGAGATGCCGTCGAAGAAGTATGGGAAGTTGGCAGAACGGTTACCTCGAAGGCAGGCGAGTATACTCATCCAGCTACGCACCGAACATGTCCCGTTGCAGAAATTTCTTTTCAGGATACAGAAGGAGGACACCCCCATATGCCCGTCTTGCAGGACCACCCGCGAGACGGTGTACCATTACCTGATGGAGTGTCCAGCCTTCAATGAACAACGCGACCAGCTCGCCCGCGACGCCGGCCCAGCCGCTCGCTCGATCAAGGACCTCCTCAGTTCAGCGAGTACGATGCGACCCCTCTTCCGATACATACACAGTACCGGCCGCTTCGCGGCCGCCTACGGAGACCTGGCGATGAAAGAAGAGAAGGCGAGAGACCGCGACAAGGGCGCGCGCTGACGATGAACAACGGCCGACGCACAGAGAACCGAGATCCCGCACACCCAGAACTCATTTCACTCGACGCATTCACATCCCACTACACTACAGCACATACTACTATACCTGCCTTACGCTCCGGCGAACGGCGATGCTAAGCGACCACGGACCAGACGAGACACACCGAGAGTAGCGTATGTAATGTCTACATACTAAGGGCTTCGCCCTCAGTGACATTAAATGGAATAAACAAACAAACAAACAAACCGATCGGACATGTTCTGTCATGTGTCAACTCGATCGGCGAGATGACATGACAGAATCTGTCACGTACTAGTAGTAGCTGATCCCCCAAAGCCAAGTTGAAACCGCCGCCTCGCCCCAATCAAACTTGCTCAGAAAATGATCTGCAGATCCTTGAAGCTAGTCAGATAGAAGGCAGCCGCTGTTGCTTCGACATAGTTCCGCCGCCAAGGCCTCCCATCCTAGTCGCAGTGATAGGGTTTGCCGCAACGACGTACGGCACTGGGCGAGAGAGTCGGAGTCGTTCATGTAGGCTCGCAATCTCGTCAAACGGAATATCATCCGGTTTTGCCCAGGAGCACTATAGTGACCCGCTAGCTGATGTTGAACGGTGGAGATCAGACTGCAAGGACATCCGATATCCTGAGGCACGAAGGTTGACTTGGACTCAGAGATTGTCAGTGGTACGCGCCACAGGGGCCCGCTGCGGCCACTCGCCTCCACCACATCGCGACTCGCAGTCACGGTGTTCCTCTCTCGCCTCTCGCTAGCTCCCTCAATACTCTCCAGATAGGCTCAAAAGCCTCTCAGCGACCTCTATGCCTTTGAAATCCGCACAATAAAGGGGCCAGCAAGGCCGTGAATGCACAAGGAATGGGACCAGTACCCAGACACCGTAAGCGCCCGCGGTCGGCGAAAGGTCAGTTTTATGTATGTATATGTTCCTGCATATGATACTAGCCCTGTTCAATGCACCTCAAATTACCCATAGCTATGTTAATAGCCTCAGACATGGCCCTCCATGACAGGCGCTTCGCATGGAGAGGATGAATCAACGGGCGGATTTGCGCACTTCCCCAGTGACTTAGCCACGGCCTCGAACTGTCGGACACCCCACCCGAGACCATCCGAGTACAGACGAGCCCACAACCTTACACGGTCGGGTTCCGCCGCTTCCTACGTTTCTCTGACTTCTCAGAGGCCGTGTCGTCGCTCTCTGCGTCCACGACCCTCCGGTGCATCGCGGACCACGTCGCGCCAACGAGTGCAAAGCTCTTCTGCGCCATCGCCATCTCCGCGGTGCTCGTCTGGGCCTCGGAGGTGGTGTTATGGGCGAAACGGAGCCCGCTCATCGACGGGAGCTCGATTGCGGATTTGTCGTACTTGCGTAGGTATACGCGACTGTTGAGGTTGGTAAGGAATGTGATCGAGTACCTTGGATGCCGTTAATTGGGGTACGTCCATTACGCCTCCGAGGAGACTTACATCTTCGTGAAGATGAACGCAAGCACCTCATAGACTAACGTCTCATGCAGCTGAGACAGTCAGTCCGACCGTCATTCGCCGAAGAAGTAGTTGAATTCACTCACCGGTCGGATGCTCCCGGCGATAAGGCCGAGGATCGAGAGACTAGCTACGAGTGACCTGTCGGGTCAAGCGCTGGCGCGTGTAGAACAGTGGGTGGAGACATACCAGTCAAAGTGCCTGTCTCGACCACTAGGCGGACCATCCTGTTGATAAGCGCGTCTGTTGATGCTATACCGGTCTTGCTCCTCAGGAGCTGCGCTCCCGTCATTGAGTACACTGGCGGCGAATGCGTGGGGGGACATACCAGGTAAGTCATGCACACGGCGATCAGCACGTCGACGGCGACGGCGCCCGTGAGCCAGACCTAAGTTCCATGAAGCGAGTAATGGGAGGTGGAGACCGACAGAAAACTTACGATGATGGCAGTGCGCAGCTGCCCGTGCAGCGCAGAAGCAATGCCCTCAGCTTTCGCCTGCATCCACTTCTTCAGCATCGGCCGTCCAGGCATTAGCCACTAGCGGCGACTCACCTTCGATCTCGCGATCATACATGCAACCATCTGCGACACCGCGAGCTATCCGCACTCCACCGTCAGCAATTCCCAGTGTGCGAAGCACCACATAGCACATACCGCGACGATGAACGCAGCCATTGACCCGCCGAGCACGCGCGACCGTGACAGCTTGAAGACCCGCCACGCGAAGAACATCTGCACGACGGCCGAGATGAGTCCACTCATGATCGTCACGGAGAACCATGTGCTGTGGAATGCGAGTACTGAAATGACGTTCCCGTGGTCATACACGTAGATCCGCATCTCGTCTGCGGTGATCAGCCCGGTTTGCACCCACTCGAAAATGAGCACGCTAAGCACTGGTGAGGGACAGTGAGCGGTTGCTCGGTGTGTGTGGGTAGCGGACTGTGGTGCGTACCGAGGCATTTGAGGGAGAGTCGATTGGTCTTGAAGTTGTCGTAATATGAATCTGGTCGAGAGTGTAGGCCGAGGACGCATACAGACAGACGAGCTCCGACTCACAGCATTGTAGTGTTATGACTCCCAGGAGGTCCCAGTTGAAGAACGCACCAAGTAACTGCGCCGTACGACGTCAGTCCTATTCGCCCGATGCATGATACTGCACGACCTACCTGAGGTCCGGCACTAACATGTGTTCATGCAGTCAGTACGCTATCCGACAGATTGTGTTGGACAGTCTTACAGCAGTGGCAGAGGCGTCACCAACGCGAGAGGGACCGTCGCAGACGAGGCCATTGCTGCGTGCCCGATTCCGATCCTACGACCTGGTGATCGAGGAGCTTTTAACTTCCCCAAAACCGGGAGACAGCATAGCAAATAAGATACCGATGGACCACTCGTCGCAGCGCGCACGCAGAGATCGGTTGGGCTAGCGTGGTGCAGAATCCACCCATCACGCTTCGTCGGAAAACGATTTCTCGGCAAGGTGCCGTTATAGTAACTTGACGGTGGAAAGTCCTTCCTCGAGGCCCATTTCAACCTCGGACAACTCCGCCTGACCACCGCTCGTGAACTTGCATCGCTCGCCGCGCCTAGCTCCTGCGTGTGCGTTGTACAGGGTGGTCTATCATTATTTGCCGACATGCAAAGATCAGTCACAGCGCGCGCGGGGCACATCGAAGTTCTCGAATGCCGTGTATGCGTGTGGTTTCGGTGGACGCAACGCGCGATGCTCTGCGATGCTTGATCATGGACGAGTTGATCATCTGCTACTAGTAATTGTTTGCGCTGTGTCCGTATCAACATAAGCCCAGATCAAGCAGACGCCTTACCTCAATGGCAGGATGGTGGCAGGCTTACCCGTGTGCCTCACATACTCCATATGAAGGATATGTCGTGGAACTGAGACTCAGCTCCACCAGTCGACCGTAAGTGGGAGGTTTTGACTTCAACGGACGAAGTAGGAGGGCTAGGTCCTCCAAATACAATGGGACCGAAAACGATCGTCCTGCAGTCTTGGGCTGCATACGGTCAATGGACCAATGAGCCAAGGTTAACTTACGTCACAGCAATTGATGACCATAAGCTGAAGCACAGGGCAGCGGTGCTCCCAGGCGCTACCTCAATTTCCAAATCCATATGGCTCTCATAATCCCGTATGAACACCATCCGTCTTCTGCAACACCCGAGCACGTCCAGGTACTGTGCTGATACGCCCATAGGACTGTGCCTGCTACATGGAGTAAGTATTTTGCCTGGGTACGCGTCAAAACGGTGATGAGGAGGAAGTATGGGTACGACACTGGCGCCAGAATGCTTCAATATGTTGTACAGAGGCATATGCGACGATGCACAACGATTAATGGTTTGGATTCTCAACGAGTCAACGAGAAGATCACCTCCATATCCTGCACGAAATGTCAGACGCTGACCGAGAAGCACAGCCAATACTCACCAGCTGCACTTTCTTCTCGTGAATGCTGATAGCTCTGTTCTAGCTCCTGCATAATGCGTTCTTGTGTCGCGGTGACATCGGCGGCGTCGGTGCATTGACAGTACTGTTCTAGATATACCCTACAACGACATGTTCATGTGTCAACTCGGCGAGACGATATGAATTTCACGCACTGGTTGATCTTCCAGAACGCCTCGCCCCAGCCAAACTTGCTCAGAAGGTGATCTGCATATTCCTTGAAGCCGGTCAGATAGAAGGCAGCCGCTATGGCTTCAACGCAGTTCAATCGCCAAGGCTTCCCATAGTTGACAGGGTTCGCCGCAACGAGGTAGGGCACTGGACCAGGAGAGCATGTCAGATGTAAGAGACAGTACGGGGATAGTGCGCCGACTGACGCAGTCGCTCGTATGGGTTCGCAATTTTGCCAAACGGAACATCATCCAGTCTTGCCCAGGACTGCGATACCATTCTGAAGGACGAACTCGCGGTCCGCCGGGCTGACTACTTGCGTCCCTCGCGGCCTAAGTCCCATCTAGTCAGCTCAGCCCAAAAGCGTACCTGTGAACTCACTCACGACACCACAACACCCCTGATCGCTGTCCGATTTCAGCTCTTTCATGAGGCCTAACCTCGCGAGTCGTTTGCCTGCACATCGCCGGGGGTCACAGCGGTCGAAGACCTGCGCTCTCACTTCAGCGTGAATGAAAACTTGACTTGGTGGATACGTACCCACATAGCAACGGGTACATCGATGCCGACATCTAGCACACCATGAGCAGGTGTACATCCAGGATGCAATGACCCTACTCACCGAGCGCACTGTACTAGGCTTCCTCTTCCCCAGACTCGTCAGTAACACCATCCTCTTCTCGCTCTCTTCGTCGACAACACTATCCAGCCTGTGATCGTCAACAGCCTGTACAGATCGTGAAGGCCACCGCGACTACCTCCGAGTGAACTAATGCGATGAACCACCGTCGGCGTGGCGGCTGCGCCTTGCGCCTCGCGGGTGTGGGCGGAGGTCGCCTCGGAGCCGTCTCCTCGATCGGGGAACGCCGTGATCTAGCATCTGAGATCGGAGATGTGAATCTTACGATCAGGAGGCGACCTGACTTTTGCATGTAGTCTGCTACATGGACCCCCATCCTCCTTCTCCTCCTCCTCCCCAGGCAGACGTAGAGAATTCCTTCAACCTTCGTGCCTCAGGATATCCGTGTCTGAAGTCCGAGCAAAGAATCGTATGTAACTGTTGCTCAAGCATATTGGCTTCTAACCTCACTTCCATTGCGCTGGCTCTCTGTACGACAAGTTTCTCAAGCTTCCGAATGTCTGGCCGCCAGAATCTGCGCAAGGACCCATCTAGCAGAGCGAATTACAAGTTTGCGAGTGCCACAGACCTCAAACGCGCTTTAGGTTCCAATGACGAACATGCATTAGTGGAAGGTAATGTAGATATCGTGCAGTCATCCACAGTGTGTACTGACACTGAGACTACACCAGGCCTCACCGCTCTGCGGAATCAGTTGACCATCAAGCATGACGAGCCGCCTCTCAGCGTGGGCGATGAGCGCCTCCTACTAGCTAAGGCATGGTTGGAGAGCTCGACTGGTGCGGAAGAGTTGTTTACTATATGGGAGGCCGCAACGTCGGTACGTATTTAACCTTTGTGCTCCTGCGATAGCTGAGCCATGCCCTTTAGCGACAAACATCGGTCTTGACACCTCTCGTCGGCGCTTGTCTGCCCTGCTCACACTACTATCCCCACATTATTTGTATCATACACTCGCACAATCAATCATCAGCAATCTCTTCCTTCCGCAATGGGCACATCGTCTGAACACTTACCTCGGCGGCACCCACAACGAGCTCACATTGGTAACGCTCAAACTGTTCTATGCACTGTCATGTTTCGCAAATGGGCGCGAGCGCAAATCACTTTTCGATGTCTTCGCCTGGGAGTCCAAGGTACGTATGCTCGTACTCGAAAACCATTCGTCACTCAAGCCGAACCGCAGTCGCTGCCCAAAATGTTGCACATGCGACGAAAAGGTCGCACCGACGAGGGTTTCGACATTCTCTCAAGGCCAGGTCCGCATACGATTACTTCACCTCAACCGTCCATGCTGATACACTCGCTGATGACAGACATTCGCACGTTCTTTGTGCTCTTCCTCCTCTCCTTTGTGGACGCGGAGACGCAGGCTTCCGTCAAATCTGCTTTCCTGGAACAGCGTCGCGACATATTCTCCTCAATATTTCGCGGGCTGTGGCAGGATCCGTACTCTGTTATCCGGCGCGTGCTGGAAATCTGCTGGATGGGCATATGGTCCGATCCAAAAGTGAAACGGACACTCAAAGTGCATGTCTTCAACGAGACGGTGCTGACCCAGGTACGTGGTCTGAAATACTATTTGAAAGTTCGTTCTCACCGAGGTCCCTAGTTAGCGAGAATATACGATCGTAACTCCTCTGAGGATGGCGTCACAGACCACGTCCCTGCCGATGTCGCGCACCATTTCCTGCTCGCCATTTGCACGCGTCCAGGGGTTGGGATTTGCTTCAAGGACAGAGGCTGGTACCCTCGCGATGTCAACGCTGAAGACAGTGTAGGTCTCGCCGCCGTCGACGACGCGGAGGACTTTGGCTCGAAGAAGCCTAGCAAAATCAACAATAAAATCCTGGCCAACGTTCTAAAGACCCTGAAGGTCAACGAAGACCCACGCCAACAGGAGCTTGCACTCAAGGTCATCGCTGCCTGCCCCGAACTCGTTGCTGGGTACGTCCGACCCGCGCTCCCGTCTTGTCCTCCAGAATCTCACCTCTGTGTAGCTACTGGCCGCTGCAGCGCTGACTCTAGAACCCCGCCTCTCTCCAAATGGATCGCCAACATCGCGTTCTTCGGCCTCGTCATCTCCCTCCCCGTTCCCACCGCCTCCTTCCACCTCCAGCCCACCTCCGCCCCCAGCTCCAGCACCTCCACCCCGCAATACAACCCTGTCCCCCCGCCGCTCTCCGCCATCACCGAGAACATCCTGCCGCAGTCAACATCAAGGCCCACCTCTCGCGCGGGCTCCAGGCACCCTCCCCCCTCGTGCGCCATTGCACGGCGCTCGCGCTCGCGAAGTGCATGCTCAAGTACGACGCCGTCTTGTGCGCGTTCCACGAGGTCGAGCGGGCACTCGAGGAGGACGCGGACGGGCAGTGGGCGCGCCGGCGGGGCGAGGTGGAAAGGGAGATCCGAAAGCGCGTGCCTGACTTCCAGGTCGTCCTTGGCTTCGCGCAGAAGTCGACCGAGGCCGCGAGCACACTTGCAAGCAGTGGGGTGGATGCGGAGGGCGACATGGACATGGAGCAGAAGACGCCTGCGGCAAACCCCGTGCGGAGCGCCCTCCTCGCGGAGAGCGCACAGAGGCTGCTGTGGCTCTACCACCGGTGCATGCCTGCGCTGGTGGCGGAGGCGCGGTTTGATGTTGGCAAGCTCCTCCTGAGCTTGCAAAATGTAGTCGATCGTCCGATCGCCAGCACGCCCACATCAGCACGGACGGACGGTCTTGACGTCCTTCGCCAGCTCCACGTGCTCAGACTACTCAGCGAGAGCGATCAGTTCAACTGGTCCGGCAAGGCTGGTGAGCAATGCGGTCCCTCTTAGGCACACTCGAGATACTCACAGTGCTCTAGGCGGGTCGCACAGTAATCTCTACGTCCTCCTCAAGATGTACGCCACCACTGGAAGTCCGGCCATCCGCACTGCCACTGCGACCATCCTCCGCCAGTCCCTCTCTACGAGCCTGCTGTTCCAGCACGACTCAGACGAGCTCGTGCTCTGGCTGAGATCTCTACCCATCACAGTCCGCCCGACCAGCGCACAAGCTCCGGACGGGGCGCCGCTGTCAGACGAGAGGGACGCGGTGATCGCGTTCTTGGACGACTGCGCCCAGCATTGCGCGAAGACGCCGTATCGCTACCTGGAGGAGCTGCAGTCACTCTGTTTTGACGCTAACGACGAAGACATCAACATGGATGGGGCTAACGGTGTCGTCGGGAGCGTGGACAACGAGAGCCTTCCCAGCCCGCTCCTCATTACTGTCGCGGAACATTTCACTGCCAAGCTGAGGGGAAACCACATATCCCCGTCAGACGCTCTGGCAATCGCGACGTTCATGCGGAAGCTGGTCTATAGGCTGATGAGCAAGACGTGCCAGCTGGGCTGCTTGACCAGATGTTCGAACGTCTACGTCGGGACGTGTGGCCGTTGTTGGCCTTTCCGGATTACCCGTCGATATCCCTCGCTTGTCAATCGGAGGTAGAGCACTTCGAATGGCAAGTCTCGCCAAACGACTTGGGGCTGTCGAGCTTGCAGTCGAAAACTGCAAACGACCCAGCAATAGAGAAACGTTAACCCAAGCGGAAGCATCGCCCATTCGTGAGTTCTCGCACAAATTTATAGCTCCGACAAATGCTCATATCAATACCCGGTCAATAAGCGGAACGCGATATTGAACGAAGGATGGCGGCGTTCGAACTGATCGACTGGTCCCGCTTTGTACAGCGTTCACTACTCGCGACCCAAGTGACCAGATTAATCACAGCAGTGGAGAGGCTATACGAACCTGCCCTGCCTGCGCTACTCGAAGGTCTCAGGCCGGACCTGCACTGTCTCTGGACATGCATCGATGTTCCTGTCCGCTTCTCCGACTTGCAAGAAGAGTGCGTACCAAGTATAACTAGTCTTGACGACACTAACACTAACACTATGCAGGTTGTCGTTCGAAGTGCTATTCGCACATTGCGGGGCCGTATACATGCAAGACTCGGCCGTTCGCGAGACCCTGACTGCATCTTTGGTCTCGAAGACTTCAACGCTGCTGGATATCACAAGAGGCGTGGTCCTGATCAACCACCGGCTCCGTACGCACCTTCGCAAGAAGGAAGAGAGATATGCCAGGGATGTCCTATTACTGTTGACGCATCTCGCGCAAAATGTTGAGGACAAGTTAAAGTCGAAGAGTCCACGCAACTGGTAGAGCGCCTGTTTGAGACGGACTCCGTGAAACAGCTGTGCGAGAAACCGTTGTCAGTCATGCTGCGTGAAGGTAACGTCGGTGACTCTGTCGGCGTTTACGTTATTGACATGATCTCGCAGGGCTGTCGTCTCTCCTGGAGTGCTCATTTCCCTCAGCCAGTGCCGCGGGCCGCCATCACATCGCCTCTGGTTTCGGTCGTTTCTGGTCACTCAGAGCAAGCGTGGAGAACTTGAGCGATGACGAGGTGAGTTTCAATTAGTCTTGACCTTGTTACCTATATCTCAAACAATGCAGATCGAAACGACAAGATTGTGGATTCCGTATGCAGACCCGAGCGATCTTGTCGCTCTGCTTGATCACTTCGCCGATAAAGGTTCACTAGCAGCCCAACGAGCCGACATCGTTGAAGAGGCGCTTCGGGCAATCGCCAGCGGTCTGTCTGCCGTCCAGCCCAAGGCATCGACAGTTGCCTCCCTACACTTGATTCTACCGCACTCAACACAGCTGGAACGGATTCTTGGGTCCTTACTTCACGATCAGTTACCGCTCTGCTACGATGGTATCGCTCCTGGCATGGGTGATGCGGACCTTCGCGCGGTAATCGCCGAGTCGACCAGGCGCTGGTCGAGGTGCACCGTCCAACCTCAGTCGTTCGTATCCATCGACGAGGTCCTCAAGTCTCAGCAATGGTCCGACGCCACGGCAAACATCGTCGTCAGCCTCGTGTATCGGCAGCCCTCCGCCCGTGGCGCCGTATTGAAGTGGCTGCAGGACGATGTGTCTACTGTGTGCACAACATACCACCTTGCCCGCGTGTTGTTCGCCTTGGTTGACCGCGGGTTCCTTGCGGCATCCGCGGGGGAGGACGTAGCCCATCTCGTCCAGCATCACCGTAAAGTGGTGCGCAGTCTCGCTCGCGGAAAGAACACAGAACACACCGGACGACTGTGCACCATGTACATCAAAACAGCGTGCGCGCTGATCGAGCAGGTGGGGCCAATACGTGGGCAGTTGTTAGCCGTTCTCCAACGGGAATGCGAGAAGCAGAGCTCGAACTCTGTATCGTTCCACTTGACACGAGTCTTAGCGATTTTGTCTCCACGCATGAAGACGGACGTGGCAGACATCGCGGAAGAGCTGATGGCAAAGGCACTTCCTTGGGCTGTGCAGCTGCTCTCTAGTGGAGAAGCCCTCACTTCCGCAGAGACCGAGGTATTAGCTGACTTGGGTATGCATGCCGACAGGTCTGATCCCCTCGTATGCTGATGCATCTCATAGGCATCATTGCAAAGGCCGTGTCGCCTAGAAGCCACTTGGTCGAGCCAGTTCTCACAGCGGTGGCACAGCAACGTCTCGGCGACGTCTCCGTAATACATTTCGCGGGGATTCTCGTCCAGGCTACGTCTTTGAAGGTGAGATTGAGACTCAGTGACTGCCGCACGAATCTGCTAACACTTGCATAGCCCTTCACAGTCAACAAGTTCCTGCAGAGCATCGTTCAACACCCTCAACTATATGCATTCTGTGGTCAAGACGCTCGCATTCGGGATGCAATCGCAGATGTACTATTTGTTCTGTTCCGCCTCCATCCCTCCAACGCCTGCCAACCAACGCATATTGAGCCCTTGCTACGGCTGTACACCGGATCTCTCTCCGCGCCTGACACGAAGATACTATACATATTCCGCCTCTTCGAATCTACTCGCAAGACGTCTTGCTCGACGCTTCTGAGCCGTTGGTCCTCTCCGCAATCTGGGTTGTCGTCCACTGCGTTGGATGCTCTTCTGAGCTTGGACCCGAATAGAGTACTGAAGACGTGTCTCGACTTCCCGCAGTACCGTCGGATGCTAGCAAACATGGATGATGGTCAAGCAGCGGTTGACGCGATTTACGATCCAGTCTTCATCTTGTTGCTATTGTCGCAAACATTATCGTCAAGTCCTCCAACCTCAGCGCTGAACTGGGTTCAATTGTTCAGGACAAATGTGGTCAGCCTCCTGATTCGTGCTGTGTCTGCTAAGGACGAGCAGCTGCGCGACGTTGCTCTGGCACAGTTGGCAGCGTTGCACAAGACCCTTCAGGCGCGCCGTTCCCTTGCGATACATCCTTGCACACACCGCTGACATCGTTGCTTAGGATGCCGACATGCAAGAGCAGCCCCACGTGCTATATATACTGAACATGCTGAAGGACGCTCTCGCCGAAGCTCCCAAGGAGACCGTCCCGCGCTTACCAGCATTCACTTCATTAATCCTTGCACATGCGCTCCGGGCCATGTTCTATCCGTCAAACTTTATCTATCCTCTAACTGCACGCTTCCTACTCCAGCGGGATAAGCTAGACACGAGCGACGTGCCCATGTTATTTGGCATGCTCTACAGCTCGTCCGATCAATGGAAGAAGGAGCGAGGCTGGATCGTCAGGTTCCTGAGCGACGCGATGGTCGGCTCCGACGAATGGAGGATTCTGCAAAGACGACACACATGGGACCTCCTGGCGAGTCTGTACCAGAGCGAGGAACGAGACCGCGCGTTGAGGCGCGGGATCCTGGAGGTGCTGGCCAACATCACTTGCAATGCACGGGCGACAACTTCGCTCATTCTCAAGTCAGCGTTGCTGCCTTGGATTGAGATGCAAGTCAAGACCATGGGACACGACGAAGGACTGGCTTGGGCGAAGACATTGGCGAATGTTGTAGCAAGCGTGGATTCTGCGAAGATAGAAGCCGCGACAAGTGGCGAATGGCGTCTCGTGTTGGGCAGATGTATCCACACTATCTTGACTAGCTCTGGCAAGTCCCCAGTGTCTCTCATACGCGTAGGAAATTGCTGATCAGGTTTGCGTGTAGCCTGCACATCGCTGATCTTCCCATACCTGACGGACGTGCTCCTCCGGGTTGCCCTCCTCCCCGGATCGCCCACGCTAGCGCTCAATCGCATAGTCGGGCCTTGCCTTTCTTGGCTAACGAAGATGGAGGAGGGCTTGAACGTTAATTCGGCCCCACCGTTGTCTGTTTACAGTCAAGATCAGCCTAGCAGACATCTGCCTCCGCATAGCTCGCACGGATTGTTCGATCATGGCCCTCACGATGCGGTCCAGGAGTGGGGCGAATGCGTTGAACGGCTATGGAGGACATGCATGGTACAGGATGTGAAGTGTGTGGAGTGGGATGCCTTGACCCATCGACTATTGGTGTGGAATGCTGTCAAGGTCGGTGAGCAGACGGTGGTAGGAGAGTGGGCAAGGCAGGAGGTGGTCCAAAATTTGGCTTCTGTGTAATCTCGACTCCTGGGAACGGGTTTTATCTAGCTGGTATGCATGATGTTGAATCAGTTATGCGCATGCAGTATGTACAATTTGAAACCACTGCGAATTAGCAACCAGGTCAACCAATATTCATAAGTAGTGGGCACGTGACATGAGGTCAAACATCGCTCCAGAGTCAGCGACCTCGGAATTCGGGAGCGACGGCGGCACTCGACCACCGCCTTCTCGAACGTACAATCAACACGTCCCTTGGATCCAGCCAGCATCTCTGAACGGGCTGCTACCATCGCCGTCTTTTGGAAGGGCGACATATTCAACTAACATACTAGCGTGACAGCCGGAACGGGTCCTGCGCACCCTACGACACCACCTTTGTGCCAGTGCACCACACAAAAGGAATTACGAGATGCCTCCTCGATTGAATAAACGCCAATTGCGCGAACAAGAGGAGCTTGCTGTTCTCGAGGCAGCGAAGGAGGAAGATGAGGCTCCAGAAGTCGAAGAGAGCGCAGATGAGATATCGCACCCGGGGAAGAGCACGGGTGGTGGTTACGCGGCAGTAAGCTCTCATATACTTCCACATTTGGTCCAGACTGACTGTTTCGTAGCTTATGAACGCAGCGGACTCGGACTCGGAGAGCGATGCTCCGTCAACACCCCGGGCTACGAAACCGAAGAAGGCTCGTGAGCCATCACCGTTGCGTACACATATAGTCTGATTCTGACCCTACTTGCAGAAGAAGAAGAAAAAGAAGCCCGCTAGCACTCAGTCGCCCGCTGCTCCTACACCTCCACCCGAAATCGCTGAGATGAAGACCCAGGGCGAAGCTAGCCCTTCACCTCGGTCCAAGAAGGAGCGGAAAGCAGCCAAGAAGCAGAAGGCAAAGGAGCAGAAAGACGACCGCGACGACGTAGACAAGGCACTCGCGGAGCTCTCGATCAAGTATCCGGACCTTCAGCAGGTCGTAGCGTCGACCAGCGCCTCTCCTGCAGCACGCAACACATCCGGGGCCCTCGCATCTCTGCTCTCAGTATCTATCCAAAACCTTGACGCCGAAGTGGAACTCCGCAAGTTTTTCGGAGCTAAAGTCATCTCTGCTGCGAAGTCTTCTGAGGCGGGAACATCTAAGCGGGCGGCAGCAGCGGCGGCGAGGCTCAAGTCACAAGCCAAAGCGACCCTCGCACGCCCCAAGGGCAATTGGTGGCCTGTGAATCATCGGGAAGGGCTGTCCTCACAACAGTACACCCCTGAAGACGAAGAGGAGATGCGCGGACGACATGCGTGGTCACCATTACTCGGCGAGAAGGTATGGGCGGTGGAGTACAGCAAGAAGTACCGCGCTATCACCTTAGCTTTCATGCAGACTGTCATGTCTGGAGGTACTCCCCTTTATATCCAACGATACCGTCAACTGAGAATGTCGTAGATCCTGCGGGCTTCAATCAGATCTTGGGCCAGATGCCATATCATGGAGACACGCTCCTGCAGATGTCCGAGGTGTACTTCCACAGGGAAGAGCATAGCACTGCTGCGGACATGATTGACAGGGCACTCTTTGGCTATGAGCGAGCATTCTTAGGCACCTCGTTCAACTTCACAACAGGTGTGAACCGCCTCGATTTCGATCGCGTGGAAAATCGACCATTCTTCCTGGCCGTACACCGACAAATCAGGTATGTCGTCTTTCTCCACAACGTTGGTCTCTCACAATGTTTGCGATATAGCGATCTGCAACGCCGAGGATGCGTGCGCACCTCGTTCGAGTTTACGCGACTGCTGTACTCACTTGACCCCTGGACGGACCCGCATGGCGCACTCTTGCATCTCGATTACCTCTCTCACAAAGCGGGTATGGGCCAGTGGTTGCTCGATGTCTGGGAGTTCTTCTCGAAGGTCAACGACGATGACGGTTTCCGAAACCGACTGCGGCCTACTGTGCTGCCCGGATGGGCGTACGCAAGGGCACTGGCCCAGTATACCGATGAAGAAACGAAAGGTCGGGTATGTATATCTGCTCGGTCTTTCAGGAGCATTGACCTGATAGATGCTCGCAGGATCATGCCGAGAGTACGGCCGCTCTCGAGGAGGCGATACTCTCATTCCCCTCCATCGTCCCCCTCCTCGCTGACAAGGCGGACATCTCACTGCCAGCGTCGGTCAGAGGACATTCAGCATTCCGCGTGTACCCTGATGCCAGCTCGCTGCCCACACCATCTGCCGGGATCCTCCACCTACTGTCTCATCTCTACGCGCAACGCTCATCTTCACTCTGGAAGATACCCGAACGCGCTTCTTGGTTCGCCCAGACCGTCAGCGCGAGCGTATCGTCGCTACCGCCGTCATACGACACCACGTCTCCCGCCTACCTCGGCTTCATGGCGCTCTTCAGCAGACCAGAGATCGCACACGGGGTCTACCGCCACGCCATCGTGAACGAGGGGTCCTGCCGCCGACTCTTCGGGTTCATCCCGCGTGAGGTCACAAACGCGAAGCACCTCGCGTGCGACCCGCTCCCGCCGCCGACGCGCGTGAACGAGTATGACGCGGAATTTTTCCGCGGCGTAGAGGACGCACTGCACATCCAGCGGCGCAGCCGCAAGGCGAACGAGCGCCTCCTGCAGCAGCTTATCCCAGATCCCGTCTTCCGCCGGCAGATGCAGGACTTCTGGGCCGCGCACCCGGCGTTCCAGCGCCAGTTCCCTGGGGGGTTCGTCCACTTTGCGGAGGTGCTGCAGCAGATTGGCCCGGAGGCGGTGGAGGATTTGATGATACAGGTGGCGGATCAGGCGGGGCAGGGTGCAGGAGATGAGATGCCGGGAGGCTTCATGCCCATGGACGAGATGCTAGGGGAGCTTGCAGGGGCAGCCCCAGAGCTAGAACTTGCGGGCGCAGATGATGTCCAGGAAGAAGAAGACGAGGAGGACGAGGATGATGAGGATGAGGAAGCAGTAGCGGTGAGTCACCTCCAATGTACGAACGTACCATTCTCTGAATGCCTGTATCTGCAGCCTCTACCCGTACGCGTGCTGCGGAACTTAGTGAACCGATTCTGGGGCAGTGGTGCAGCTGAAGAAGATTCGTCTGACGAGGATGAAGGGGATGAAGCACACCCACCAGTTGAGGACGGAGTCGACTGATGCAATTGAGTATGGTAAAGTAGGAGTAGTGTTGTACGTCTAAGCAATGTGAAATGGATATCCACTCGACAGGCGTAGCCATGACTTGACGAGAGTGACGCTCGCGCTCTATTGTACCCTCCTAGGCCTGCAAATTGTCTGAACTTGTGTAAAGACTAACATCGTAGCCGGTAGCAGATCGGGAATGCCTGCGGAAACCCTGCGTGTCGTCGCTGACTTGAAGGCCAAGCTCAGAAGCACTCTGAGTCGAACATTATAGAGGCGCAGAGCCTTCTTTTCGCTGCTCCCTCGTTAGGTTGACATTGACGCTAACGTATGGTCGCAGCTAATGACATTTCTTCAGCACATGCCCTGACAGTCAAAGGTCGCAAGACGACGCACCTGAGTGTTTTGGATCGTCTCTATGGATGGTGCTACAAACGCTCGGACCTTCTCGTCCACCAGGCGATACTTCGCCTTGCCGCCAACGACATGCTTTCCCGGCGCGCCTGTGCGTAAACCTCCGCCAGGGACAAAGGCCTGTCCGGTACCTAGCCATAACATGAGTTGCAGTACGAAGCCAACTGGTAAGAGCGCACCTTTGTAGAAATCTTTGTTACCCCTCTTCGGCGTGAGCGTTCTCCGAGAGGCTTTCGAGAGCCTGACGAGGGTCGGGAACATGGTCACGGTACGGTGGCAACTGCAAGCTCGCGCCCGTTCGCGCTGAGCGCGCGCGCAAGGTACGCGAAATTCTCACGCATACCCGTCATGGCCAGAGGAGGCGGCTCGACCTCCCGCCCACACCGAGGCGCAAAGCGCGGCCGCGGTTCATCGCATCAATTTAGAGGTGGTCGCGGAGGGCGGCCTTCACGACCTGCACAGGACATCGACGACCGCAGGCCGGACAGTGCGGTCGATGAAGAGAGCGAGGAAGGAGATGGTGCCACCGACGAGTCTGGGGACTCGAAGAGGAAGACAGTGGGCCTGGTAAGTAGTGTCGATGCATCCTGCATCTACACTTGCTCATGGTGTGCTAGATGTCAGCATCGATGTACCCGTTGCTATGTGGGTGCGTATCCACCAAGTCGGGTTTCCATGCACGCTCAAGTAGGAGCACTCTGGCAGGACTTCGACCACTGTGACCCCCGGCGATGTTCAGGCAAACGACTCGCGAGGTTAGGCCTCATGAAAGAGCTGAAAATCGGACAGCGATTCAGGGGTATTGTGGTGTCGTGAGTGAGTTCATAGGTACACTATTGGGCTGAGCTGACTAGATGGGACTCAGACCAAGAGGGACGCAAGTAGCCAGCCCGGCAGACCGCGAGATCGTCCTTCAAAATGGTATCGCAGTCGTGGAGTGCTCCTGGGCAAGATTGGATGATGTTCCATTTGGCAAGATTGCGAGCCCACATGAGCGACTACGTAAGTCGGCCTACTGTCTCCGTACTGTCTCTACCTCTGACATGGAATCCTGGCCAGTGCCATACCTCGTTGCGGCGAATCCTGTCAACTATGGGAAGCCTTGGCGATTGAACTGTGTTGAAGCAATAGCGGCTGCCTTCTATCTGACCGGCTTCAAGGAATACGCAGATCACCTTCTGAGCAAGTTTGGCTGGGGCGAGACGTTCTGGAAGATCAACCAGTGCGTGAAATTCATATCGTCTCGCCGAGTTGACACATGAACATGTCGTTGTAGGGTATATCTAGAACAGTACTGTCAATGCACCGACGCCGCCGATGTCACCGCGACACAAGAACGCATTATGCAGGAGCTAGAACAGAGCTATCAACAGTCACGAGAAGACAGCGCAGCTGGTGAGCGTTGGTTATGCTCCTCGACCAGCTTCTAACTTTTCGCGCAGGATACGGAAGTGATCTTCTCATCGAGAATCCAAACCATTGAGCACGGCCTCGACTTTCAGTGTGTATCATCACCTGCCCCCGTGTATATCAAACATTCTGGCGCCAGTGTGGTATCCATATCTTCCTCATCGCTGTTTTGACGCGTTACCAGGATTGATCCCAACAACCCAACGGCTTCGCAAAATCTCACCGATGTCATTCACGGCCATGACGGTAAGATACGCACTGACAGTTCTTGTTCCGCCGGCTTTGCCCCACTGGCGAACGTCTGAACGCTGGGTCAGGACAAGCAAATGCCGTTCCACCACGCTCAGCTCACGGCTGTGCCCTGATACCTACCTCGCATAGTCCACGTCTTGCCACATCCGTCCTCCCGCGTAGGGCTGAGGCTGGATGGGTAGCGCCGCTGTTCTGTTCCTTAGCTCATGGCCATCAATTGCTGCGACGTAACTTTGATCCATTGACCGTATGCAACCCAAGAGCCCAAGACTGCAGGTGGCTGCAGGTCCGTCGTGTTCAGTCTCGTTGCTATCTTGAACTTACACTCAGCCTCTTGGTCATCCGTTACAATGGAAAGCCTCCGTCTGCATGTTCTACTGGTGGAACTGAGTCTCAATTCTAAGACATTCTTCATACGCAGTATCTGAAGCACGCGCACAAAGGAGGTACATAGGGCATGCGCCTCTGTTTGCTGATCTGGGCTTACAATACTTACGCTGAATCCTGATACGGACGTGTCACAGTCAAATAAGTAGCAGGTGATCAACTGAAAGTACTCTCATCGAGATCCATGATCGAACATCGCGCGTTGCACGCCCCGATCTGTGATGTGCGCGCTGAGCGCTGTGATTGAACTTTGCATGTACATAGGGCGGCTGGAGACCATATGACCGGAACATATCTTGCTGTACTGCGCCCCGGTTCCGCGGTATTTATCTTGCAGCTTCATGCTCTTGCGGAGTATGTCCTCTTTCTTGAGAAGCTCCCCGATCACCAGGTTGTAGTATCGGAAACGGACAAGCAATGATGTCTTCCTCTGCGACGGTCCCTCTCGCGTGATCGACGCCTTTACAACTGCTGTAAGCCTCCGCTCTGTCTAATCCAGCCCGTCGTACAAAGTACTGACCGACTCCATGGACCCATGATAGTGCTGGACCTCAGGTTAGTGATTGTACACTACTATGCACAGCGCGGAGAAGGACTGACGTCGTACGGCACAGCTACTTGGTGTGTTCTTTAACTGGGGTCTCCTAGGAGTCTTAACGCTACAATGCTGTGAGTCGGACCTCGTTTGTCTGTATGCGTCTTCAAGTCGGCCCATAAGTACGCCCGGTCAGATTCATATTACGACAACTTCAAGACAGACCGACTCTCCCTTAAATTTCTCGGTGTGCTCCATCCTCTCTGCCATATATCACGACCAATCGCTCACGGTCACTCACCATAGTGCTCAGCGTGCTCATCTACGAGTGGGTGCAAACCGGGCTGATCACGGCAGCCGCGATGCAGATCTATGTGTACGACTACGGGAACGTCATCTCGATGCTCGCCTTCCACAACACCTGGTTCTCCGCGACGATCATGTGCGGGCTCATCTCGGCCGTCGTGCAGACATTCTTCGCGTGGCGGATCTTCAAGTTGTCGCGGTCGCGCGTGCTCGGCAGGTCCATGGCTGCGTTCATTCTCGCCGTGCGTGTTGTCTGGTCTGGTGTCATGTGATGGGGCCGACGTTGATAGTGGTATGCGAACAGCTCGCGGTCATGCAGATGGTTGCATGCATGGTCACGGGAGCGAAGGTGAGTCACAGCCCGTGGCGAATGGGTAGACTCGAAGCTGAAGAACTGAATGCAGGAGAAAGCTGAGGGCATTGCGTCTGCACTGCACGGGCAGCTGCTTACCGCCGCCATCGTAGGTCTCCTGCTAGTCCCCATATCCCATCATCTGCTTATGAAACCTAGCTCTGGCTCGCGGGCGCCGTCGCGGTTGACGTGCTGATCGCCGTATGCATGACCTACTTGGTATGTCCCCCTCGCGCATTCGCTACTAGTGTACTCAATGACGCCGCAGCTCATGAGGAGCAAGACCGGTATAGCATCAACAGACGCGCTCATCAACAGGATGGTCCGCCTGGTGGTTGAGACAGGCACTCTGACTGGTATGTCTCCCCTGTTCTTCGCGTGTCAGCGATCCGACAGGTCCTTCGTAGCTAGCCTCTCGATCCTTGTCCTTATCACCGCGAACATCCGACCAGTGAGTGACGATAGCTGCTTCTTCGGAGGATGTCGGTCGGACTGACCTGCATCTCAGCTGCATGAGACGCTAGTCTATGAGGCGCCTGCGCTTATCCTCACGAAGATGTAGGTCTTCTCCGAGGCGTAAACGTACATTACTAACGGTGTCCAAGGTACTCGAACACATTCCTTACTAATCTCAATAGTCGCGTGTACCTACGCAAGTACGACAAATCCACAGTCGAACTCCCGCCGGTGAGCGGGTCCGTTTCGCCAATAGCACTGCCTCCGAGGCCCACACGAGCACCGTGGAGATGGCACAGAAGAGCTTTGCCCTCGCGGGCGCACTCGAGAGCAGCCGTAACACGGGGCCGTGATGCACCGGAGGGACGCGGGCACAGAGAGCGACGACACGGTCTCTGAGAAGTCAGAGAAGCGTAGGCAGCGGCGGAACTCGATCGTGTAAATGATGTGGACTCCTCTGTAGTCGGATGGTCTCTGGTGGAGTATTGTTCGAGGCCGTGGCTAATGGGGAAGTGCACAGATCCGCCCGTGGACTGATCCTCCAAGTCTGTCCATGTGAAGCGAGTGTCATGGATGTTCCGTGAGTGGTGATTGTGATATGGCGCTGCCGTAATGTTCTCTACATATGTGCTGTTATCAGGTACTATACTATGTATTCTACGCGAGCAGGAATGCAGCTCAACGCGAGAGACGACGAGGAGACGCGAAGGACGCGTTTACACGGTACACGTGACCGTAGGTCGCGGTCGCCATTGCTGGCAGCCACAAGCAGCTCCCCGATTCACCTCGTCTCCACATTCACTGTTGTGCACATGTCGAGTGCGACTGCATACAGCGTACATATCGCATGGACGGCGGTGTCGAGGCCTGCGCTGTTCTCCATATCTCGACAGTCAGTTTGCATAGCAATGCACACTGATCGACCTTCGTTCTCTATGGAGCCGGCAAGTCAGTTCGAGCTTCATTCTCAAAGATCTCAATAACGAACACACTACCCCTCAAGGCCTCACCGGCCCGCCGGCCACCGTCAGCGTCAGTTTGAGTCGTCGTTATTCTGAGAGGTATGCATTGCCCTCCAATCATTCTTCGCCCCGGTGGCTTGGTCTTTCATGAACTGCCACCATGTGCATGCACTCTCATCCATTCTTTGCCCCTAATGTTCATCACAGCTTGCACCCTCATCGTTCTTTGGAGTGCAGACGATAAGTATAGGACCATCATATAAAGCGGGGGACGTGGCAAGAGGTACGACCAACCACACTTTTCTCCCGTGCGTGATATATTCATCATGAGGACATACACTATCCACTTCCTTACTCTCTCGATCTCATGCGTAGCTCTCGTATCCGCGAAGGGTAGATTTAATGGACGGCCTGGCATCAAGAAGGTCGAGTTGTCCATCATGGCCTGCCCTGGACCACCAGGGGAACGATTACCACCGCTGGATACGACGTACTACTTCGATCAACTCATCGACCATGACGACCCGAGCCTAGGGACGTTTAAACAGCGGTACTGGCACACTTGGGAATTTTATGAACCGGGTAAGGGTGCCTCCATACGTCACCTTGCGTCCCTTCCTCATGCGCTCCTGTGATCCGGCAGGTGGTCCGATCGTTTTAACGACCCCCGGAGAAACGAACGCGGACGGTGAGTTCATTTAATCACGCATTTACCTCGAACTCAACGCAATGTTCATATCTTGCAGGTTATGAATCATTTCTGACCAACGTAACCGTGAACGGGATGATTGCTCAACAGCAAGGCGGCGCCACGATTGTCCTCGAACATCGCTACTACGGGTACTCCAACCCGTACTCCGACCTCTCGACAGAGAGCTTGCGCTACCACACCATTCAACAGGCTATCGACGACCTCGATTACTTCGCCTACAATGTCGTGCTTCCCATGCCGAACGGCGCACACGTCACTCCTGACGAGGCGCCATGGGTCCTCATTGGGGGCAGCTATGCTGGCGCATTGACGAGCTTCACGAAAGTCAAGTACGTCGGACGTGCAGCTGAAGTGAGGGTTGTTTCTGACTGAGAGCTCGGATATTCCCAGCAAACCAGATGCGTTCTATGCTGCTTGGTCGTCTTCCGGCGTTGTTGAGAGCATCGTGTAAGATCACTGTCTCTTCAAGTTCTAGTCACGGCATCGTTGACGACAGTTGATTTCGCAGCGACCTCTGGGGTTATTTCGATGTCGTCCGGACGCATATGCCGCAGAACTGCTCCGCCGACGTCCAGGCGGTCATCGCGCACATTGATGAAGTCTTCACCTCCGGCAATGCAGCAGATATCGAACAGATACAAGACATGTTCGGTATGAGCTTGGCCCACCTCGATGATTTTGCTGCTGCCCGTGCGTTGCTCTTCCATGGCCATTTCCCTGATACTGTCAATAACTGACTCTACACATATAGTGCGTGAACCTCTGTTTTGGTGGCAAGACCTCCAGCCGTCGCCATATCTCTCCGAGACGGCTTTCTTTGACTTTTGTGACGCTCTCGAAGTCGAAGGAGATGAGATTGGTCCCGCAGCGGGGTGGGGTCTGGATCACGCGCTGAACGCCTGGTCTAGTTACTGGACAGGAACTTACTTGCCTTCAGGTACGGTATGCACGCTCAGTAGGAATTTACCGTTACTGATGCCTCAGCTGTGCGTGCAGTCTGTCCAGACGGCGATGACGAGTTCGTGACACTTGACGCGCACCGGGCTGCTGATATGAATGCTAATCATCATGCAGGTCTTGCTTCGGCACGTACGACGCGAGCTCATCTCGGTACACCGACACCAGTGTCAACAACGCAGAACGTTCCTGGTATTGGATTGTGTAAGTTTACGTCCCGACATCGCAGAATCACGCTCATCGGAACCTACAGGTGCAACGAGATGGGTTTCTTCCAAGATGGCGCACCGAATGACACAGAGACCATTGTATCTCGACTGATTCAGCCCGTCTACGATGAGGTAAGTCGGCGCGCCCGGTCAGAGTGACATCGGTCTACTAAATGAGTCACATCGAACAGAGACAGTGCACGTATATGTTCCCCGAGGCCTTTAGCGCGCCTCAAAGCCCTAGGGCGAGTGCGACGAACGAAGCATACGACGGCTGGTTCGTCCAAGACGACCGACTCTTTTTTGCCAATGGCCAGAGTACGTCCCGCTACATGTCTGGCTCGTCATGATCCTCACCCGCCGTTACTCCTGGTAGGGGATCCGTGGCGCGATGCGACGGTGTCCGCAGACGGCACGAACTTTACGAGCACGGCCATGCAACCTATCGCGCTCGGAGACGGGTTCCACGTTTCTGATCTGTATGCGGTCAACGGGGAAGCAGACCCGACCATTGCGTCTGTGCAAGCCCAAGGCTTAGCTGCCATGAAGGATTGGCTCGCGGACTGGGAAGCGCCGCAGAAACGGTCGGTCATCGAGGGTCGCTAGCACAGTACTCTTCCAGCCTGAGACCACTTTATCTACATGCCCGAGGTCCCATCCATGGTAACGGTACAATGTCACGACACCTGTCATCTCCTATTCGATGCTGTATACAGATACATTGTACAACAAGTCTGAAGTCAACCGCGAACCCAACTATACAACCGCTGTTCAACCAAAACCTACACCTCCTTCGGCTGCGGACGCTCGATGACTGTCACCTTCAGAGGCATCTGCGAACCAAGCTCGGGCTTGCCCCTGATCATCGGAATCATCAGACCTCCGGGAACGCGCTGGATGTCCGGCTTGTCGTCGGGAATGGCGACCTCGAAGTTTTCTAGGAGTTCAACCATGATTGCTTGCAGCTCGATGACCCTAAACGATCGCACGCAAATTAACTCAGTGAGTGTGCTCTCTCAAACCAACGTCGGAGGATATAACATACGTGAAACGCCATCTGAGGCATAGGATTCATGAGTCGCCCGGTGGGATGCAGAAGGATCATCAATGCTCACCCGATGCACGCCTTGACGCCGCCGCCTGTAGCCAGATCAACAAGAGCTCACCACATCACAACCATGCAGGAGAAAGCACGCACTGAACGTCAACCTTTGTGCAGTGTCAGACCACGACACGCACGAATTAAGCAATGACCACGCACAAATTTCCGTAAACACCGACGTTGATCTGCTTTTCCCGATTGGTGTTCATCCAGCGGTACGGATTCCACACCTGAGCATCTTCGCCCCAGACCTCCGGCAGCCTGACATGGCAGATAATCGTGGGTATGGTGAAGGTTTCGGAGACTAGATGGGACTGACCGATTATATCCGCACAGCGAGAGGTTGATTGTCGTACCCTTTCTGACAGGGATCTCTGAGATAACATTTCCGTTCACATCCCGTACGGGATTCGAGAGGGGGATCACATCGTCTTTGCTGGCAGTGCGCACCATATTGTACACGATGGGGTGGAGGCGCATCACTTCCTGGGAATCATAGATATAGCGAGTCAATCATGAGTCGAGGATCTGAGTCCTGACCCACCTTCATGCATGCGATGACGAATGTCATCGAGTCTAGGTCGGCGACGGTGAAGTCATCATCTCCGCGAGCTGTAACCTTCGCGCGCACAGCTGCAATCTCGTCGCGCAATTTTGACTGATATGCTTGGTCCTTCGCCAGCTCGAACATGATCCAGGTAAGCATGGACGCAGTTGTCTCGTGGCCTGAGGTGCGTGAAGCGATCGCCGTCAGACTGTCGGATCGGCTGTTAAGAAGAGTGACGTACCTGCAAGGAAGAACGTCGCCATCTGTGAGATCATCTCCTTGTCCTTCATGCGCGTCTTTGGGTTTTCCGAGTGGTTGGCCTTGACTGAGAATGCGCATGAAATCAGGCTTACCGTCATCATCAAATAGTGGGCACAGAATTACCGAGGATACTCATGATGTCTCTGAGGTTCTCGTCCTTTCTGTCCAGGCACGCTTGCGTCTTCTCCGCAATCAGTCTATTCGAGAGCCTGTTGATGACTGTCAGGGTGTGCCGGAAACGGCGGGCCTCCCGGGTCGGAAAGTAGTCAACGATTCGAATGAGACGGTCCGGTATGTACGGCCAGAGGGCGCGGAAAAGAAGAGTCGCGCCAGACGGATACATCACGGAGTCCCGACTGCGGGTGCATGGTTAGCTATTCGGCGCTGATAGCATACCAGGCGTAGGATTACGCACAACATGTTCTTGTACGCGTCGACAACCTCATTGTCCTCTTCGTCGAGTGCACCGCAACGATAGTCATATGCAGCTGAGGGAACCCCGAGATGTGGGCATCAATCGCGGGTGCAGGCTGGAAGCAGACCATACCTTCTCCAATTACATCCAGTGTCGTCCGCGTAAACCAAGAGTTTACGTTCAGGACGTGGTCAGCGGGAGAGGTAGTATTCTTAAGACTGTCTCTCCATTTGCTCGTAAGCTACATAGAATACGGTTAGCTCTGGACGTCACAGAGTTCAATCAGATGGGCAACAGCTACTCACCCTGCGCGCCGAGTTTCTGAAGAGGGGCAGGAAGGAGCGGAGCTGAGCGGCGTTGAACGCTGGGTTCATGATTCTGCGCACGCGCGCATGGTCATCTCCTGTTTGTACAGCAATACACAGTTGACTTGGCTCAGTCATGATGCAGAAAACCTTCGAACGTCGTGACAGTACCTTCCACGTAGAGTATACTGTCCCCCATGATCTGTCGCGCGATGTGTCTCCCAGTAACCGTCCGCGGGTACTGGTACCCCGATGTTTGTAAAACATATTGGATCGCCTTGGGATCAACAATCCAGAGACTATCTTTCTGCATGATCCAGCGTATGGGCGTGTTTGTGGCGGATAGAAATACTGAGACTTACGTTGAGACACTCCTTCATGCGCCATGCAGAACCGTATTCATGCATGTGTTCAAACTGGATATCGCCGACGTCCTTCTCTCTTGTTGTCGCAAGACTATGGCCTAATGAATGTGTCATGACTGCGATTTCACAAATTTCGCAGATACCTGAACTGACCGTAGAGCCAGCTGGGCGACGGTGGTCCCCGAACATGCCTGAACGGTGAACGCTTGAAGAACTTGCGGAGGCTGAGTGCCAAAGCGATGACAGCGGCCGCTGCATAAAATATGAGTACGCCGTCCATGTAGTATCAGCGTTTCAGTGTTAGCGGATTGCTGTAAGCTAGGTCAACGTATGCCCAACCACCATGATTGTGCACTGGCAGACTTACTGCTCGGAGGTGTAGGGGTGTGCCACTGGAGAGGACCAAAGAACTTGATGCCGCATCCTTTGCTATATATGCACTGCTATTGTCACGGGAATTCTCGCACACTTTACGCAGAAGCAGGGGAATACGTGTATTCCCGAGTGCGCGCACGCTTTCTCGGAGGCCTTGGGAAACGCACATCAGCAAACCCTCGTAATCAGGAGCACACCTCCGGTTCTGGGTCTCGCCTATGCTCGGCTTCTTATAGTTGTGGTGGGAATGCGAGCCGTCACCACGCGCTGCTGTCCACTCAGTCTTGTGATGTAAACAAGCATTGCGTCGAGTATCTGTGAGGCTCCTAGTCAATCATCGCACACGTTGAACATTCAACAGACTTGTGGACTGGGATGCTATCAGCCAGAGTCATTCAATTTGTCTGTCGAAACACGAACCTGCAGGCTGCGGAGTTGCCATGTTGGGATGCTTTCATTTCAGCGCCGGAGAGGCGCCCACGGTTCTTGGAAGTACTTCGAATTCGTCGCAGCATACGTACCCTGCCAGAGTCGTGGACTTGCGAGGCCATAGCGGAGGACTTTCACTGCTGGTATGTACTTGACATCGACCATATGTCTCCGATCGTAACCTTCGTCTGTTCTTCGAACTCCTGGGACCTGTAGGAGCCTGAACATGGGACCAAGACCGTAACAATAATGACGGTGACTACGCCGCAGTGGTGCGGCGAGTCGCGCGTGGCATGAATTGATAGTGTGGGAAGGCAGCAACGTTCCACTTAACCTTGGCAAGTGCCAGAAGCTGCACTGTTCGACCTTGACGTCGACAGACGACACGACCTCATCGCATTGACTGAGCACTGTCGATCAGAGGCTCACGCTGGGTGCTGGACGCATCCGTAAGTACAGGCAAGGACAAGCTATTGATTAGGAGACTTACAAGTAAGGCTGGTTGGGCCCCGTGCACCGTGAGGGAGCGCATGATCTCTGAAGTGCTCGAGTTCACTGCCAAACCTTGTGGCATCGTTGAAGACTCTGTTGCAGCAGCCCAGCGTGCTGTCGAAACAAACCGGCCATCCGATATGCGAGACGCACGAAGGCTTCACAAACCACATAGTGATACACGGGCCAGTCGCAGGTACGTCGTAAAGTACAGAATACATTTCGTTCGGGATTTGTGGCGGGCTATCTTCGTAGTGTCAGACATCTTACGGGTTACCTAGACAGAGTCAGGAAACTACAGGCGATGTACGCTTGACCGGAGTGATCTTCAATGGCATTTGTGAACCGAGGGCCATATTGTTCCTTATCATGGGGATGGTGACACCTGCAGGGACGCGCTGAATGTCAGGCTTCTCGTCAGGGAGTGCGAACTCGAAGTTCTCGATCAGCTCGACGAGGACGGCCTGGATCTCAAGCACGGTGAAGCGCCAACTATAGTCGTAATTCATCAGCAAGCACTGCGCATACTTCAAACAGAGAGAGGCTCACCCCAGACATGCCTTGTTCCCTCCTCCGAAAGTGAGCCTATTCCATCGTAAGATCCGACGCACTAGTAGAATGGGAGGAAGGTTGCCTCACAAGTTTGCATACACACCAATGCTGAGTTGCTTCTCCTTGTCGATTGTGAAGAATCGCGATGGGTTCCAGCTGTGAGCGTCTTCACCCCACACTTCTTGTAAACTGTATACAGGTTCAACGAAACCTGATGCGTGTTCAAGGACATGAACGCACCGATTGTAACCCCACGACGACACGCTGATGTACTGTCCCTTTGCGATTGGGATCTCGCTGATTGTTTCGCCGGTGGTAGTTGTAATGGGTTTTGACAGCGGGATCACATCGTCCCTGTCTGCCACTCGTACGAGCAAGTACACTATCGGATGCAGGCGCATGATTTCCTAAATGGAGTCAGCCTTAGCGACGCGTGGAAGGAGAGGAATAGCTTCAGCCCTGCATACCTTGATAGCTGCGTTGACGTACACCATAGACTCCAGATCCGCGACAGAGAACTCGGTATCTCCCTGGCGACGACATCCGCGCGAGCCGCCGCGACCTCCTCCCGAATCTTCTGTTGGTAGTCGACATCCTTCGCGAGCTCCCAGAACAGCCAATTCAGCGTGCCCGCCGATGTCTCGTGCCCTACATGAATGAACTTCATGATTGTGGCCGACAAAGCCAATTACCGCCACGTACCCGCGAGAAGCAAAGTCGCCACCTGGGCGATCATTTCAGTATCCGTCAGGCGGTGCTTGGGATTCTCAGACATATTGGCTCTGACTGTGGATGCATGCCCATGAGTATGTGAATTTGGTAGCGCCTGGAAACAGTATGGACGTACCTAGGATACTCATCAAGTCCCTGCCGCGCTCGCCGTCTTGATCCCCAGTCTGCGTTTTCGCCGCCGTCTTTCTCTGCTTGATGAGTCGTTCCGAGAGACGGTTGATCGTACTTAGAGAATGTCGCATCCGAACGAACTGCTTTGCCGGGAGCCGCACAAGCGTGCGTAGCATAGACTCAGGCATGTAAGGCCAGAAATGCCGGAACAAGAGGGACTCAGGCGTAGGGTGCACCATAGAGTCTCGGCTAATAGAGAATGACCGTTGAGATTCCATGCTCTCATACGACAACAGGCCTGATAAGGAGTACTTACAACATATCCTTGTACACACTCACATATTCATTCAAGTCGTCGTCAAGGGCGCCGCAGTTGAAGTCGAACCCAGCTGTGTTCAGGAACCAGCATCAGTACTAGTGCATCTCGCTGACTTGTCTGTGGAGACGTGTACAAGACTGACCTTCGCATATGGCGTCGAGCGTCAAGCGTGAAAACCATGGGGAAACGTTTACGGCCGGCATTGAGGAACGTCCTGCGAGCTCTTGCTGCCATTTTGGCACAGCTGTAATGAGACGGTGAGGATACACTCGAGTAGCGCACATACGCAAGCGAACTCTACCTTCTTCGACGACCGTTGGAACATCGGTAAAAGGCCCGTACGCGAGTTGTGCTGAAGGCCGGGTCCATGGTTCTGCGAATCCGGGCGTGTTGCATATCTACGACGGCGATGGTGAAATATCATCGAAAGATACATATGGCGGACTCACGATCAGAAAACAGTACACTCTCTCCCATGAGTAGCCAGGATATGAACCTGGAGTCGGTTGTACGGGAGTAGCCGTAGCCGGATCTGAATATATGTTGCAAGGCCTACGTGAAAGGGTCAATATGGTACGCATGCAGGAGTAGACGATAGAACCTCTTCCTTACCTTAGGATCGGCAAGGAATAGCACGTCTCTCTGTGCGTTAGCAGACAACCTCAGCACAGATTCGGGACAGCATGATAATGATGCCTACCCCAAGACAGTGTTTGATCTTCCAGGCCCATCCATACTGATTCATCCACTGATACTCGAGGTCGCCTACTTCATCTTGATGAGTGAGTTCGACGATGTGCCCTGAGGTCGAACGCAGTCATGAGAATGGACAATAGAGCGCCTGTGGAGGGCACAACTTACCCAACAAATAGTTCGGAGAAGGAGGACCTCGAATATGCATGCACGACCGAGCACGGCGCCGCTTGTACTTGTGCCAAGCGGTATAGAGCAGAAGTGCGAGGATGGCGCAGGACAAGCCGATCCTGATCTTCGTCGAATCCATATCTAGAGTAAGGGGGGGGGGCTCCCTCAGAGAACAGATGCTTAAGTTCGTACGCTTCTCAGGGGATTTATGTAAATACGAGGGCACCGCATGATGATTCAAAACCCGAGTCAACATCCTGCTCAGGGGGTCTAACATTACCTCCACCAGCTTTCTCAAGTTAGTCCAGAGGTTAAATGGCGACCGGTACATCTACCACTGTGTCCAGGTCACGGGTAGACATGTCGAATAAGACACACTTAGCGGAAAGCCTGTATGATGGGGGTATGGCTTTGTGTGAGAGGCGTGTAAGCAGTATCGCAGAGCCGTGATTACAAAAACTGCCGACGGTGCAGAGTGACATACCCGGATGTTTGGTCGACATCGGGTGTTTGGTATTAGATGTTGGCCAAACTGATCCAACATGTGGCACCTGTGTTCGAAACATTGTCTTCGGCCGAAGCCTGATTCTTCGGAGTTCCTGTGTATCTGCCATTGTACGAAGACTTGCGTTTTGAGCTTGGGTAAACTGTGGCATGTATGAAACCAATCCTTCGGCGTACGACATGCTGTGGGGCTCAGTGATCATGCGCGGTGCTCGAAGGACATGTGTAGGATGTGGCTCACCTACATGCAGGATCATGTAAAGGTTTCGCACATCGTCGCAGCCCGCGGATGGACGGCCTGAATGTGTGTTCGTGCCGATGGCACGACTAGATATGTCTAAAAGAGGTTTTGAGCCCAATGAGGGTCCCTTCCAGCGCCATGTGTGAGGCGAGATGAGTGTATTGGCTCGGTCACCGAGGTGCGCATGTGTCAAATCGGTATGAGAGGAGGGCAGATGCGAGTACGATGTATATGTGACTCCTGCATGCTGAACATCAGAGATGCTTCGACTATGCTGCTCTGACACTGACCGGCGTCCGAGAATTGCATGCGGCCGGTAGCTGTGTGTAGCTTATGAACAAGACGTAGAGCTTGAAAGCCGCAGTCATTTGCCCTAGCGCGTCACTCTACCCATCTGCGACGCAAATGCTCGGAGACGCGACTTGAACAAGGGCCGTGATGGCACGAGAGCGACCTTTATTGGACGTCGATTGAGCATCCTTGACATGTCAACCCCACACATCGACGCTGGTGCATCCAAGCAGATGAACCTGCCAGTGAGATCAACGCCATATGATACCATTGTATGCATGCAAGATACATGAGTGGAGCTGAATCGCTTGAGGCGACTACGCTCTTTCGGGGTACTGTTAGTTGGCGTAGAGAATGTCAAGGACAATGCTCACGCTAGATCTAGAGCGGAAATGCAGATATCAGTGAGTTCGGAGTCGGACAAGCTTGAACGCCAATTGAGTCTACTGGATCTTCCATTCCATGAGGGCCGTAGCAATATGCGCCTTGATGGAAGCTGACAAAGTTTGGGGCGATGATGAGCCTGGTATATCGTAACGCTCACCCAGTGCTGACGAGCTAAACTGAAACGTCCGTGAGCGTCGTTGCTTCGGGCCCGCGAATCTGAGTGGTTCGACCAATGTTCGACCGCCTGTAAGTTTCTCAGGGCGACGAATGAATTGTAGGGTGGAAGTTTGGTAAATGTACAACCCATGTGCATGGGGATATAATTCCCGGAAGCTTGTTGAAGGTTTCGGTACTGTCACGGTACCGGTTTCAACTCGGGAGGAATATGGCATGTTCCGTACCTCTGACGGCCACGACACTCTCATGATCAGCGCTCAACAATCGCCAGCCCCGTCGGCCTTTGTGAACTAGGGAAGCGCGCTCTGCGTTACAATCAGTCCACTGCCTCAGTGCCTGACGATGCTTGAACACCAAGGTCCGAAGGCTTAAATGAGCCAAGTCGAGATCACGTCTGCGAGTTACAGCACTAGACTCGCATTACAGCGCAATAGCACCGATTCCCAGGCGAGAGATGGAACAGTGAAAGTAGCGTGATGAATGGACTTGCCACGATGATGTGCCGAGCAAATGAACTCGGTTTCTTGGACCACGATTTTTGAAGCCATGCCGAGCTCACTAGTTTGTGCGAATGCCGACGTAGAGTACTTCTGAAGAGTGGTCATACTCGCGAGTCGCGACACGTACAAGACCTCGCAGAAGTAGGTGACAACGTTGACCAAGTCAAAGAGGGTTGGACTTTCAAATCCAGCGCTTCAGCCACTGCTTGTGGCCGTCGGCATTTCCCGGCTAGTTGCGCGGTAACATGACCCATGGATTTGAATAAGTATCGACCCAATATCGACCGACGCCAAACCGACGCTCACTCAGAGTCAGAGATGAATTGCATCGCGCGTTAACTTTCCGCGTCCAGCCTGAGGACAATTGTCTCTACGAGGCCCAAAAAACTGCGCTGACGCCAGACGAGCATCGCGGGTCCACCGCTGGAGGGCTGGAGGACACGTGTACTTCATACAAATCGGATATGAACGCAACCCGCCGAGCTAAGCTCGACTATTGTGACACACCTCATGTCTTCCGCACTGAATGAGCATGGTGCATGGCGGCGAGTCATGCACATGGGCGAACTGCACTTACACCCGCGACGACCGACACCAACGACCGACGGTACCCCAAACAAAGATCTCACAAAATGCATGACATCGTGCTGCCCAGGAACCTGCAGCTCGTAAGTAGTAAGTCATATTCCACCCATTGACGCAGGTGCTGAGTAGGAACGCCAGTCAGCCACCACTACCATTCGCATCCTAGCAAAAGCATTTGCCGCCGGATGGCCGCTCGTGCTCCCATGTGCGACCTACTTCCTAGCCGGTGCCACTGGCCACCTTGTCACCACGGGGGTCGTATGGTGCAAGGATTGCACGAGCAGAGTGTTTCGGTGGATGGTCTCCTTGCGTACGAAGCTGTGGAGACCCACTGGCAGATGCCCGCTCTTCTCTCGGTACGCTACGCTCGAGGAAGAGGCACGATACTGGACGTCATCGAGGGAAGCACAAAGGAGTCTAGGTGCTTCGAACGCGAATAGCACACCCCCGGACGTACCCCTCGTGCGGTATTATGTCCCCAAGCTGCTCCCACCATATCGGGATAAAAAGGACAGCAGCTCACTGGACGACGCAGACGAATACCGGATATCCGCGAAGACGTTCTGCAAATGGCACCGCATGGTGTTTCGAGGTCCGGTAAGGCTGCAGGGGGGACCTTCTACAGTTCGCCGTCACGAATGTTGACTACGCATCCCAGCTGCACCCCACACTCAAGCAGGCAGGGAAGCTGATGAAGAACTACAGCGGTCGCGACCGCAAGGAGATGCGGCGTATCGCGAGAATGCTGACGGACGAGGAGGTCTTCCTGCATAAGATCCCGTGGACGCCCGTGTACCGAGACATCTGGCGACGCTGGCTTGAGACGAAAGGGCCGGACATAATGATTTCCTTCGAGTGAGCGCGATCCCGCATACTGGACACTTGCCCTGGTGGACACTATCGCTGTACCTACATCTGACCTCTCCGCATGAGATTTCTTCGTACACGTCTCCTTTCTGCACCTGCGGCCTCGCTCTTGCCCCAACGCAGGAAGGGCACTTTGTCGCGCTCGACGCCAGCGACGTCGCCCTGCGTATTCCGGAAGTCGAGCATCCCCCACACAGGAAGCTCCAGCTCGCCCTTGACCAAGACGCGCACGAGAGCGAGATGCTCGGGCGGGACGGGGGTAAGGAGATGCATCAGCGTCCCCGTCGCAGAGTGAGAGATGGCCCGCACGAGAGCGAGCCCGCAGCACTTCGAGGAGAATGGTGATGGAGGAGGGTTTCCCTGTCTATACGCGAGGGCGAGGGCAGGCGAGGCTGAATCGCTTGCTAGGTCATCCATAGTCCCGGGTTCGCACTGTACCAAGCCAACTATTGCTCCGTTCAGTACTTGAGCAAGTTCAGAGGGCACCACATCCTCCATGCCAGCGCCGACCAGGGCGATGTGGTCAAACGCGACTTTACAGTCGACTTCGTACGGAAGCTGAGCGCAGAGTGGTAGAGAGACGTCCCACGCTCGTGCGATGCAGCTGGCTGCCGAACCAGAAGACGACGATGGCGACGATACTGGAGCATCTTGCGAAGCGGGCGGGGAAGAGGAAGGTGCAGCGAACGTGGCGTGGAAGTACGAGAGGACGGACAAAGTGCGGTGATCTGCGGCAGTGAAGAAGCTGGACGCGGAGCACGGAGCGACGGCTTCGAGCCGACGTACTCTGTCCAAACCGCCAAGGCCATGAGACGCGTGGGCGTCGGCACTATCGAAGGGCGGATACGTGGGATATGCATCATCGCCTTGGGGCGCTTCGAGCTCGAAAATCTGGGATGGTTCGACCGTCTCCTCTATTTTGAGCGACAAATCGGAGCCGAGCCCGCGCGACCAGCCCATGGTGTTCACGACGAGAGGTATGATGTCGGAGAGCCTATTGTCTGTACCCTTGTCGTCATTGTCGTTGAGAAGTGCCCCGTGCTGAATGTCAAGGTTGTATGCTTGTATGAGAGCTTGGACACATTCGACGTAGTAGGACGGGGATGACTTCGGAGACGTCGCTCCGACGAAGTGAGACGCATAGGGTAGGCACGGATGAGTGAATGCCGGACCTGCCTTCAATGATCAGACCATTTCAAACTTGGTCGAGAGAGCGGACAAGATATGCGCACCAAATACGGGGGCGTCCAGTATGTTCAAAGCTACCATGCCTGCCGGAGTGAACTCGGACTGACCCATATCACATTCAAGGAATGCGACGCGGCGATATCTGTGTGCACCAGACAGGATAAGTCACCGAGCACGCAATACTTGACCACTGTCTGACCTTGTTAGGAGTGCGTTCAGGAGCACTTTCCCGAAGGTACTCTTGCCCGTATTCCTTGGACCTTTGACGAGATACACGGATCTTGGATAGTTCATCTCCTGCGGGTTCGCATTATGGTCGACCATAGAAGATATGGTTGCATCCCAAGACGGTGGCATGATAAACGGCGAAGTGTCAGATGTCTCAGCCTGAAGCTGCAATACATTACGGTCAGCCGAAGACCTACCATCCACTACAACGTTGAGCGCACCATGTAGACGCCGCGAAGATTCAGTTCGACGGTAGGCATCTTGCTTTGAGACCGCGACGGCGAAAACACACCCTCAAATGTGCGGCACACTGTACCCAGTCGTTCCACGCCGGTCTGCAACTCCTGCAGCAATACCACTGTAGCTCCGGGGCCAAGCGTTGATCGAACACGGTCAGGCATCGCTGACTGTGGGCCATTAAGGCTGGCTGCGATACTCCTAAGCACAGGGATGGGTGAGGAACGAGGGGCAAAGACGCGATGACATGTGCGCGACGCGGTGAGGACGCTGCCCATCAGGGATACCGCGCCTTGCAGGACGGTCAATCGGTACGTTCCCAAAAGAGCGAGCGAGTTCGAGGGATGGAGCACAATAAGTGTCCCTGTGTTGTCACATTGTAACGATGGCGATGGCAAGTCAAGTATTTGAATGTCTTCTGGCGTGAGGTAGAACATATTTTGGTCCAGGACGGGTTGGAACGTCGAGAGTACCTTGGGTACCAATTTCGACGGTCCTGCAACCGGTATAACGACCGGTGGAGGTGCCGATTCATCATCGAGCAATTCATCGTCTTCCTCGTCAGAAGAGTCTCGTAGCGGAGCACTGGGTGACCAAGCTCGGCGTCGCCGGGCCTTGGTTGCGGGAGTTGCAGTATTCGTAGCGTCGGCGTTGTCCACTGTCATGTCCGCCTCTGCGACGAACGCATCACCAGTAAAGCCTTCCTCGGAGTCGTCCGAGTCATCAGCGACGACAATGACATCTTGTTGTGTCTTGAACGCGTCCTCGTTGAAGTAACGAGGCGGGGTGTCTTGCGCGGGTTGCTGAGCCTTCTTCCTCTTCTTCTTAATAGGCTTGCTTGCATTCTCGCTGGGCTTTCGTTTTGACGGAGGCGAGACCAGTTTTGGAGACTCATCGGCGACAATGGCTGGCTTCGCGGGTGTCCGTGGCACGACCTGCACGACCTGCTTTCCCTCTAAACGCGCTTTTCGAGCCGCGACGGCACTGAGCATTATTGTGTCGGTCGGTGATGGCGATAACTGTGCCTGCACCAGGATGACCAGAAGACCGGTCGGCACGTCGCGCGATGAGAGTTGAAGACAAGTGGGTACTGCCGTCCTGGACTGGGAGGAGGAGACCCAAAAACCTCGGATCTCGTTAACATGGCGCACACGTGGACGATCGAGATCACGATCTGCGCAGATTTCATCGAAGACGTCCGCCCGATTCCAGCCACTCAAATCACCTTCACCCCTTACTGGCACCAGAGCCGCAAACCATACTTGGTCGTTCCACACAACGTTCGTATAACCCTCGTCATGTCCGCCTCGACCTCGACCACCGCAACTTCCGCCCCACCCACAACCTCCATCCTCTTCGCGCGCGGCGTCCTCGCCCGCCTCGCGATCTGGCCCGCGCTCCGCCTCGCCGTCGCCGAGAACTGGGGCGGCCCCGACGGCGCGCAGAAGCGCACCTGGCTCGCGTCCGTGCTCGTCGACGCCTTCGAACAGGAGCACCCCCCGCCGGACGTGCCGTACGTCGAAGATACGCTCCTCCAGGTCATGGAGGACGAGTTCGAGACCGCGCTCGAGGACGGCAGCGCCGAGGCGGTCGCCAGGGACGTCGTGCAGATGTGGGAGGCCGTGCAGGGAGGGAGCGCGGAGATGGTGGAGAAGTTTGAGGGGCTTGCGGATAAGGTGAAGGGGAAGAAGGTGCAGGTGGAAGAGGTTGCGGGGGATGAGGATGATTGGGAGGATGGGAGTGGGAGCGAGGACGGCAGTGAGGATGAGGAGGGTGAGGCGCCAATGCTTCTGGATCAGCAATCGAAGGCGCATGCACAAGAGCGAGAGGTAGACGAGGATGGCTTCACAGTCGTCAAGGGAAAGGGCACACGGCACGGATAACTGGTATGTGCATTGCAGTTGCCTCACTGCCCAGCATTGCTCACTTTACAGCTTCATGGCCAGTTCGTTCATTGAACATATTGTCTGGACAAGCGAAGCTTACCCCGTCAAATCTGCCGAATGCGCAAGGGATGCGAGCAATACAAGCACGGACGCCGACGCCGCATACCGCGCGGGGATCTGCTCGACTTGGAGAGCCACTGCCAAACAGACTCTTGCATATCGCTGGCAAAATACAGATAGCAGATGTCTACGTCTCAACATAGTTGCATCTAGTACATGCTTTTTATGCTGTCCATCTACTCGAGGAACGCGAAGCCCTTCTGAATGTTCTTCCTGAGACCATCCTTGCAGGCCTTGAGGTACTCCTCCTCCTCCGCGGTGAGCTGGCCGAGAGGGTGGATCTTGTCGACACCGTTGGGCTGGGAACGCGAATGTTAGTGGTGAGACACAGTAAGAGGAAGACGAGGGCACGTACGCCAAGCTCAATGTTGGACGCGAAGAAGTCGATGCCCTCGCTCTCGTAGAGCGGGCTGCGGACATACGAGGGGGTGATGACGCCCTTCTCGCCCGCAATAGCGCGGAGGAGGGTGTTCGCGAACTTCGCACCGGCGTACGCCATCGAAAGGGTAGCCGAGCCCGCGCCGGCCTTGGCCTGGACGACCTCGTCACCACCGAACTGCACGCGGTGCACGAGCTTCTTGTATGCCTCGCCGGTGACACCCTTGGCCGCGGGCGTCTGGGAGAAGAGGGGCACGATCGTCTCACCGCTGTGGCCGCCGATGACGGTGACAGGCGCGTCCGCGGGATCGCCGCCGACGATGCCCGCGAGGAAGCGTGACGCGCGGACGACGTCGAGCGTGGAGACACCAAAGATCCGCTTCGGGTCGTACACACCCGCTCGCTCGTACACGCGCGAGGCGATCGGCACCATCGAGTTGACCGGGTTGGTGATGATGCAGAGGTGCGCCTTGGGCGCGACCCGGGCGGCGACCGTCGCGAGGTCGCGGATGACGGACGCGTTTGTGCTGAAGAGGTCGTCACGGGTCATCTGTGATAGAGTTAAGCTGAGGGTTCGGAGCGTCACGCGAACGCACTTACGCCGGGCTGTAGGAAGCGTCGTCAGAAGCGTGTAGGGTGTCGTACAACCGCGGTCACGTACCTTGCGGGGAACACCAGCAGGGACGACAATGACCTCTGCGCCCTCGAGAGCCTCCTCGAGCTTGTCGGCCTCGAAGCCCTTGACCTGCGAGGTGACGTAGCGTTCAGTACGCGTTCACACTTACGACCCACTACACGAAACGCGCACATCGCTGGCGGAGTCAATATGGCTCACGTCCGCGGCGACACCAGGTGCACCGCGGATATCGTAGAGGTTGAGCCTCTGGACGTGGGGGTCGAGCTTGAGGAGGAGGGAGAGCGGTTGTCCGATACCTCCGCCAGCGCCGAGGACGGTGACCTTGGTGCTGCGCGCAGCAGAAGAGGAGAACTGGCGGGCGGAGAGCTTGCGGGCTGCGCTGCGGGCGAACATGGCGGGCGTCGTGGAGGGTGAGGTGGGGAGGATGGGCGACGGGCGACGGTGAGGACGACGGGATGGGGATGGTGAAGGGGGGAAACGCGTGACCGGCTACTTTTATGCGGGGTCGGGCGACTTCGGGCACCCTCGGCACCCGCGCCCTCAGCAGACCAGCCCCGGGTACTCTCCCTGTCCTCGTTCCGAGCTGCGGCATTAGAGCTTTTCGAGTTTAGAATATTGCTCCTGCTATGCTACTGCTACATGGTACACAGGGCGGGACAGCATCTACCGTGCCCGCCAGCCGCCAAAGTCCATCAGAGTCCACAGCGAGACGCGTTGGTCCTGGCCGCCGGCAGAAAGCCATCGTCCCCGCTCTGCCTTTTCATCCTCGTCCATGTCGTCATCGGCCTCGTCGGGGATTCTGCTGCCCTCGGTAACGCTCGGCGCGTGTGGTCGGGCGAACGCGACCGCCTGGCAGCTCTTTTTGTGGCACTCCAGCGTGCCCAGGCTCTTCAGGCTCTTTGCAGAGTATAGCCGGATCCTGGGTGTGTATGCTCAGATAAGGTGGGTTGATGGGAAAGGGAGTACGTGCCTGCCATCCCATCCACCGACCGCACATATCCTGCTGTCGTCGCGGATGTCGATCGATGCATTGCCGGGATGTTTCGTTCTGTGAGCCGTGCACACGTCTCGTGCGTCCGCTTTATCTTCTTCGATTGACTGAGTGGTAATTAGGAAGATGCAATGAGAGGGGACGCTGAATTCACCTTGATGTCATAACGCCCGATGAGATGATCTGCAGAGACGGTCAATGCGAAGGAGTTGTCCCGAGAGACGGTCATTGCCATCACTGTGTATAGAGTTCAGAATCTGGAGGCAACGAAGTCGGGTGGCAACACGCAGTGGAAAGCGTCCACAGCCGCTGGTTGTCGAGCCTGAGCCTACGGCTACACCATGATCAAGCTGTGACCCACCGCCGTTTCGGACGGATGGCAATCCCTGCCCTCAGCTGATCCTTAGCACGTTGAACAGGGTGATCCAGGACGAGTCTGCCCTTCCCCGGGACTGGACTACATTCGAAGATTTTAGTGGGTATCGACGCCGGGTGAGGAGTCCCACACGGGCCCGTTGCCAGCTGTGCGCAAACACATTTTCTGTCCTTGGGGCACCTGCGGGGGAACCCGCTGGCTGGCTGGCTATCCGGGTTTGACCAATTGTCAAATGCTGGATGCCGCGTATAGCGACCCAAAAAGAAATCTGAGGGCAAGAGCAATGTATCACAACATACCTGACTCGACGTGCAGCCTGACGTTCCACAGCGGCTCCCAGCCTATGCCCTCGATGGAGGTCTCCTTGTCCGTCCGAGTGTACCCCCAGCATGTGACGGCACCGTTCTCGTAGCCACATAGCAGTCGAAGACTTGTGCGGTCTGAGGCGTGTGGATGCGTGGCTTCATAAAGGTGCATCGCCATGATAATTCCTGTGTGCCGTCAGCACGCACATCAATAAACATATGAAAGTGTTTGCAGAACATTAGGCAATAAGGAACGCGACCGACAGACTCGGCAAAAAACGGGTGTTCCACTATGCCGCCTCTTCTCCATTGTCGTCTCAATGCTTGCGCAGACAGATCGAATAACAACAGATCTGTGTGCCCCGCACACCATATACAAATCCTAGACTGCCTGATAGCAAGTCAATTGACGACGTTGAAGGCTCCAAGACTAACGCTGGAGCGTAGTGAACTTCACAACCATCTCGCAAGATATTGTGCAGAAGGGGTACGCCGTGGCTCGTCGGGTGCCAAGTGGGGTTTGTCATCATGTATCGCGCATTCGTGTTTGCCTAATGTTCTGCGACGGCTGTGAGATACCTGGACATACCTGTAGAATTCATACCGCGACCATCTCCGGACGGTCCTTCCATCTGACCCGTCTTACCGATAGCAGCATGCAGCCTGTTCCGAGAGGGCAGTGTCCATATGTCCGCCTACAGGAACCCATAGGTCATGTCCACTTATCCGAGTAGTAAACGAAGAAAGATGACCTACGAAGGAAGACTCGACCAGGTTCGGCACCGCGATGAAAGCGCGTCGCTCCTCGCTGCGCGCGGACTCCGCCAAGGGCATGAGCGAGAACCGACAGTAATTGAGCGCGTTCACGTCCATAGAGTAGCATAGCTGGGGCGTCTGCAGACCAAGCGGAGCCGCAGAGTTGCGCAGGGCTGCAGCGGGCTCCTGGACGCATTGCCAAACGTGCAGCTTGTTGTCTCTGCCATGTCTAGCTAGGAATCAGCCTACAGACATTATTTCCAACTCGTAAAGACGTACGTGATGATATGTCCCTCCCACTCCTGCACCCCAAGCAGCCCGTCAGTGTGCGCCTTCCACACCGCGACCGGCCTCAGCGTGCGCGTGTCCGTGACGACGACCGTACCGTCTGCGTCGCCGGAGTAGATTTTCTCATTATCGTCCGAAACCTCGAGTGCCTTGATGGCCGCGCCATGAGTGCGGAGGATGTGGGTAGGAGACGGCGGTGGCGGCTTGGACGCGGAGGTAGAGGCCATGCGCGCTTCGCAGGCTGCGTCCGCATCCGCGTCCCACCCACGTCCGCACTTCGCAGAGGCCACGATGGGCGATGGCCACTGACTTCTGGGTCAGCTCGCACTGGTAAGTTACGCGTATCTCTCACTTGTTAGGCAAACTGAGCGTCGTAGTACGAGATGGAACGTGGACAGGGCCACGCTCAGGCAGGCGCGTGCGGAGGACATCCAGTACGTCGACCATCCTGAGCACCTCGACTTTCTCGCCATATTCTTCGCCAGCCGTAAGTCTCTATATCCTCGAGCGCATGCATCCGCTGAATCTCTGAGGCAGTCATTACAAAGCTAGGCAAGAAACTCTCCCTCAGACAGCGCGTAGTCGCGACCGCGACCGTCTTCTTCCGGCGATTCTACCTCAAGAACGCGTACTGCGACACCGACCCGTTCATCGTCATCGCCGCGTGCTGCTACGTCGCCGCGAAGGCAGAGGAGTCCCCCGTGCACATCAAGAACGTCGTCTCCGAGGCGCGCAGCCTCTTCAGCAGTGAGTCCTGTCACTTACCGTACATTCCTCCGTGGGATGCGGACGACACACTGACGAGTTGATTCGAAGGGTATGGCATCAAGACGTTCCCCTCGGATAACTCGAAGCTCGCGGAGATGGAGTTCTACCTAGTGGACGACCTGGAATGCGACCTCACGGTGTTCCACCCGTACCGTACCCTCATGACGCTATGCTGGAAGGAGGGTGGCAGCGGCATCAGCGACACCGAGGTGGGAGAGCTCGGCGCCGGCATCGATGACGGCCCGCGGTACTGGGGTACAGGCGAGGGCAGGCTCGAGATGCACGAGGGTGCCTTGCAGAAGGCATGGTATGCATTGATTGTCCCTCGGTGCTGACTGGCTGCTCATGCATCCTATCAGGTTCATCATCAACGACACCTACCGCTCCGAGCTGTGCCTCCTCTACCCCCCGCACCTCATCGCCATCACCGCGATATACATGGCGTGCGCGTTCCACCAAGAAACGCGGAGCGACATCGAGAAGCAGACGCAGGCCCTGCCCCATTCCTCCTCCGGCTCGCAAAGCAGCCAGGGCTCGATGCGGCGCTCGTCCCGCATGACGTCGAGCAGCCTCAAGAGGCAGCCGCCGCAGGACATCGTCGGGTTCCTCGCGGGGCTGAACGTGAACATGGCGCTCGTCGCGACGATCGCGCAGGAGGTGGTCTCGCTGTACGCGCTCTGTGAGCGCTACAACGAGGAGGGGACAACGGACTCGACGCGCGCGAGCCTGAAGCGCAGCGCGAGTGGGACGGTCGTGGGCGGGACGCCGGCGATGAGCAGCAGCCCGATTGGCACGCCCATGACCGGAGATGGGAGGGACCATGGGCATGGCGACCAGCGGCCGGAGGTCGTCACGCCTGGATTCCTCGTCCAAGTGTTTTGGAGGATGAGGGAAACGAGGATGGCAGATTTGAGCGGTGCGCATGCAGCCCCGGGCAGACCAGTGCCGGTCAACAAAATGCTGGAACGTGCACAGGCGGCAGGATAGACTCTTGAGTGTCACACTATTTACATTATGGAATTAGACTGTTGTATGGTCACCTGTAGCATTGGAGGTCACCGGTGTTGGATGATATCTAGGGGTGCATCTTTGCACTGACACATCAGGCAACTTCGTTGCAAGTTGGTAGCATGTCCACATACATAGATCTCATCGTCAGCATCATTCAAGTAACAGGATACAACCTCATGGTCGAGAGACAAGATGTATGTAAATCCCACAATGCACACATCAGCTACAGGCAGGACTTATAAATATACACTATTAATCCACGCTAACACGACTAGTCAAGATGAGCGTTCGGGAATAGTTCCTCCCTCGCCCGGTCAGCCTCCGCCTCGTCCTCCCGCTGAGCGCCCTGCGCCTGCTGCAACTTTTCGCCCTCCTCCTCCTGCGTGTCCTGCCCCTTCTCCGGCTCCGTGCCCGGGATCACGGGGTCGACCGCCGTGTCTTCCAGCTTTTTCTCCTCCGCGAGGACAGCCTCGACCTTCGCCATGACTTGCGACATCTCGGCGAGGACCTCTTCCACGCGCGGCTTGGCGTCTTCATCATGGTGATGTTTGTGGGCTATCGGTGCTGCGGGTTTCTCTGCCGCTGCGTCCGCGCCCGCTTCGGCGGGCCTGGCATCATGCTCAGGCTTGGGGTCCACATACTCGATTGGCGGTGGAGGCAGGTCGGTAGGCCGCGCTGCAGCGGCGTCCACCGCCTCCTCTTTGGGTGGCCGGTCCTCCGCTTTGCTCTTCAGCTCTTCGTGTGGTACGCCGGCGAAAACGTTGCGCCCCGGCTCGGCCTGTCCGACGTCGATAGACGTCTCCGCCGCCTTCTCCTCGGCGGCGGGGGCGACCTTCGCGTGGACGGGCTCTTCCTTGAGCTTCGGCGCGACTTTCTCCACTGTCGGCACGGCGGCGGATTTCTGGGGCGTTGCGGGTGATGCATTATACAGCGAAGCCTGTGGTTGCGACAGTCAGCGTGGAGAAGACGAACATAGTGTCAGCGCACTCACATCATCGTAAAACTCATTACTGGACAACGCGCCTCGCTGTCAGTAATGCGAGCACGTCAATACAAATTTGACGCACCAAGCCAAGTCCCACGTCTTCACCCACTTCGCATTCTCGCACTTCTTCTTCGTCCACGTATTTCCATACGCGATCGGGCTGAGGTAGACGAAGTTCCAGATTACCACAATCAGCAGGACCGCGGCGATTTGCAGGCGGATGCGCGGCTTGAGTGTGGACGTGACGAGGTCAAAGACGCCGCACGAGAGAAGGATGGCGAAGTAGAGCGCGGGAAGGTAGTGGTGCAGGAAGAGCTGGCGCTTCATGATGTAAAAAGGGATGTAGTGCAGTGACCAGCCTACGAAGAGGAAGCCGCAGAGCGTGTCGTACTTGACGACTCGAGCTGATGGAAGGGAGTATGTCAGGAGACAGCTGTCAGCCTTTGAACACCTAGTACGTACTGTTCTCGAAGTCCCTGTACCCACGCTGAGCACGGAGGACGAGGAAGCCACGAGTGACAACATAGGCGAAGATGCTGGCGGTGCTGAGCCACCAGACCATGGGGTTGCCAAGCAGGTAGATTTGACGATGGTCCTTGACCCAGAAGTTCTACCAATACAGACATCAATGAGCTGCTTCACAATGGCATACTGAGTAAATACTCACAATGCCACGACGCAGGCGAGGCCAAGCGTCAGGGCGAGAGTCAAAGGTATGGCGATCGGTCAGTCCGGCATTCGTCGTCCACATCACCTGCTGCAGTTCGAGGAACTTGCGGAAGAAACCCGGGAGCTTGTAGTTGACCTTCGGCGCGTCCGCAGGGACTACCATCTTCCATGTTAGCCGTAACCAGAGATACTCTTCGGGCACACGTACGCATCGGGTGTTCCGCCGTCTCGATGTACCACAGCGAGTTCGGCTTCACTGCTTGCTTGTTGCACGTCACCTCCTGCTGCTCGAAGCCCCAGTCCGGGAGCTTGACCTTGTGCGAGAACAAATAACACCCCGACATGGCATGCTTCAACCGAAAGTGCGTCCTCAGTGTCCTGAGGCGCTTGCTCGACTCGCGGTCACGCTTGTCGCCTTTCTCGATCTCCACAATCCAGTCGTCGTTCGCGTCGCCCGCGTAGCCGGGTACGCCGTAGCCGGAGACTTCGTTCTGGAAGTCGACGTCGGACACGGGCGGCCGCTGGTCGTGCGAGTGCAGGTGCTTGTCCGTCGCGACGTGCCTCAGCTTGATCTTCATCCCACTCTCGATGAACACGAGCGGCTTGCCCTCCCAGTCATGGTCTGAGTCGCCGTCGCGGGTCGCGTTCAGGATTCGCCAGTTGTTGTTATCGTCGCGGTGAGGGTAGAGGGTGATCTGTTGCTCTGTGTGCGGACTGAGCGATTGTAAAGGAAGAGCGAGACGAAAATCTTACGCTTGCTCCCGCCAGGATAGTTAGAAGGATGCGAGTGCAGGTAGCCACCTTGTGTATTAACATGGCGGATGGCCACTTTCGAACCAAAGCCGACGTCTGCAGAGAATTAGTCTGGCGCGAGAGGAAACACAGCGACGAGGAACCTACCAGCGAAGGTGTCAGCCATGCCTCGGCCGTTCAGCGTGTGCTGGAACTCAGAGCTCATAAAACCATCACCGTCACCCGGGTTTTGCAAGATACTGAAGTGGATCCAGAACATGAACATGTAGAACAGCATGGGGACCAGGATCAAGCAAATAGCGCGGGCCATGAAATGGCGCATGAATAGCCGAGGCGTGACGCGCAAGTCGCCCAAGAGTACCCAGAGCTGCCTGAGAGTGCTGACGCCAACAGTAGCGATGGTGAAGAGGCCGACCCACTTGCAGCTGACTACGGCACCCAGGGAGAGGCCGGAGAGGGTGAGCCACACCCACCAGATGTCGGTGAACGGTTCGTGCTTGTCCTCGTTGCAGAAACACGTCCAGAGGAAGATCGTGAGGGCGGTGAAGAAGACCAGTGGAGAGTCGAGGAGGATATGTCGGGACTGGGTAATAAGACCGTTCTCGAAGGTAATGAAGAGCGAGGCGAGAAGAGCAGTAGTTGCACGGCAATCAAGAGCGCGCAGGGTGAGGTATGATATAGGGACAGTTGCTACACCGAGGAGGGCAGGCACCATACGCATGGCGACGTACGGAACGTTCTCGTACACCCTGTGTATATGTCGTCTGTGTTGGGCCTAAACAAAAAGTGCATGGACTCACTTTCCGATATCCTTGAAGTCAAAGTTGCCCTCATATCCGAAGATGAATCCCGAGAGCGTGATGAGGAGTTTCGCGAGTGGTGGGTGTACGTCGACAAAGTACTGCGACTTGATGTATTTTGACGCAAACTTGCCAAAGTGAACCTCGTCGAACCTACAGAATGGTCAGACACAATGAGACTGTTAAAACAGGGTATAGGTACTCACACAACGCTGTTTGGCTGCGATATGCGATATAGCCGCACGAACACTGCGATCAAGGATACGAGTATGAGCAGTTTCCACTCCGCGGAGGTTATGTTGAGCCCTCCGGGTGCATAGCCTCTCCGTGTGGGTTGATAGCCTTTCGAAGCTGCTTCTCTCCGTGCATCCGCGTCAAGATGCTCGTGTTGTGGGCGGGGAAACCGTGCGCTCTGCGGTGCAGCATGAGGAAGAGGTGGAGGAGACGGTGCCCTCCGGACTCTGACGCCCCCTGACATGGCGGTAAAGACACAAGTCCAAAGTCAAGTGTGCCGGGGAGAAAGGGAAAGAAATGAGGGACAAGATTTGGACGGGGAGGTGAGTTGGCTGGTGGCTGCGCACTGACCGTCACTCTCATTCGATCGACGTGTACAGGCGCGTCTGCAACGCGATGCCCCTAGACTAGGGCTACACGTGTAGCATACTGACTTTCGAAGTCCGCCTGTAGCCATCGAATAATACAGCTTACAAGCGTAAGTATGCTGTCTGCTAAATTGAATACTGTTAGCAAAGACGCGTCGCTGCAAACGCCTGCACTCGATCGCGTTCTTGAGCGTCGACCAAGTCCTCTTCCAACCCACGCAAAATGTCCATGAACATCTTCGGAGCAGAGGTATAATCTCCGTCTCTGTGTTCCGGACTAGCTCTCACAGAGAGAACGTAGGCGACAGAAGAGAAGGCAGAGAATGCCCGCCTCTCGTCCTTCGTCGGGGCTCTTGCCCTCGGCGATCTTGTAAAGTCGACCCTCGGTCCCAAGGGCATGAACAAGATCCTTCAGTCGGGGTCAACGGGCGAGATCAACGTAACGAACGACGGTGCAACCATTCTGAAGGCGATCCAGCTCGATAACGCAGCGGCGAAGATCCTGGTGAACATCTCGAAGGTGCAAGACGATGAGGTCGGCGACGGCACGACGAGCGTTTGCGTGCTCGCGGCTGAGCTACTGAGGGAGGCGGAGAAGTTGATTGCGATGAAGATCCACCCGCAGACGATCGTAGAGGGCTTCCGGATTGCGAGTGCTGCTGCCCTGCAGGCCCTTGAGAAGGCTGCGATTGACAACAGGTGCGTATTGGAAGCATGGGTGCTTGCGTGCACACATTGGGGGCTGAGACTCATGGAGGGGTGCACAGCGCGGACCCAGCACAATTCAGACAAGATCTTTTCAACATCGCACGGACCACCCTGTCGTCAAAAGTCCTCTCACAAGACAAAGACTACTTCGCTAACCTTGCCGTTGACGCAGTCCTCCGCCTGAAGGTGCGCGTTGCATACAGTAGACAGAACGACAATCCTCACCGCGTCTGTTGTGTAGGGCTCAACGGACCTCGACCACATACAAATCATCAAGAAGGTTGGCGAGAAGCTGACTGACTCGTATCTCGACGAAGGTATGACCGTCTCCGCTCGCAATGGACAAAACGTCATACCGTGTGCATAGGGTTTATTCTCGACAAGACAATCGGCATCAACTGCCCAAAACGGCTTGAGAACGCCAAGATTCTCATTGCCAACACCTGTGCGTATTCACGTCCACCTTTCCCTCGCCGCATAGCTAAAAGCGACGCGCAAACAGCCATGGACACGGACAAGATCAAGATCTTCGGAGCGCGTGTGAAGGTGGATAGCACCGGAAAGCTCGCTGAGCTCGAGCGTGCGGAACGGGTATGTTCTCACCCACGCCTTCTTCTCCGGATCCCGAGCACCCCACTTACATTTCGATGCGCATGTTACACAGGAAAAGATGAAGGCGAAGGTAGACGCGATCGCCGGGCACGGCATCAACTGCTTCGTTAACCGGCAGCTCATCTACAACTACCCCGAGTCGCTTCTCGCGGAGAAGGGCGTCCTCACGATCGAGCATGCAGACTTTGAAGGGGTGGAGCGGCTGTCGCTCGTCACGGGCGGTGAGATCGTGAGCACCTTTGACCGTCCGGACTTGGTCAAGCTGGGCCGGTGCGAGTTGATCGAGGAGATTATGATCGGCGAGGACAAAGTAAGTGCTTTGACACAAATGTTCATGGGTATTTAACAGACAGTCGTGCAGCTCACGAAGTTCTCTGGCGTCGCCGCAGGAGAGGCGTGTACGGTCGTTCTCCGTGGTTCGACATCGCAGATGGTCGACGAAGCGGAGCGCTCCCTTCATGACGCGCTCTCAGTGCTCTCGCAAACCGTCAAGGAGACACGGACCGTGCTCGGCGGCGGGTGCGCGGAGATGCTCATGAGCGTGGCGATCGATGGTGCCGCGCGTACCGTCACCGGCAAGAAGGCGCTCGCGGCGGAGGCGTTCGCCCGCGCGCTCAGGCAGATCCCGACCATCCTAGCCGACAATGGGGGGTACGACTCGAGTGACCTTGTGACTAAGCTCAGGGCGGCGCACTATGAAGGGCGGACGGATGCCGGCCTCGGTACGTATGCAGTTACTGGCTGTGATGTGAAGAGACTAATATTGGGGCAGACATGAACGAGGGCAGGGTTGGGTCGATGAAGGAGCTGGGCGTCACAGAGAGCTACAAGCTGAAGAGGCAGGTCGTGCTCAGCGCGAGCGAGGCTGCCGAGATGATTCTCCGGTGAGTCTGAATCTCCGCACAGGATCCTCGGGTGAGTGCTAACACACGATCGTAGCGTCGACGACATTCTTCGGGCGACGCCTCGGAGACGCGAAGCAGTATGAGCATGAAAAGAGGACGGTGGGGCGTGTTGCTGCCCTTTGCAATTGACGGCATTATCACTAAAAGTTGTACACATACAAGGCGGGCTAATCCTAATAGACCGTGCGTGCTGCTTGTTCGCTACGGCCGGGACCCACAAACACCAAGTTGGTTGCTTCTGGGTAGTCTTGATTCCGAATTCCTCGAGAGCTATACAATCACTGACATAGAACAGTGAACACAACACGAATCGACGACGCCTAAAGTCGGAGTTGTGCTAGCCGGTCCAGGTTGTACTTACCGAGACAGGAACCCAACACCCGCAGAATACGCGTGTGTTGCTGGGTGTTCGGTGCAAGTTCGGTGTATACTACACCCCGGCGCTGCTCAAGGCGTTGGCTCACCCACTTCCTGAGCGCGGGCTTGGGACTTGTACGCGTGCGTGTGTGGTCCACGCGATGTTCAAATCGGCCCCATCGAATCGCAGGTCCTCCTCCGATGTGTAATCTCTGTCGGATTAGCTGTGGTTGGCCGACGTATGTACATGCTTGCTACATGAGTAGCTCCTTCTCACCGCTACTTCTTCTGTCAGTCCGGCGCTCAGAAGCCATGATGAAACAGCGGATGCTAACACTATTTTGACATTTGTGATGGAGACTACGTACATAATCGCCGTTGCACAATTAGCGGCCTGCGGGTCCAGTTACTTATAAGTGGTCCTTTCACACTTGACCACGAGCATCGTCACGGTGTCAGTGCACAATGTCTACTGTTCTACTCCTCGCTTTAACAGTTTCCGTGATCACCTACATCGCATGGGCTCGCCTGAGTCGACATCGTGTACGACTTCCACCGGGGCCTTCGCGTCTACCTTTTGTGGGTAGTGTTCACCACCTTCCCTTGGAGTACCAACACAAGAAGTTTGTCGAACTCGCCAAAACGTTTGGTACGTTACTAGTGAACACTATCATCGGTGCGGTGTCCACTAAACCACTTCTTCAGGCGATGTCATCTTCCTCCAGTTATTCAGCCGCCCGACCGTGGTTCTCAACTCTCTGGACGCCGCCTCAGACCTGCTCGAGAAGAGGAGCAGCAAGTATTCCGACCGCCCTCGCTTCATTCTGACCGCAATGTGGGTGTACATGTCGTCCGCACACTGTGCCGCTATCGAACTAACTCTGGGCACGTGCATAGGATGGGCTTTGATCTGGCCATGAGCATCATGCCCTACGGCGAACAGTGGAGGCGCCACCGCAGGTGGTTCGCCGCCGCATTCGTCGACAAGAAGCTGGAAAGCTACGTCCCCATCCAACAACGCGAGACGCACAGGCTCCTCGTCGGTCTGCTAGAGTCGCCGGATGCGTTCCTGGCGCTCATCAAGCGGTGAGTAGTTGACCTTAGCTACCGCGTCCGCATCTACCGCGCCGGGCTTAACGAGGCCGCTGACGGGGCGCTGCCCATAGGTACGTTGGCGCGTTGATGATGGAGGTTGCGTACGGCCACGAAGTCACGTCGCTCGACGACGAGATCGTCGTGCTGGCTGAGAAAGCTGTAGGCGCCGCGACGGAGGCTGGAAGTCCAGCCGCCACGCTCATCGACTTTGTGCCGATCCGTACGTGCTCCAACTACCATATGCGATAACTACCGCTCACTGGTGCTTCGCGCACAGTGCAATGGATCCCCGCGTGGCTGCCTGGAGGGCGCTGGAAGATGCGCGCGGCCGAGGTGCGCCAGATGGTGCGGAGGACGAGCGACGTCCCGTTTGCGCGTGTGCAGGCTGCCATCGTAAGCAATTTCACCCTGTCTCCTACGCCAGCCATCCCTCACATGTGCTGTCTCAAGGCCGCAGGTACGGCACGGCCATGCTTCTTGTGGTCGCTGCTGGAAGAGGAGGGTGAGACGTCGGAGGAAGAGCTTGAAGAGATCAAGGCCGCCGCTAACCTCGTCTACGGCGGTGAGTGCCCGGGTGTAAGTATTGCGAGTGCTGCTGATTCCAATGTTCGTGCGCAGCGGGCACGGATACGGTATGCGCGTGACGCGTGTCCATAGCATCTATAACATCTAAGCTGATCTCTCGTAGACGGCCACCGTGTTGAACGCGTTCGTGCTCGCGATGGTCCTCCACCCCGACGCGTGCAAGAAAGCCCAGGAAGAGATCGACCGCGTCATTGGTGACGCGCGGTTGCCCGACTTCGGAGATCGTGCTTCTCTGCCATACGTCGAGGCCCTCTTCAAGGAGGTGTACCGGTGCGTAGTGCTAGCTAGTATCTTGGAAACGCCGCCGAATTTTCTGACCGGCTGCGTTCATTTCATCATGGCACTGGCAGGTGGATCCCACCTGTGCCTCTCGGTACGTGATACATACTCTTGGCATCTTGAGCATACTAGTACTCAAGGTCAATTTCCACAGGACTTCCTCACCGCCTCACGGAGGACGACAGCTACCGCTGCTACACGATCCCCGAAGGGTCGATGATGATCCCCAACGTCTGGTGCGTCTTTCCGTCTTCTCTTCGCTTCCCAGTCCACCAGTTCTGACCGTGCCGCACCGTGTCGCGTCGCTACTGGCAGGGGCATGACGCGCAACGCCGACATCTATCTCGACCCGGAGACCTTCCGCCCAGAACGCTTCCTCGAGATGGACGCCGCGACCGCCGCCGCCGCCGACCCGCGGAACATGGCCTTTGGCTTCGGCCGCAGGTAAGCCCGCATCTCTCTGAGTACCATCCTCGGAGGCTCACCGGCACCGTGCCTTCGACGCCCCGGACAGGATCTGCCCGGGCAAGGAGTTCGCCGACGGAAGCGTGTGGCTCGCGGCCGCGAACGTCCTCGCCGCGTTCGACATCCGCAAGGCGCGCGATGCGGCGGGGAGGGAAGTCACGCCCGTGCCGGCGTTCGCCTCGGGGATGATCAGGTGCGTCTAGCGCACTGTGGTGGCGGGATGGTGCTGATGTGCCTTGCAGCCATGTTCGCCCGTTCGCGTGTGATATCCGGCCGCGCTCGCTGAAGGCAGCGAGGATGATCGGGCAGCTTCAAGTTGACGGGGGTGCTTGATCGGTGTTCGTTCTGTAGTGCTTTCTCGGCGTGCTGCGATTGCTTTCGTACTCGTTCTTTTTATCTTGCTTCATTGAATTAATGCATTCCGTGCGCTTGGCTGCAATTCTACACGTGGGTTTCGTCGCCTTCCTTGAGCCTAGCAAAATCTCTGGCTCACTTTTGCTTGTGCAAAGAAGGGGTGGGGGATCTTTTCTTCATAAAGCCAATAATCTCCTCGTCGAGTCCGCGATGGCGGTGTCGGAGACTGCGCTGAGTGAGTCTCAGCCAGTCCACGAGTACAAGAACGGCGCGCTACCGTCTGTCTAACCACGCGCAGCACGTACTCGACCCCTGCAGAAAAACAGCCACGTACAAACCGCACATCGGCGGACAACAGCTTCATGGGATCGCGAATTACGCACGATGTGTATAGAGTATCGTACATACACATAATCAAGCAACCCACAGACCTCGACCTTGGCCGTGACGCCGCTCACTCAGCAACCTCGACCGCACGCACGCGCTCCCTGATCCTGTCGAAGATGCCCTCCTCCTCCCGCACGGTCTCCTTGACGCCGCCGCCGAGAGCAGGGGCGGGGAGGGGCACGTCGAGGGGCGTGCGCAGGCCGTCGGACGACGCGAGGGTGCTGTTCCGCGTCATGGTGCTCCTCGGCGTGTCCAGCGCCGTCGGCGAGTCGACCACAGGCGCACGGTCATCGGTCAACGGGTCCCCGCCGACGTCGCCCGTCTCGACGACCACGCGCGTCTCCGCGTCCGGCGTGGCGATCGTGAGCGCGGGGACGAGCGCCGCGACCGCGCCGTCGATCGTCTTGGTCCGCGTGCGCCCGGCCCTGCGCTGCTCCGTCTGGAGCGCGCGCATGGAGCGGCGGAGGCGCGTCGCCATGCGGATCGTGTGCAGGAGCCCGACGCGGTGGTACGGCGTCCAGCCGTCGGGGAGGCGCTCCTCGTGCATCCAGACGCGCAGCATGTGGTTCGGCACGCCGGGGAGCGCGGCGGGCGGCGGCGGTGCGGGGGGCTGGGGGGCGAAGAGGCGGCGGATGCGGGCGAGGAGCGGGGGGCGCGGCGCAGAGGGCAGGGGCGGGGAGAGGTTGTCGGGGTTGTTGAAGAGCTGCAGGACGATGGCCATCTCGCCGCGGGCGATCTCCGCGTGGACTTTGTCCATGGGGATGGCGTACTCGGCCTCGCGGACGACGCGGACGCGGGCGACGTCGTCGGGCGTCATCAGTTTGCCGTCGGTGGAGTAGCGGAGGAGGTCCTCGAGCATGTGGAGGTGGACATCGACGGGGGCGTACTCGTCGCGGTAGGCGACGTCGGGGTGGACGAGGGACGCGTTGTGCTCGATGCAGTTGTGGCGGCTGAGGTCGCGGAGGCAGATGCGCTTGCGGCGCTGGCCGAGCAGGTAGAAGCCGCCGTGGGTGAGGAACCAGGCGAGGGGCAGGGAGAGGTGGTAGCCTGCGCGGAGGGCGTGCACGAGGACGGCGGGCGTGATGCACTTGCCGTCGCGCGGGAGGTAGCCGTGGTTTGCGAGCGTGTTGAGGGCGGGGCAGGGCGAGCGGGAGTCGTCGGCCTGGGGCGGGCAGTAGTCGTGCGACTCGGCGCCGGTGACGGGGCAGCGGCCGTGGGCGTGGGCGTGGGGTGGGACGGGCCCTCTGGACGCGGCCCAGGACGACTCGGACGCAGTGCGGGTAGGAGCGGGCGTGGTCTGGGGGGAGGATGCCATGGTGCACGCAGCTGAGGGACACAGGGCGGGCGAGCGGTTTTATGTGTGTCGCCGCGCCGGCTTCCCCGTGTATCCGGATGGAGGCGCGGAGCCAGAAGGGTCCGCTGACAGGCGATACAATTCGCAGTCAGTGTTGAATGCACGGAGATGTTTCAGACTACACCTTGTCAATATGAGTGCTCAGCTCGGAGGCGGCTGGCAGTAGGAGTGGGTGGCGGACAGGGCAACGTACCGCCGCGCGCACAGCAGATTGGCACAGCCAGCTTGCAGCCAGCAGACACTCTGGGCAGCCCGTCCGTGGAGGAGAGGCTCGAATGGGCAGTCGTCCGTCTGAGCGCTGAGCAGGCAGGGAAGCGACGTCAGCGGATAGCCTCCTCGCATCTGGCAGCGACCACTGGCATCCGTTCCTTCCGGGCGAGCGCGACAGAGCATCTTCACAGATCTTCACACACATCAGTTTGCCTTCCGATATCTGCCAAGAGGTCTGCAAGTCTGCGAGGCGTAAGGTGTACGAACAGCGACGTGCGACTGCGACAAGCTCAGCCTGATGGAGCGCGAACTACAACACAACCTGAATAGTGCACGGTTCCCGATCCGATCTCTGCGACAGCTCCGAGTCGATCGCACTTCACGCCGATCACATCTCACCGGCAATCCCCAGTCCACGCACATTAGCCTGAGCATGCCCCTGGTACTTAGCCCAGATGCTCTCGTACACAGCTTCGACGCGACGACCACCCCGGGGCCCGAGAGAGAGCACAGTCCTGTATGCATGACGGATCCGTCGGTACATCCTTAACGACAAGTCCGACTGTGAATCATGCAACTCTTCGGACAGCCTGAGGCCAAGTTTTTATTGACTATTTTTGTCCGAATGCTGGAAGCCGACCCAATTCAGGGGTTCACTTGAGCGTTAACTTGCGTACATCCTTCATGGCGAACCTCATCCGCTCCCCAAAGTCCGGCAGTGACTGGACCGGCAACGACCTGGTTGCCTATAATATCAAAATACGCCTGGAACCCGCCGCGACCTTCTTCGGAGACGACGCCATGCCCCCGCCCACGGTCGACCAGGAGATCCTGACTACCCAGGACGCCCAAGACATGTCGTCCGACTCCAACGCCGAGCTCATCAATCTGCTCGATCTGGCCATGATATGTCAGCCGAGGACTCCGCCGTCGATGATTTCGCCGTCGAGCTGCTCAAAGCCCTTGGCTACGTGAAACGCCACAGAGTCGCGCGCACTCGGAAGGAGATCCCTTTCTACATCTGCGGCCAATGGAAGCACGCAACAACAGATGTCTGCCTCGTCGATCGGCTGCAGAACGATATCCTACTCCTCGTGCAGGAAGACGAGCGCTCTCAGCCAGACCACCCGCGCGATCCTGGTCCTCAGCTGGTCGCGAAGGCGATCGCCGCGTTTGACCACAACAATTCTCTGCGGCAAAGAACAGGCCAGGCGACTATCGAGTCAAAGGCATGACCACGATCATTTGGATGCACTCCATCGCTCACTCGCCAAGTAGGTCATGGTGGGCATCGCCCTATTCGGTACGACGCCTACCTTTTACAAGATCCCGGTCACCGCGGGTCTTGTGTGCGACGTGCACTACGGCGCATACCCGTCGAAACCCACCATAGTTTCTGTGCATGTCCCAGAGCTCCCTAGTCCTGCCGGCCGTTACAATGAAGGCATGAAGCCCCTGGATAACAGACAGGCGGTTCTGCGTTGTTACGAGGCATTCAGAGGCATCGTGGGCATATAGGGCTATGTACTCACATCGTGTAGAGTTCTTGAACGGACAGATTCGGCTGCAATGTACTACATGTACTAGCCTGAGATTGAGAATGTTCATATGATCTGCCACTGCTGCCAGCTATTACTTATTATGGTCTGTCCACTCGGTCGCCCACGCCACATCGAGCGCTCTGAGTGCGAGTATTCCACCCTGCTCAGCCCAAGCTCAGCCCATCCTCAATACATACTTCTCCTTCTCCCAAACTTCTCCCCAAAGACTCCATGGCCTCCGCACTCGGTGACATCGCGGCCCTCCGGCTGTTCGCGTTCGACCGCGTTCTCAGCCATGGTCCGTCGCTGTCGACATCGATCGCAAAAGCCATAGTACATACTGAGCACTATCCCTTCCGTAGATGCTGCAACCCAGACCATCGTCCTCCTCGGCTCGTTTCCAGCTGAGGATGGATCCAACACTGCCATCGTGCGCATTGAGCGAGCCGCTCTGCCTGTCGACGAGCCGACCACGCTCCTTGAGAGCGCCGTCGCCGACGTCCGCCTGATCGAGAGCAACGACATAGTGCGTCTGCTCGACACTCACGACCTGCATCGCGAGCTCACCCCGGGCCTTCGCGCAGTATACCTGGCTGCTAGGATGGCTCGCGCCCTCTGCTGCCCGCCCGGACGTCAAGATCAACATCATCTGTCCCGCGACCGACGTCCACATCCGCAAGGTCCGTGCATTCGCTTGTGCCCTACTACGCCGACCGACACGCTGCGCGTAGTACACTGCTCAGAAGTACCTCATCGTCCACGAGACACCCGCCCTCTACGAGCGGATCGTCAAGCCCTACATCGACGCCTTCCCTGCCTCCCGCACCAAATGGCGCGTCCTCCCTTCTATCCCTCACGTACACACTGACCTCCACCCAGGGTCCAGGACATCCTCGACGGCCGCTCCGAGGCCGACAAGGTCCTCCACCGCGACGCCGCGTACGTCCTCCTCCCCGACATGAAGTGGGACCTCGTCACGCTCGGCGCGCTCTACCTCGTCGCCATCGCCGCGTCGCCCGCGCTCCGCAGCCTGCGCGACCTCGCCCGCGCGCACCTCCCCATGCTCCGCAGCATCCGCCGCGAGGCGCGCAGGGTCGTCGCCGAGCGGTGGGGCCTCGAGCGTGGCGCCCTCCGGATGTTCGTGCACTACCAGCCGAGCTACTGTGCGTGCCCCGCGCTGCCCGTTGTGCCCCGCTGACGCCGCCCCGCAGATCAGTTCCACGTGCACATCGTGCACGTCGAGTACCAAGGCCTGCTCGGGATGACCGTCGGCCAGGCGCACCTCCTCGACGACGTCATCTCCCTGGTACGCCGCCCCGTCTTCTCCCGATCCTCGTCTCACTCAGGTCCCCGCAGCTCGAGCTCAGCCCCGAGGACGCGCCCTCCATCTTCGCGCACATGACGCTCACGTACGGCCTCGGCGACCAGCACCCGCTCTACACGCCGCTGCGCGCGGCCCAACCCGAGGTCGACGGGCCCGCGGACGACTGACGCGGCGCTGAGGTGAACCAGGATTCGCGTTCGGAACGAACTTGAAGCTATTGCTTCGCGCGGGACCGTTGTCCCGCGCTGCTCCCGCTGTGGGAGCCCGGCCCGATTCGGGCTCGGTGGACGAGTCGAGACGACTCGCAGGTGCATGGTGCGCCTGGGGGCATACACCCCCTTCGGAAGTGATTCCGGATCAACAGGGACACATCCTGCTACACTCTCGATGCGAGAGTCGAGCCAGCGAGGCTTGACGCAGACGCGAGTCCAGCTCGCGGCCTGTATGTGGTGTGCGTTGGTGGTGCGGCTCTGTGTCCGAGTCCGTTGTGCTGTAATTGTATGGTAACAATCGTGCGTTGGCGATCGCAATGGCTTCTTGACCGTTCATGCCGTCCGTGGGTCTGCCCGTCCGAGCCGCCGGCCCGGACAATCTGCAGGTTCAACAACGTGAAGTTACCATGCGGTGGCGATCGCCTGTGTATAGGTGCGGCGTGTTCGTTCAAGCGCATTCACCGTCGCAGCACCCCACCCGCTGCTCAAGCGCTCATGCTCATGAGCGATCATCATGACTACCACTGGCATGCATCTCACATGCTACCATCCTATCATCCGCATGAGGCTGACCTAAGCACCTCGGTGACTTGTCGACGCCGAACCACGATACTCCAGAGGTGAGTGTCGTTCTGTCCGAATGTCGTCAGGATCTCTGTGCTGTCGGGGTCGCTGAGTGAGCAGTGTCGGCGGTCGAGGTTTGCGGGAGGCTCAATTATGCGTATGTACGACAAGACTGCGCGATTTGCGAACCGATGGAGCTGTTGTCCGGCGATGTGTGTACGTCCCCTCCGGAAGAATGAGCAAGAGTGTGTTCTTCAGTGCTAGAGTGCGTGCCGAGGCCCACTGTGCACTCAGTTCGAGTACCTAAACACTGCCGCATCAGACCACGCTAGGTACAGCAAGTCGATTTATTAGACAAGTGAAGTGATCGTAGATTTAATTCCCAGACTACAACTCGGATTCTCAGCGTACTCGTATTGACCCTGTGGGGACGTCTGGACATCATTGTAGACTCCGAAGAGCGATCGGTGCGATGTATGCCGCGCGCCGCCACCGTGACCGTCTAGCGCTACACGATCGAGGTCGCGGCGTTCAACAGGGGTTTCTCCTCCCCACCGGCAAGTTGGTTCTACACGGCTATAGTACTTGCATACTGGAAGTACTGGTACTACAGTACTAGTTGAAATCCCCCGCCCTAACTTCATTAAGTTGTCAGTCTGGTAGCTCGAAATACTCGAAGCTGGTTCGCTGCCTCTTCACTAGTTGGCACTGACACGGCGGCACGTCGTTGCGCATCCATGACGAACGGCCTGCGATATGTCCCTTCTCGACTGGACGGTATCGAAGATGTCGAGCATTATCGCCCCGGTGGCTTCTACCCAATACTCATTGGCGACACATTCTCCCAAGGACGCTACAAAGTCATCCACAAACTCGGCTCCGGCGGTTCGTCCACCATCTGGCTCGCTCGCGATCAACAAGACAGCCCGGGCGTGCTCGTCACTCTCAAAGCCATGCGCGCCGCCGCTTCGTCCAGAGACCCGCGCGAGATTCCAGAGATAGTCGTCCCCACAACTCTGCGGGCCACGCCATCCCTCTCTGACGGTATCCAGACTGTAATCGACGATTGCGTCGTGCACGGCCCGAACGGCACTCATCGGTTCCTCGTCTCTCCGTTTGCTCGCCCGAGCGTCCTCGCCATGTCAGATTCTCCGGGGCGTGTCATCGGGAGCCGTCGACTCCGTGGAGATTTGGCCAGAAGTGTGGCTAGGCAGACGGCGGCGACTGTCCATCGCATGCACAGCGCAGGATTCGTCCACGGTGGTGAGCTTTCCTTCGTTACGTTATTCGCGGTCAATAACCTATATTCCACTCAGATCTCACGACGTTGAACATCCTCTTTCGTGTGAAGGAACACGTCCTTCGCTGGTCGGACTCACAAGTCTACGCACACCTCGGGGTGCCCGAGACGGAGGAGGTCAGAACGCGGGGCGGCGAGCCGCGCGGCCCTCATACACCTCCAGAGCTCGTCGCACCCATCCAGAACTCCGCCATCACCGACGCGTCCTTTCTTCAGGAAAACGTTGTCCTCATTGACTTCGGCCAGTCCTACGCCATCGCCTCTCCACCAACAAATCACCAACCTGGCACAGCAATACACTACCTACCACCGGAGATGCGCTTTGAAGGACGTGTAGGCCCCGAGGCGGACGTGTGGAACTTGGGATGCGCGATCTTCGAGACCCGCGCGGGGTTCCCGCTTTTCGAGCCGTTCTTCGGGAGCGACGCGGGTATCCTCAGACAGACTGTTGAGGTGCTCGGAAAGTTGCCCGATCCGTGGTGGGGGGCCTTTCGCGAGCGTGCTCTGTGGTTTGAGGAAGATGGAGAACTGAGGAGCACCCAGGCTCAGCAGCTCCCTGGTGGTTGCGTCGCGTCGGCAGGTTGGACGAGCCGCCCTCCGTCGATGAGGGCCCTATGATTGAGAGGCATGGGCTGCCGCTGGAAGAGGAAGAGATCGGTCTGTTGGGCGATCTGCTCGTGAAGATGTTGAGGTATCAGCCCGAGGAAAGACTGCCGATGCGAGAGGTTATACGACATCCGTGGTTCACGTTCCGAGGCGAGTGCACACTGGGTATCCGAATGGAGCTTGTTTACGATCGTGTCATTGCAACAGCCGGAGTGTATGTCTTGCATGATCTCATCGTTGGCGGATGACTCTCGCGTGAGTGACACCGTCAGCTTGCTCCGTCCACAATCCACAATGGTCCGGACGTGACGTGACCCTGGCAATGCATCCTGAAGAATCTGTAACTTTCCTCAAGCTCAAGAATGGTCCCCGGCGTTGTCACGCACACACAAGTCTCTGATCGATACCGCATGTGCCTCGCAGTAGAGAAAGGAGTATATGCTTCCGCTGTGGGCCTGCGGCTGCTGGAGCCGCCGCCCAGGTGACAGAACTGTCCGCGGAGGCTACGAAGCGGCGTCGTACGTCTCTGTGTCCATCGGAATCCGTCAAGATGTCGGTGTCTTCCTGTAAGCGGAGACAGGTCAGTGAGGGGCGCGCGCGGTGGCTGGTGCGACGGGGTCGTGCCATCTGGCCTGCCCACGGGACACCTCCCTGCGCCCGCGCCCCGTACTCTCCTTGTCGCTCGAGCCGCTCTCGCGCTGAAGGATCCCGCGTTCGTGTACGACCTCGAGCAGCTTCTGGCGATTCTCTGCCTGCTCGGATTGGGGCGCCCGGTGGCTGTGTCGATTGCGTAGATGCGCTGCCGTTCGCAGAGCGTCATCAAACGTGACATCGCCCAGGAGCTCGTCTCCAGTGGGTGGGAATGGAGGCGAGGACACTCACCGAGGCATTTGACTCCGTCTGGGGTGCCGTACTCTTGTGCATGTACCGCTGAGCCATTTCTTGTCGACGGCTATCATGGCACGTAGCCTGGGTGTCCAGCAGACTGAGGCGGGCGCGCCGGTGTTGAATATTCCAATCTGAGAGCGAGCGATACTGCTCACATACGATACCAGGAAACGGTAGCACCCCTACTACGTTCGGCACTCCCACCGCGTACGCACGCAGGTATGATGCAGTCACAGATTGGTTGAGCGTCGGCGGGCTATCCGACTGCCAGTTGCTATAAGCAGATTGTGTCTCGTCGATCCTCCAATGTTGTACGGCTCGTGCGCCCGCATATGTAAAGGTAGGTGCACCAAGGCGATCTGCCGGCGCTCGTGGCCCCTCAGATATCTCCCCCTGCACGCGAATACGCGGTCATGCGCACGTTTGCAGCGTTGACGGCATCCAACGCGTGACGCCCAGAGACTGGAAGCGACGATACGAAGCAGAGGGGTCAAGGAAGGCGTTCACAAGATGTGATACAGCAGGACTTTGCAGTCGACAGCCTTGTCACGAAGGCGGCACACATTATGCACGTACACGTACGGCGCGTGCAGCCTCCTTACGCCATATGATCGCGCGTGCGACCCTCGGGGCGTGCTGGAAGCGTGCGGCAGATGGACGCCCTCTTCTGCGCGGAGGCTTGACGAGCGTAAGTACGTGCGATGCGAGGCTGGGCGTGGTGGGATGGGAGGTGGAGGGAGGGGCGGCAGGGGAGAGGGGATCCATGTTTGATCCATGTGCCGATGATCTGGGTGCGATGAGGATCCGCTCGCCCTGCCCGCCCTTGGCGCCCCATATATCCTCCCTCCCGCCTCCTGCTCGCGTGCCTCCAATACCCCCACCACCGGCCGACGATGGTCCTCCAGCAAGTCCCGACGTCGCAGAACACGCCCGCGTCCCTCCCGCCGTCCGTCTTCACCCTCCCCCACACCGCCCAGCTCGAGGCCCTCTACACCATCATCCGCGACAAGACCACCAGCCGCGGCGACTTCCTCTTCTACTCCGACCGCATCATCCGCCTCCTCGTCGAGGAGGGCCTCAACCACCTCCCGGTCGTGCCCAAGACCGTCGAGACCCCCACCGTGAGTCGTCCCGCGCGCAGCCGGATCGTTGACGAGTGACGCTTGGATGCGCGCGATGCACAGGGCGCGACGTATGAGGGCGTAGGCTTCGAGGGGCACATATGCGGCGTGTCGATCCTGCGCGCGGGCGAGGTACGTCGGCCCTCTCAGTGTGCGTGCGCGGGCCGCGGGACGCTGACCTGCGGCGAGCAGGCGATGGAGGCGGGCCTGCGGGAGGTCTGCAGGAGCGTGCGCATCGGCAAGATTCTCATCCAGAGGGTGACTATCCGTTCGTACATCGCGTGCGCTACGTGCTGAGGCTCTGTGGCCGTGCATAGGACGAGGAGACGGCGCAGCCCAAGCTGTTCTATTCCAAGGTGCGTGCGCGCCCGCATATCGTACACTCGGTCGCTCAATGACGCCATGAACAGCTCCCGCCGGATATCGCGCATCGGTATGTGCTGCTGCTCGACCCCATGCTCGGTGCGCGATTCGCTGTGCTGCTGCGTTCGCAGGCGTGAACTCATGGGCGACCGTAGCTACGGGCGGGTCGGCAATCAAAGCGGTGGAGGTGCTCATGGAGGACGGCGTGCCGGAGGACCGCATCATCTTCATCAACCTGGTGGGTGTCTGCGAGCATTGCGTGCGGGGGTGGCGCTGAGACACACGTCGACACTCACGCACGACAGATCTCGTCGCCCGAGGGCCTCAAGACGTTCTGCACGAAGTTCCCGGCGCTGCGGGTGGTGAGTGTGGCCGCTGCGTCCGCGTTCGCGTGCGCGAGTTGACATCTTCGGTGCGCGGCGCATGCAGATTACGGGCTGGATCGATCAGGGATTGAACGAAAAGGCATACATCGTGCCCGGGCTGGGCGACTTTGGCGAGAGAAGGTAGGTGCGCTGTGGTTGTAAGCCCGGCAGCAGCAGCTGACGCCGACGGCTCGGCCCCGACTGTCAGGTATTGCGAGTAAGCGCATCTACTCAGAGGTCCAGAGACGATATGGCTGGGCAGGGTTTGAGGAGAGAGAGCACGGTGTGTTATGTAAAATACAAGCTAGCTGGAAGCAATGCAAGGCGATGTGAGAACGAAGCGAGGGCGTGTGTGAGACAGGCTGGAGACCGGGCGGGAGTGTTCTCAAGCGCTGGACGACTGCATATGACTGCGGTGGCACGTACGATCGCCCGTCTCTTCCCTCGTCCCAGCAGCCCTGCAGCCGATCAGTGCCCTCATATTAACTTAACATCCCACTCTTTTCTCTCTTCGCCACGACTGCGACTCCCTCCCCGCCATGTCCATCGCCGCCGCCCAGCCCCTCGCCCCCCGCCGCCGCCGCTACTCTGGCGCCAACGCCGTCGAGATCATCAAGTCCCCCGCCGTCTCTGCGCCCCCGCCCCGCCCAAAGTCCACGCCCCCCACAGAGCGCCCCCGCCAGCGCCGCCGCCAGGTCCCCGACGCCGAGCCCGACGACGAGAAAGAGGACATGCAAATTGACCGCGACCACGACGCGGACTCGGACGACGCCTCCGAGTCCGCGTCCGACTCTCCCCACGACCACGACCACCAAAACTCGTCCGCACACGCCGCCGACCGCCCCACGCGCCCGCTGCCCCAGAAAAACAGGAGCAAGATGGCGAACACACCCCAGACGCAGCAGACGAAGAACCCGATGTACCAGACCGCCAACCCGCACATGCTCCCCGTCCAGGCGCACGTACCCAAGGGCACCGCGGCGGCCGGCCAGCGACGGCTCTTTGTGGTCCTCGAGCAGGCGTGCTTGGAGGCGTACAGGGTCAGCAGCAACGCCCGCGGGAAGAACGGCCGGGAGGGCGAGGTCAAGTATGCCCTCCTCAACTGCGACGACCACCAGGGCATCCTCGCGAAGACCGGCAGGGACATCGCGGATGCGAGGCCGGATATCACCCATCAGGTGTGTTGTGCTGTGGAATTTGAGTGTTGTGGGCTGCGCGATATGCGGCGATGTCTCCTTGTACCTCCTATCGATTTTTTCAAAGTGGACTGCACCACGCAACTGGATAGGAGGCCGTAAGGGACACTTACACTGACACACTTCTGCAATCCGGCCACCTTTCTTGTCGTCGGTGAGCTTATCAATCCGTCCACAGTGTCTCCTCACGCTGCTCGACTCGCCTCTCAACAAGGCGGGCCTGCTCCAAGTCTACATCCACACCGCCAAGGGCGTCCTCATCGAGGTGAACCCCCATGTGCGCATCCCACGGACGTTCAAGCGGTTCAGCGGCCTGATGGGTGCGTCCTTCCCCCGCTCGCCGCGCCAGATCTCACGCCGCTGACGTTGTGTCCGCCCCAGTCCAATTGCTGCACAAGCTCTCGATCCGCGGTGTGAACGGCCCCGAGAAGCTTCTCAAGGTCATCAAGGTGCGTCCGCGCTCCCGCCGGCCCCAGGCCGCGTACTAATCCCGAGCACAGAACCCGGTCACGGATCACCTGCCCGCGAACACGATGAAGCTGAGTGAGTGCATATGCCCTTCGGCTCCGCGCGTGTGGGGAATTGGGCGCTGACGGACGGCGTGCGACGTTAGCTTTGTCGGGAGACGCGCCGACGGTGCGGCTGTCGCGGTACCTGCCGACGCTGCCTGAGACCCATAACGTTGCGGTGTTCGTGGGGGCGATGGCGAGGGGGAGGGACGACTTTGCGGACGCGGTCGTGGATGAAAAGATCAGCATCAGCGACTTTCCGCTGAGCGCGTCGGTCGCGTGTGGCAAGGTGGGTGGTCGGTCTGGTAGTGCTCTTGGATGGCGCACTGACGCGGGGCTAGTTCTGCTGTGCGCTGGAGGAGCTCTGGGATATTGTTTGAGTCGACATCGGCATCGGCATGCTCATCTATGCTGGGATATTTGGGTTACTGTCTTCTCTCGCCTTTTCTGCTACTTGTACAACACCACCCCCGATATTGCACTTCAACCTGCGCCCATCTCCCCCACCCCGCATCATCCAACTGCTGTCCATCGTTCACACCACCGGGACGGCCGGCGCTATGTCGCTGGCTGTCCTCACGCCCCTTGTATACGCCCCTGCTTGGACGAAGCCCCCCGATGTCTGCGACTCAACTTGCAGCCGGGCTTCGTGTGTCGTGTGCTGTGTTGTGTATGTCACGTATGTAGCTATAACAGAGACGCGAAAACGAGACGCGAGGCGTGTTTCCCCGCGCGCGAGCGAGTGATGCCCTGTGCTGGAGCTGTGTTGGCGCTGTTCGTCGCCGCGGAGGTGCGTGCGGGGAGCCAATGAGCGCGCGCGATGGCGGCTAGGGGCAAGCGATCATCTTCGCCCCCTTCCCGATTTGGATCGCCACTCTCCCCGCCTCTGCCTGCCCGCGCCCTCGCCTGCCGCCCTGCCCCTGCCACGCACTCTCGCCACGACCACGACTCACGACCACCCCGCACATAGATACCACCCACCCTCCCCAGCTACAACGACTCGATGGCCGATCCCCAGCAGCCCGCCAGCGCGAGCCAGATGCCCGACGGCGTCACAGACCCCAACTACAAGCCCCTGCCTGGCCGCCTCGGCAACCTCACCGTCCCCCAGCAGCACGCCCTCGACAAGCTCAAGAAGGAGCTCCAGACGGAGGGCCACTTTGTCCCCGAACGCCATGACGATGCGCTTCTCCTGCGGTGAGTGCCTCGCTGGCGACCGACCGACTGGCTGGCCGAGCGCTGACGGCCGTGCAGGTTCCTCCGCGCGAGGAGATTTGATGTGGAGAAGGCGAAGGCGATGCTGCTCGCGTGTGAGCAGTGGAGGAAGGACTTTGGCGTAGACGAGCTGCAGAAGTGCGTCTCCCGCCGTCGTGCTGCGTCGCCGGTGCATCCGCGCTAACGATCGCGCGACAGAAACTTTGACTTCCAGGAAAAGGCGGAGGTGGACAAGTACTACCCGCAATACTACCACAAGATCGACAAGGTCCGTGCATGCCTACTACGTGTCTCGCTGCGGCGACCGTGCTGAGCGCTCCACACAGGACGGGCGGCCGGTGTACATCGAGCAGCTGGGCAAGCTCGACATCGGGAAGCTGTACGCGATCACGACGTCCGAGCGCCAGCTGAAGCGGCTCGTGTACGAGTACGAGAAGAACAACAGCGAGCGCATGCCCGCGTGCTCGCGCCTCAGCGGCCACCCCGTCGAGACGTCCTGCACGATCCTCGACCTCCAGGGCGTGTCCATCTCCAACTTCTACCGCGTCAAGGACTACGTCATGCAGGCGTCCGCCATCGGCCAGGACCGCTACCCCGAGTCGATGGGCAAGTTCTACATCATCAACGCCCCCTGGGCCTTCTCCGCCGTCTGGTCCATCATCAAGCCCTGGCTCGACGAGGTCACCGTCTCCAAGATCGACATCCTCGGCAGGGACTACAAGACGAAGCTCCTCGACCAGATCCCCGCGGAGAACCTCCCCAAGGACTTTGGCGGGACGTGCCAGTGCGCCGGCGGGTGTTCGCTGAGCGACGCCGGCCCCTGGAACCCGTCTTGGGAGCAGCCGGAGAAGGCGGGCGCGTAGAGGCTGATGCGTATCGCGGGGTCGGCGAGGGACATAGTACTCTACCCGTATACCTTAATAGACACGACATGCTATCCAGTCTTCGCTTTGCAGGCAATCCGTCCTCTTTTCATTTCTGCTCCTGCTCCGCATACGTAGGCGCCGGGGTCGCGCGTGGCTACTGACCGGCTTGTACGCAACGCTGAGCGTTACTTATCACGCCTATGTACGTGGGCATCTCGCGATTGGTCTCCATTCACAAACCGTAACACTCGTAATATCCACGTTGCGGGTCTACAGCGAGAGCACATTAATTCACAGGTATTGCATGCTGACACCGTGACGCGGCGCGGGCAATTCGAACTTTGCTCCAACTTCGACCTACGCCTCACACTCGTTCGAGCGGTGTTCTCCCAGGCGACGCGGGACAGGTGTGAGTCGTGCTTATAGTGCAGCATCTATTCTGGAGGCACAATCCTTGCTTCGGAACAGCCGTACGAACTTGAACGCATATTTATCCAGACGTGTTTGCCTAATTGGTTACACTGGCCAAAGTGCCATAGCGCGCCTCGAACATGGTCAAGAAGAGGAGACGGTCCTGTAGTACAGACTCGGAATACTGCTCCGAGTCGGACGAAGATGATGAGCTACTTGGTGAGCACCCATCTCCCGCCTCTAACGAACCCGATGTCCAATTTTTCTCTCACACCTCGCCGCCCAGGACATAACTCGTCCGTACACGCTGCGCTCGAGGATGAGCTCCTGGGCCGCGTCAAGTACGATGACGCGTCTGTGTTCGAGCGGCTGCGCATCTACGACGAGGACGACGCGGTCATCGAGCGCTGCCATGAACGGTACCAAGTTAAGCAGGCTCGGGACCTCCACAGACTCCTCGAAATCGGTCGCGAAAGCGAAATTCCTCCCAGAAACGTTGGCGAAAGCGATGCAGAGAAGGTGGAACGCAGGCGCATAGAGACATCCGTGGAAGAGCGGATGCATGACCCCTTGGTACATGTCCCGCCGCTGACATCGTGCACTCTTCATTGACCTACCGCCCTTTCCAGCATCGCGTGCTCACTTTCCTCACAAATCTTGACGGCCACGACGGGCCACGACGCCGGTTCGTCGACTCAGGGAAAAGCCCGCTCTCTACTCCGAGTGCAACAGCGGAAGCCTATCTCCCTAGCCTCCCGGACGATCACCCCGACTTCTACCTCCTCAACGACGGTCGACAGACGCATCCATGGGACAGTCGCGTAGGGTTCGCCATGATTAGGGGCGACGCGGACGAGGGCTCCCCTCCCGTGGATGGCAGCGCGACGGTCAAGTCGGCCGTGCTGCAGTGCGCGGACTACGCGCACGTACACCTTGCCTGCCACCCGTTCTCGTTGTTCAGTGTCGCGCTCTTAATTACGGGGACAGACTTTCGAGTGGTGATCGTTGATCACGCTGGCGTCCTGCTCTCTCCGCTGCATAGCATCGTCGATGATAACCGAGGTGGGACGGCCGGCCAGCCCGACGCAAGGACGTTCGTACGGGTCGTCCGCGCGTTGGCTCATCTGTTGGGCGAGAGGGAGTTGGGACGAGGCCCTTCCGTCACGCCGGTTTCCCGCCAGGAGTTGGCGGAGTGCGTGCGAGGTTCCTCTATCCCCGACGAGCTCAGCCGGAAGATATTGGCCCAGGACGACACTTGCTATCCCTCATATCTCGTCCCCCTTCACGGACCAGAGACGGACGTGGTGCACAGTGGGAGCCCCGATCTGGGTCTCCGCGGCGCTGATCGGGCGAGCGACGACGGTCTGGCGAGTGGTCGAGGTCGTAGAGTCGGCGAATGGGCGCGCGCTTTCAGGCGATTTGCACGTCCTCAAGTCGTCGTGGCGTGATCCGCGGCGGCGACCATCCGAAGCGGATGTGTATAGGCTGGTCGGCGGGTTCGAGGACTGCCCGCCGGGCGTGGCGGGATTAATGTCTGGCGGCGACGTCCTGTATGAGGATGGCTCGACGTTGCGCAAGCTGTCTACAGCAAAAGTACGCGGGGATCCCGAGGACGAGGACCCGAGGGTCCTCCACCGGATCGTCCTCTCCACCGTCGGAGAGCCGCTTGGACGTACACTGATGAGCTCCAGCTCCTGCGTGCATTCTATGCGATCGTCGAGGGTGAGTGTTTATACTCTATGGACATTATCGTTAACGGTTCATGGAGACTTCCCAGTTCACGAGTACTTATGCGAGAAAGGAATCCTTCACGGTGACATCAGTCCAGGGAACCTGTTGCTCTGGACAGGTCCCTCCGCGAAGGCCTTTGGATTTCTGTCCGATTTCGACAGGGCCTACGTCAACAATAATGCGCGTGGTCATCTAGACCGTGAAAACAGTGCCAAGCTGAGGCAGAAGGCCGTCGGGGCAGGGAGCGATGCTATCGCGACGCTGCCCGCTGTCCACGCGCACATGAGACCTACGGAGACAAAACCTCGTGGTGTAGCCATAACAGTGGGTGTCCTCTCTTTCCTCACAGTACCCGTCAACCCATAATTATTCTAGGGGACACTTCATTTCATGGCTCTTGAGCTGTTGAAAACCCGGAGTCTACTCAAGCATACAGTTGCCCATGACCTTGAGTCAATTGGCTACGTCTTGGGGTATTCTGTACTGCGACGGCTCCTGACTGTTCCAGGTTGCCCGAAAAGCCTCAGAACACAGTACAGAGAAGTATTTGGTGCCATGTCAATAAAGGACATCATACTGCAGCGCAAAGACAGGCAGCCGCTGTCATGGGCCATGGAGATGGGAGATTAAGGAACAGATGCTTTTCTTGAACAGCATGTCTCTGAGATTGTTGCTGAGACAATGAGGTCCTTGGAACATGCAATTATGGGAGCTCATGAAGGGTTGAAGGATGCTAACCTAGCAAGAAGATATCATCCTGTGAGTCTTCTTGATATCTGGGTGCTACAGACATTGATGATGAACAACTTCATTGTCATGTCACATCTATGTTCAGACAGAAGCCTCTCAAGCCAACAGACAAACAGATTGTAATCATACATCCTTTCTGGATGCTTTACAGAAGGGCATCAGGACACTTGAAAAATCCCCAGCATCAGTGAAGAGATTTGGTCCAGCTTTGTAGTCCAGTTCATCACTTGTTATTGACTCTTTGAATCCTTCTGACATGTGGATCTTGTTCACAAGAGTTTCAAATAATTCTTATTACTATCATTATTGAAGCTAGACAAGAGCATCTGTCTGTCTGTAATCTACACCTGTAGACAACCATCATTCAATCCGAGTCATGATGTGGATATTAGTTCCATGAATAATGTGCCAGGAAGTGATGTTTGAGGCAATGTGAATGAAAGTCATTGAATGCCTGGCGAACATGTCCAGCACAAGAGATCATCACCTGAGAAATGCACTGGAGATGGTATCTATCTATTAGTTCCAAGAACACCTGAAGAAAGGACAAGACAACCACAGTCGTGCCCCTCACCATCGTAGGCACCCAGATGCTCGCCCAACACAACGCAAGCATATCTACCGCAGTGTCCGAAATCATATTCTTCGCGCTCGCGCTATGATACATTTCCTCGACGACGACGCGTACCGTCAGCAACATTAACGCGCAAAATGGAAGCTATGCATTCGAGAAGCAGACAGATCGCGAAACCGTAGCGTAGCGTAACGTAAGGGGGGCATCTACATCGGTGTTGTGTTGTTTCCTTCTTTCGCAGTCCCGTCCCGTCCACACTCCGCACCCGACGTTCGTCCTCGACATCGACGGCCGGCACCCGACGCGCCTAGAAGCACTTGCGGTGCACGATGGCCGGACCGGACTCGTCGTACTCTTGCTTCGAGCACCAGAGGTTCTGGAAGGTCGACAGCGACGCGAGAATGGACCCACCGATCCAGACGGAGTACTTCCGCTCGGGGGGAGCAACGATCTTGACCTGCACGAGGGGTAAGCACACGAACGTGAGACAGCCGACATGTCACTTGCCTTCATGCTCGACGGCGCGAGGGCGGTGATCTCCTTCTGCATACGGTCAGCGATACCAGGGAACATGGTGGTACCACCAGATAGGACGATGTTGCCATAGAGATCACGACGGATATCGAGATCGCACTTGTAGATGGAGTTGTAGCATGTCTCGTGGATACCTGACGCTTCAAGACCGAGGAAAGCGGGCTGGAAGAGCGCCTCCGGAGCGCGGAACCTGAAGCCGGAGTTTAACGTCATGCACACTCACACGAGTCTAATATGCATACCGCTCGTTGCCGATGGTGATGACCTGACCGTCGGGCAGCTCGTAGCTCTTCTCGAGAGCGGACGAGTGCGCCGCAGTCTGGAGCTCCTGCTCGAAGTCGAGCGCGACGTAGCACAGCTTCTCTTTGATATCACGGACGATTTCACGCTCTGCTGTGGTGTGGAAGCCGTAGCCACGCTCCGTCAGGTTCTTGATCAGGAACTCAGTGAGGTCACGGCCGGCAAGATCGATACGAAGGATGGCGTGCGGGAGCGAGAAACCCTCGTAGATGGGGACAGTGTGGGTGACACCATCACCGGAGTCCAGCACGATACCGGTCGTACGACCAGAGGCGTAAAGCGAGAGAACGGCTTGGATGGCGACGTAGAAAGCAGGGGCGTTGAACGTCTCGAACATGATTTGGGTCATCTTCTCGCGGTTGGCCTTGGGGTTGAGCGGAGCCTCCGTGAGGAGGACGGGGTGCTCCTCGGGGGCGACACGGAGCTCATTGTAGAAGGTGTGATGCCAAATCTTCTCCATGTCGTCCCAGTTGGTGACGATACCGTGCTCAATCGGGTACTTGAGCGTGAGGACACCACGCTTCGATTGAGCCTCGTCACTATAGATACACAGTGAGATAGGGGGGCATGTCGTGTGAAGAGCCAGTGTGCGTACCCGACGTAGGAGTCCTTCTGGCCCATACCAACCATCACACCCTGGTGACGGGGACGGCCGACGATGGACCTGTGCCACGTCAGTAAGCCGGTCGCCCACTGAGGCAAGTGATGGTACACACGGGAACACGGCACGGGGTGCGTCGTCACCTAACCCGAATCTCTCAGCATCTATGCCTTGCCACGAAGTCTGAACATCATATGCGTACCCGCAACTGTAGACACGTGTGTTAGCACTGATGGGATGATCCAGGCGGATACGACTTACAGCCAGCCTTGCACATGCCGGAACCATTGTCAATGACCTGGCGACATGCGAGAGACGCTGTGAGAAGCGATTCGGAGCGAGAAGGACGCGAAGACACGTACGAGCGCTGCTACCTCATCCTCCATTTTGGCGACTTAGTTCGTGAGAGAAGATTAGAAAGTGGGTGCGAGAAGGACCTGTTTGCAGCGCGAAGATATACCGTCGCGATAGGTGCGGCGCAGGAGAGCGATGCTGAGCACTGCGGTGGGCTGTGAGGAGACGAAGACGACTTACGTGGATGATGGAGGACGTGAGCAAGAGCGGTACACTGCCCGCAGATGCCCCTAGCCCTTATCCGATCCACTTCAGGGCAGGCGCCAGGCCCCTTGCCTTCCACTGCCCGCTGTGCCCGCTCACTCACTCCCAGAGCACCCGCAGACCCCGCAGCAGCCAGACAGACACCTCTCAACGCTCCCCCGCAGCTCGCAGCGACGCGCAGCGCCGTCGGGGCCGCCGTCGAGCGCGGGAGCAGGCGGGATTGCCCTATTTAGGCATGCATCACGTGCCCGTCATTGAGCGTTACGCCCGACGCGTCAGCGCGAGGTCGCGTCTGCTGCACGTCGCGTTCACTGTTCAGCACTCGCGTCTCCTCATCCTCTCTCCTCGCCCACCATGCCGCTCGAAGCGACGCTGATGATCATTGACAACTCGGAGTACATGCGAAATGGCGACTACCAGCCCTCCCGCTTCGACGCACAGGCAGACGCGGTCAACACCATCTTCCAGACCAAGATGACTCTAACCCGGAGAACACGGTCGGCGTCATGACAATGGCGGGCAAGGGGTGCGTGCGCAGCGACCCACTTTTCTGCACAGTTGGCTGAGGCTCTTGGTTGCATAGCCCCGAGGTCCTCGTAACACACAGCAAGGACATTGGCCAGATCCTGCAGGCACTCCACTCCACATCAGACAAGATTGGCGGCACTGCGGACATCCCCACTGCCATCGCCGTCGCGCAGCTCGCGCTCAAACACAGACAGAACAAGAACCTCCGACAGCGCATCGTCGTCTTCGTCGGCTCGCCGCTCGAGGGCCAGGGCGCAGACGAGAAGGCGATGATCCGGCTCGCGAAGAAGCTCAAGAAGAACAACGTTGCGGTGGACTTCATCGCATTCGGAGATGGCATTGAGGAGGGCGAGCGAAGTGTGCTAAAGGCGTTCGCGGACAACGCATCAAGCGGAGACAACTCGTAGGCGGCCTCTGCCATTCTCGTGAGGACGCGCTGCTCATCATTCTCGTCCGCAGACATCTCATAACCGTGCCACCGGGCCCGCATCTGCTCTCGGACATGGTCCTCACATCACCAATCCTGGCGGGCGACCGGGGCATCCCAGAAGAGGCCATGGGCGACGCGACAGGCCCCGCGGCCGGCGCGAGCTTCGAGTTCGGCGTCGACCCAAGTTTGGACCCCGAATTGGCGATGGTACGTCGTCGCACTCGGTGTTATCACAGAGATTGACTGTTCGCAGGCACTGCGCATGTCACTGGAGGAGGAGCAAGCACGACAGGCCGCATCCGTGCAGGCCAGCGGTTCGGCGTCAGGTTCGTCTGCACCCGCAGCAGCACCAGCAGAGGTAGCGCCACCGGCGCCCGCTGCTGCTGCTGCTGCTGCTGCTGCGTCGGTCCCCGCGGACCCGACAGATGACGAGGAAGAGGCGATGCTGAAGCAGGCGCTGGCGATGTCGGAAGGGGACGTGGAGATGGTGGGCGCTGACGAGGAGTTGTCGGAGGAGGACGAGATTGCGAGGGCAATTGCGATGAGTATGCAGCAGCAGGAGGGCAAGGACAAGGACAAGAAATGAGAAAGCCGTTTGTCTGTATCATTGTCCGTACACAGTCACCGCGGACTACGCTTTTCACGATCGTCGGATATTTGCTTGCAATGTTCAGGGCCAATGCTGTCTATGATGAGCTATCGGAGCTGTATTTCACCCAACGCAAGGTCTTCGGACTCTCAGGCTCTTAGGCATGGCTGGGATAGTCACTGTACAGAGGGCGCCTATGAGCATGTCTTATTCCGGGAATTGCCGCCTCGACCGAGTGCGCTGTGGCGGACGCTCGCCGCCGCATCCACACCATTCACTTTCATGGCGTCCTCGACCACGGCATCCCAGGAGGAGCTCAAGCAGAACAAGATCCCTGTCGCGTGGAGGGATCAATGCTCTGCGTGCGTACTCCCATATTGCGGTACATCATTGAACTGAGAGAACCGTTTGCGATCTCGTGTCACCCGCAGTCTGCTCATTCCTCTGAATGTCTGCCGGAAACAGAAGTACTATCTGCCATGGGAATGTGAGAACGAGAGGCACTCGTATGAGAAGTGAGTTCTCAGTTATCTTAGCTGCGTCTGCCATATGTTGACGGTGCTCCAGGTGTCAGTACGAGGAGTGAGTACTATTAGATGGTCTGACGAGACGAACTGAAGTTGGGGTCGCGCAGCTACGTTCGCAGGATGAAGGTGCTCTCGAAGCAGAAGGTGGCTGCGCTAGAGGCGGAGGAGTGATTGTGGTCTACCCTTGTTCAATGTGCATTGACAGTGCTGCTCAACCCGCGGCATAGGTCGACGTGTGTGCAACTGTCAACCGGCAGCATCATTTCTGAGAAGGGGGTGTATCCGCCACCAAGGGCGCAGAGCAGTCTACTACAGGTACGGCGGAACACTACGTCGTCTTCCCCGTCGCTCCTTCCACAGCGCGATCTCCTTCTGCACCCTCGCCACCACGTCCTCCACCGAGCTCGCCTTCCCGAACGCGTCCACGAACTTGCCGTCCGGGTCCATGAAGTAGAAGAAGATCGAGTGGTCCACGAGGTAGTCGTCGTCCGCCTTCGCGTCCGGCGGCGTCGAGAAGTACACGCGGTACGCCTTGCAGGTCGCCTTCGTCGCCGCGTAGTCGCCCGTCAGCCCAACGAGCCGGGGGTGGAAGTCCGCGACATAGCGTGCGACTTGGGGGATGGTGTCCCGCGCGGGGTCGACAGAGATGAAGACGGGCTGCACGACCGGCCCGAATTGCTTGTCTGAGTGAGAGAGGGACGTGTGAGCGAGGAGTCCGTCAGTGAGGCAGAACGGGGCGAACGCACCTAGTTCGGTGACTGCTGCGCTCATTTTGTCGAGCTCTTCTGGGCAGATGTCAGGGCAGTTCGTGAACCCGAAGTAGATGAGGCTCCAACTCCCGAGCAGTCTTTTTCGGTGAAGGGTGTGCTCGTATGTGTCGTGAGGGTGAAGGCTCCGCCGACGTGCGGCCGTCCGACCTGCTTGTCTTCTTGCTCTTTCTCTAGTGAACGTACCCTGGTGAGGATGTCTGAGGAGACGCGAACTTGGGAACACACGTTTTGCTCCTGCAGCTTTGTTTCTCATATCTGAAGTACAGATAGAGGCCGACGCCAGTCGCTACGAACAGAGCTGCAGCTTTTGGCGTGAAGACCTGGTTTTGAGCTGTGCGGCTATAATTCAAGACTGACAGGTGAAGCACTCACCCCGACCGCGGACCTATCCCTCTCTCCTGAGGAGGTCTGTTGCGTCGGCTGTGAGTAATGTCTCGCGCATGGTGGCTTGAGTTCCAGGCGCGAACATGGGTAGCGGGCAGGACGTGCAGCGGCAGTCCGAAGTGAGCGTGCTACTCTCAGAGCTCTTGACATCTTGGCTTGCACGGCGAGACACCCTCAGGATGCTAGACGAATCTGTGGTATGTCTGCGCGGATGGTGTTGGAACGGTTGGAGAAGCGGCCGACGCGCTGGAGGAAGGTCATATACACGAGACAGGCGCGCGAGCCGTGACCGAGGCGATCTCGTTCGCAGCCTAGCCTGACGTCTCGATCGTCTCTTACATCTTGAAATCTTAGTATTGTTGAAGGCCATGCATAGGGATATTCTACATTGGGGGTTGGGCTATTGCTACAAAGCTGCGTACAGCCTACGATTCACCCACGAAGACAGCCCACGGTACGGTATTTAGGTAGCTACGCTCTTCATGGCCACCGTGCTCACGACGATCTCGTCCGCAGCCAGTTGCTGCTGTGCAGGGGTCATGCCTGGTGCCTTCAGCGCAGGGTCGGCATTCAGCTTGTAGTACTGCGGGGTAGACATATTAACGCGACGAACAGTGACATTTCGAAGAACGCACCTTCCTGACAGTTGCCCAGTCAGTGAGCTTAGTGAGGTCCGAGAGAGGGAGGAGGTCGCCTGTAACGACCGCTTTCGTGCGATCCTCGATGTCCGTTACCCCAGAGGGGCCTACGCGGACAACGATGAGGGCGGTGGTGTTGTCCGAGACTCCGAAACGCCTGATAGCTTCAGTGATCTATGTCATGCCATTTCATCTGAGCGGAAGGTCGACCAGGAGAATAGGGCGTGCGAGTCACACATTGTTGTTGGGACTGAGTGCCCAGAGGATCTCGGAGTGTACAGTCTTCGTGCGGAGAGCACCTTGGACCTCAGCCAGGATGGCTTGGTAGATCGCAGTCTGCAGATGCAGCATGCTGGTAATCTGTAGTGTCACATCTGTTAGATACGGACAGAGCCAGATGGGAGCAGTCAACCGACCAGACGGGCGTCGATGAACGCGAAGTTGACGGCCTCGCGCTCGCGGTCACCTTCGGGGCCCTCCAGCTGACTTGCGCGGACGATGCGCTCTCTGATGTGCGCAGCGTTGGAGACATGGTCGAATAGGGCGAGGTGGACGCGGGCGGGGAGATGGGGGTAGAGAAAGGAGTCCATCTCCATCTGGCGGTGGCTGCGCTCGGCCTGTCTCCGCGCGTTTCACCGCCGTGTTTCTTGTCTTCTCCGCTCACCCCTCTTGCCTACTGATACTTCAGTGTTCGCCCGACGCTGGTCTCGTCGCCCACAATGCGGCTTGCGAACCTTCTCCGGCTGCCGTCCTCGCTGCTCCTCGCATCACTCACCCTCGCCATCGCCGCGCTTCCGGTCAGCTCGGACGAGGTAGAACTGCTCGTGCTCACTCCCGACGACTTCGACAAGACGGTCGCGCATGGGGTATGGTACGTCGCAGGAGCCTCAAAGGTGCTAGCAATGACTTTACGTGCTCTGCGGACAGGTTCGTCGAGCACTTCTCGCCGTACTGTGGCCACTGCCGCAACTTCATGCCCACATGGAAGCAGCTCGTCCAAGAGAACGCGAACATGTCCGACCCGGGCATTCACCTCGCGCAGGTGAATTGCGCTGTTCATGGCGGTGAGTGCAGCACACATGCGAGCGCGAGACGCCGTCTCATCCTGCGCAGACCTCTGCAAGGCCCATGGCGTCGACGGGTACCCTCAAATGAATCTTTACCGCGATGGCGCGTTCGTCGAAATGTACCGGCAGCCAAGATCCTATGACATTCTCACATCATACCTCTCCGAGCACGCGGAGCCGACTTCGCTACCGGTGCTGCCTGAGACGACCGAGGTTCCGGTTGTTACTGCTGTACCCGACCCTGTACCCCAGCTCAAAGTGCAAGAGTACAGGGATACGTACAAGCCTGCTGTTCCTGCGAAGGACTTCAACCCGGATGGGAAGGTGCTCGCTCTCGACGACAAGACCTTCCAAAGCGCGGTGGACGAAGGTCACGTATTCGTCAAGTTTTACGCGCCCTGGTATGTTCTCAACGCGATCCTAGGTTACACTCTGACGAGCCGTCGTACTCAAGGTGTGGGCACTGCAAAAAACTGGCGCCCATCTGGGCGCAGCTCGCAGGGAAGATGCAGCACAAGCTCGCCATCGCTGAAGTCAACTGCGAAGCCCACGATTCGCTATGCCGAGCGGAGGGCGTACCAGGCTTCCCGCAGCTCATATATTACGGAGGAAAGGGCGCAGGCAAGGTCGAGTATACTAGCGGGCGCAAGCTCGAGCAGCTGAAGGCCTTTGCGGAGAAGGTTTCCGGGCCGTGCGTTCTCCGTTGTATCTGATCCGCATATCTTCTCATCCCAGTCGCTCGTAGGCCGATCCAGGAGCTGTTCTACCAGGACCTCAGCGCGCGTATCGAGGAGTATCCCGTACTGTATCTTCTGCTTCATCCCTATTCTGACGGCGCCGTAGTTGTAAGCTCGTCAATTTATTATCCTCAGCGTCGTACTTAAATCTTGAGTAGAATGACGTCGTAGAAGCCGCTCAGGCTCTCTTTGGCTCGCCCCCAGTCTTCACGTCGGCGGCTCCCCAGTTGTACGAACACTTCAACGTACAACCTGACTCCGCCGTGGTTCTCGCACTGAAGGACCACGACGCCGTCCCGGCCACCGTCTACCGACTCCCCGCAACACGGTCGGCAAGCGACAAGGTCGCGCTCGTCGACTGGGTAAGTCTCCACTCCCCAGCAATCACACCGACAGCACTCAATTTCTACGTCCCACAGTTGCTGAAGAACCGCCTCCCAACGAGCATGGCGCTCGACTCGGACACGTTCCAGGACGTCATGAACGCGCCCCACAAGCCGCTCGTCGTCCTCGCCGCGGCTCCCCCCACGCAGCTTCAGGCCACCGCCGACGACGTCCAGCGCATCGCGAAGCAGTGGCGGAACGCGAAGGGCGGGCCGGGCGTGACGTTCGTCTGGATGGACGCGGACAAGTGGGCCAAGTGGCTCAAGGGCATGTACGGCATCAAGGCGGACAAGGAGGTCCAGGTCGTCGTTGCGGATCACTCTGTAGGTGTTTTGATAGGCTGTATGCGGGAGGGCGTTGGTGACCTTCTTTGGTCCTCCGCAGGGTTTGGTCTACTACGACGTGGATCAATACGGCGTGAAGATCCAGCTCACGACCACCAGCGTGTTCTCCGCGATCCAAGGCGCACAAGCAGCAACGATCCCCTACAAACATTCAGAGAACATCGTCGAACGCATGGCTCGGGTATGTTTCTTCGCTCATATTATCATCCTTCAATCTGACGTAGGTGGCAGTACCTGAACGGCAAGTTGACTTCCATCGAGTCGTCTGTGCTGCTGTACCCTTGGCGCACGTTGTCCTTCATTGTTCTCGGTATACTTGTCGTAGTTTTCCTTGCACGACGGCTCTTCAGCTCAGACGTTGATGCAGGCCATGGGGTTTATCGCAAATCGGACAGGCTAGATTAGCATTTATATATATATCGTTTGCCGTCGTGACATCGTCATGTTCTAGGATAATCCGTAGTACTTTTCGTCCGTATTAGCCAGGTGATACAGTATCAGCGCAGTTGACTATGCTACAATGGATGGATGGGACGACAGATGCAGCATACATGAACACAACCCGAATGCAAGCGCCCTTTCAACATTCAGCACCTCACTCAGGCTCAGCCCAAGGAGACACCGAATCGTCGAGGAGGATACCACTAATGCGATTCAACACGGCCGGGGGGAATTGTCTAATACAATCAAAATCAGCTCGGAGCCGTCTCCGGGAGCAAAGTGATGACGAACCTTGCCTGCGCTCGGTCAAGGAGCGCGATGGCCTTATCCCGGTTGCGGTGACCCAGTTCTGCCCGCACCATGGCCTCCCAAGTCGAGGGCTATCCTTATATCAGCGTGAGTCTAAAGAAAACAACTTTCATTGACATACCTCACGATATACTGGCGCGTCAACGGGGACCTGTGAGATGTCACTGCTTTGTGCATCATGGGGAGCGTGGTTGTGCGGAGCTGCAATGCCTTCAGGTGGATCAGCCAGGCTATCGAAGATTTCTCTCGAGCGTTCGATGTCCCCCGCTGACGCATAGGCTTTTATGAGCAGATTGGCGATGTAGGCCGTCATGTGAATCCCGTAAGTCCTCAACTGCGACACGTAGCCTGGTATGAGGTCCACGCGGCGGTGGGCAGCCAAAACGTTGATCAGCGATTCAAAGACAACTGCATCCGGCAGCTGGGCGCCCGACTGACGCGTAGAGGGATGGGAGGCGACCGAGTCGAACAAAGCGAGAGCGCGGTCCAGATCCTTCTGCACGCATCCGACGGAATGGATGAAGGAGGCCCAGTGGGTGCCCTGTATGAGCGGTTTACGTCCGGACGTGATCTCGCCGAAGACCCGTTCCATGGCAGCTGAATCAACAGGTTCAATGGAACCGTACGCGTCCAACAAAAGCTACAATGCGGAAGCATGAGCATCGGCGTCGACGATCGAGAGCCTGAACTAACCTTGTACGTATGCGCACTAGGCTTGACTCTTGCAGCGACCAGCTGGTCGAAATAATGAAGGGCGCGGGCACGATCGGGCCTCGTACTTGTGTACAACTGCATCATTGTATTGTAGGGAGGGACGCGTGGCCTGAAGCTAGGTTGAGCAGCCATCTCCGTGAACAACGTCTCTGCAGACGCGACATCGCCTACCCGGCAGCAAGCTGCGATGACTGCGCCGTAGGTCACCGACGAAGGGTGGATAGCACTGGCCTTCATCTCTTTGAACAGGGCAATGGCATCGTCGGCTTTGCGCGCCTTCGCGAGCTTGGAGATCATGGTGTTATACATGAAGACGTTAGGGATAACACCACGCTCGCGCGATTCGCGGTAAAGTGCGATGGCGCTGGAAGCGTCATCCGTCGTGTCCTTGACATTGTGAATCAGTGCACCATACGCGTCGGCAGTGGGCACTCCCCCGTGTTCAATGATGCGGGCCCGATGAACGTGAGCGGCGTCCAACTCGCCACCGTGGGCGAGAGCAATGACCATGCTGTCTTCGACAAGGAACCAAGCGTACGACTGTTCTTCCTTGTTGTGTTCGTATGTCTGCAAGACAAGCTGAGCGCTGTCATACAATGTTCGCACCTTTTCTATCTCGCGATCGCGACCAAGGGTGGTTATCAGGCGAGACAAGACAACTGGGTAAGGGTAGACGTTCCGCGCGCGCCCGGCTTCGAACCGTTGATAGGCGACGGCTGGAGATATACGTGCATTGGGGATTGGCCAAAACTCTGAGACAAATGCGCTGTGAGAGTGTTGCACCTTGGCCAACGGAGGGGCAGGAGAATCTTCGCTTGGCGGGGCAAGCTCGACGAGATTATTGCGGTTGGCGTCCTTGCTTGCCACAAGATTGAGGATGTGCTCCGCCTCAGGGTCATAACGGTGCATGGTTTCGGATGCGTGAGACTCGTTCCGCTGGTCACGCAGCCGGGTGAACAGCCGGATACGGCTATGCGTCGGAAGGCTTGTCAACTTCATGCCTATACGTTCCATATCACCGAGAACGTCCTCGACTGCGACGATGCCTTCGACTTCGGGGACAACAAAGGCCACGAATGTCCAATCGTCCAATGTCAGATGACGCAGTTCATCAGCGTTGGACCGAGCTGCTGCGTAGGCCTGCAGGCTCCATGCTGCCACATCAGCCGGAATAGCCTCTCGTATAACCCAGAAGAGTCTGCCGAGACCAATCACCTCCTGCAAGGATAGCTTCCCGTCGGTCTCCGTGCAACAACGTCGACAGAACCCGAGTACCAAGTCACGGACAGCTTTCCGCCTCGAAGTCACTTCCTCGGAGAGCGCACCGCGCTCCTGACCCTCAAACGCAACGTAGGAGAGCACCAAGCGGCATGCTTCCTTCGCTCTTCCCTTGGATAAAAGCAGATGCGGAAGGGCAACGCATAGTTCACGCGGTTTGTCGTCGTTCACCAGACACCGAAGAACTGCAGGTCCATAACGTGCAATCACAGTAGACATTGCATCTGTGATCGAGACGACCTGAGCTTCCTCGAGGTTCGGATGCAGCGAGAGATGGCGGAAGTACGTCTGAAGTACCAGGTAAATGTCGTTTCTGTGGAGCATCAGGTTGTCCTGATCAGCAAGCCGCTCGAAGGATGCCATGACCCTCATGAGGTCATCGATTCGGCCATCCAGACAAACGGCTTCGATGATGCTCGCCCACGTGGAGGAGTTTGGCCTGCAAGGGCTCACCGACGCGTCGTCAGGCGAACGGGGAGCGACGTCTTGCAGCAAGAGCCTGTCGAACCACGCCAGAGCCGTGCCGATCTCGCCGGATTGACAGAACGATGCGATCAGGCGGTGGAAAGTGCCCGGAGAAGGAGGAGGAACGTCGGCAACGTCGAATGCTTCGCCAGCCTTGGTGTCAAGCATCTGCTCCAGTAAACCGAGGGCAGCCGTGTGTTGCCCACTCCGTACATACGCCTCGAGCATGGCGTTCCAGACGTTGATACGAGTGAGGCGCAGTAGACGGTGAGTTTCTTCCGCGCTGCCTTCAATATCCAGCACGGCGCCGATTCTTCCAGATTTGCACGCCTGCCTAAATTCTTCGAATACGTCCTTCGCACTCTGCCAGTCCGCGACTGCGGTGTACACGGACATGAGTAGGTGGAAGGTACGCGCAGTAGGAAGGATATCCCTGCGGCGTTCGAGGTGGGCGAAAACGTGGATAGCGGCGTCGACGTTCGCGTGGTTGGCACAGGATTCGAGAAGACCATGATAGATAACCCGGGGCATTTTCGTGTGCGGAATAGCACATGCTGTCTGGAATAGCGTCATGGCGGGGCGAAGATTGTTTTCAGCGCGTAGGTTCGAGATGCGTTTCCGGTCTGCAATGGACTCTGTGCCGCCGAGGGTCGTCTGCCAACGTACATTCCTCTCAAGACGTTGCAATGCCTCCTGTACATCACGGTCGCGCTCCGTGAACGCCTGTATAAGAGTGGTGTACGTCTTGAAGTTCGGGGCGATAGAGCGGGCCAGCATTGCATTGTAGAGCTCGAGGACGTACCGTAGGGATTGGTGAGGAGAACGGACTGCCCGCAAGGACGACAGCGCTGCATTGTACAGTTGGACGGAGGGTCGAGTCGCACGAGAGTGCATGCTCTCAACGAGGTCATGCACCTTCTGCGCGTCCTTGTTCTGAGCAGCGTGCTCGAAAGCCTTGTAATCTGCGGTCTCATTGGTAGGCGCCTCCTCCACGTCCTCGGGAGGTGGTGTGGGCAAGGATGAAGCTGGAGAGGGTGGCCTGGAATACGAGGCGTCCGAATGCTGTAAGCTGGCTGAGGAAGAGGGCGGAGACTCGACATCGAGGTAGTCGCTGACGGTCTGAACGTTAGAGGCTGTGGAATACGGGCGAGCGGTTACATCTCGGGCAGATAGCCTGTGAAGGAGCAGGGCGGTCGCTTGTGTCGACAATCCAGCGTTGGTTGAGGAGGTCTCGACGACGACCTGTCCGCCAAAGGGTCGGTTAGACTTTGTGTGAGACTGTACTGTCCGGACGACGGTGAGACCTGCACGAGACCGGGCGCGAGGTGGTAGGGAAGAACCATGACTCTTGGGAGAGTGAGCACCGCGACGAAGGCCGGGAGGGATATCGTCCGAATCATCGCCAGCGGACTGGCTGAGGTCATTCACAGAGATGGTTTCGGCCTGGGTCACAGCCCTGCCAGCACCCTGAGGGATAAGCTCAGTTGAGTGGGACAGCTTCGAAAGATGATTGCACGACGCACCGTGTATCCAGCATATGAACGACCGCCGGGATGAAATTTAGCGCCGCCAGAGCCAGCACCGCGACCATTCCAATTCGAGTGGGAGGAAGATGCACCATTCCAGCCGCCGAAGTTGCCAGATGCGGTGGACGGTGTGGAGGACGACTGCAATTGGAGGACATTGCGGATGGTGTGGCCGGTCTGGTTCTGCGCGACGGATATGGCACGCGCGGTGTGGTGCAGAAGATGATTTGCGACCTTGGGCAGCATGATGGCGTCGGGTGACGGCCTCAGCGAGAGGCCTAAGCTCAGGGCACGGCTGCAGGGCGGGGGTGGGACGAAGACGACGGCGGCAGCGACGAGGCGACGGCAGCGACGACGCTTTACTTATGGCCGCGCTTTGACTCTGCGGGCGATCGCTGCCGGCCCGCGTGGCTCCCCGGCTTTTTCTCTCTTCTCCCGGCGCGACCCGCATCACGTGCACTGGCGTCTCACCGCGTTGACTTGATCCTCCCCGTCGCCGCCGCCCTCATCGTCCCCGTCGTCGTCCCCCACCATGAAGCTCGTAAGGTGTGTGTTGCGTCCTGCATAGGTACCGCCGTTTGACAAGGCGATAGATTCCTGATGAAACTGAACAATGAGACGGTCACGGTCGAGCTCAAGAACGGCTCCATCGTCCACGGCACGATCACAGGTACGCGTTTTCCTTCTCGTCCGCTCGTCTCCAGTTCAAACCAAGAGCAGGCGTGGACATGCAAATGAACACTCATCTCAAGACCGTCAAAATGACCGCCCGCAACCGCGAGCCTACGTCCTTGGATTCACTCTCCATTCGCGGGAACAACATTCGCTACTTCGTCCTCCCCGACGCCCTTCCTCTCGACACCTTGCTCGTCGATGACGCCCCGAAACCGAAGAACAGGAAAAAGGACGAGGCGCGAGGCCGCGGTCGTGGACGAGGGGTCGAGCGCGGTCGTGGGCGTGGAAGGGGGAGGGGCAGAGGGAGGGGCTTCTGATCAAACACTTTCTCATCATCGTCGTCGCACGTCGTTCTACGGTCTGTATTCCCTACTACTCTTGTGCATTAGGTGTGTATCCGATGGCGTCCGATCCTTCAGTCGAAGCGATTGTGAACACGTCTAACAGGTCGGCGAACGATCCGCCGTCATGTTCACCCTAAGTTGCGTTGACTTGCAACTCTCCGGCACTTCTTTATGGCTGGGCTTGCACAACGAGAATCATAACTGACTGCAAGGAAACTATTATCATGGCCAGACAATGAGTTGCATAGTGACTGTCCTTGTCTCACTGGGGGGGATGGCCCAGCAGGCAACACTGAAACATTAGCATTGTTCAAAGTTTGTGTACAGGCATGGGATGGATCATGGCATACTATTTTGGACCAGTCAGTCAGCAGCCCCTAGAAGTCAGCACCCTGGGCATATCTCGGGCTGCGCTGACTGTATCTCCATGAAACATTTTCTGCACAATGTATTGAGTCTATACCACCCCTGAGACCATCATTCCAGTGATAAATGAGCTATAGAATGAAATCTCTGCTGCTGGCAGATGTCACACTTTCAGCCACCAGCCGAAGTCGGCCATGGCAGAGCCTGAACTCTTGCCTCTGAGCAGCCACCGATGTGCCGCAACCTGTGCACATCCTGTTACGCAAAGCTGGGCAAGTGGAACACTACAAGCCACAAGCTTTACAAGGCTACTAACTTCAAGAGGAGTTCTGTTTCTTAGACCTAGGAAGGACACAAGTCCCTTTGTCCTGGTCGAGTTCCGAAGCGGTAGCAGTATGAGAAAGCTAGCGTTGATTGCTAACCAGGTCGAACTGAAGAGTCCGACCCCTACTGTACACGTATATATACAAGAGAAACAATCTGAGTCAGATAGTACAGTAAGCATGAGTCAGGATGTGTCATCCCTGACGAAGGAAGTGGTAATCATGATGGAGAAAGGAGTCAGCAAGAGTCAGCTATCACATGGTAGTCTGGGTGCGGTAGAGTACATAACCGGTCCCTGTGCACGCGAGGTGGTTAGAGATACAAAGTAAAAGAAAATGAAATGTACGTAACATGGCGCCTGGTAACATAAGCCCCTTCCTATGGTCAACATCCGCGTTGACCTCTAAGCTTCAGGATCCTGTTTGTCTCCACTGTCATTCCCGTCCGCGTAAAGATCATTGAGATCATTATCGAAGTGCCAGGGAGAGGATTGTTGGCTTGCCGGTTGGTCATCCGAGCTAGAACTCTCATTCGACTTGGCGAGTATTGTGAGAGATCCAACGTGAGGAGCGTCCATCGACACCCGATTGGCACGATATCGATAGATGGCGGCATCGCGGTTTTGAGTAAGGACGGCTGGTGGGACTTCCGACGGGGTGAGGAAGGTTCGGTTGGGATCGTTGTTGTTGATACCGACGGAATATCCGACCACTTCCCCATCAGGACCGTAGACAACCTGCAGAATTCATCAACCGAAGATCTGATTGACGAGTTCCTCTGCACGAGAGGATGGTGCGTTTGTTACGATCGACGATGATGAGCCCTTAGCTCACCTACCCACCGAAAACGCGATCTACGGTCGATACGACGGTATACTAAGTCAGTACAGTCGACGCGCTACCCATCCGTTCGAGGGAACCACCTGATGTTCGAAGCTCAAGCATCCGTGTTCGGGACCCTTAGTGGCGAAGTTACACGGTTTAGAAGAGTCACTACATTGGTAGGACTACGGACAAGTACACGGCTAGGTCAAACTAACTAGTGACGGCCTCGGCAACTCTTGTATCTATGTCCTTGACTCCCACACCCATGTCCACCACCCCTACCCCTACGAACAGACGGGCCGGCGTCGAAGCCACGGTCGGTGTTGATGTGTTCGAGCAGGCTTTCGAGCAATCCGACGAGGGTGCCGTGCGTGCGGCGCTGGTCGACAGCGATGTTGTGAATCGCCCGACCCATGGACTCGAGGTTGTCGGGCAGCTGGCGGAAGTCGGAAAGGATCAACGACTCGCGCTGATACTGCGGGTTCGCGAGAGGACGACATTCGGCCTGGTTGGTCTGTTTGAGCAGTACCAAGGTCTCGGACCATGTGATCGTAGGGTAGGCCGATCCTAGGATGTCTCCCTGGTTGCCATCGCGGTGGAAGACCTCGTCGAGGTAACACATCAACTCGTCGATCTCGGGGAACGACCTAGGAGCAGGAAGCGTATTGTTCGCCAGCATGATGGCCCGGCTGCGGGACTCGAACAAGAATCGCTGTTCGAAGGTCGGTTCGATGGTTTGAAAGATAGTCTAAGTTCGGAGGCACGTACGATCATCCAACGGACTCCGTGGGCCCAAGCCAGCCACTCTCCGGGACTGTTGGCATCGTATCGCGGCTCGACAAGTCCCTCGGTCTTGAGGACCTCTAGGAGGCGATAGTAGCGGGCAGCATACACTTCGGAAGTTGGGTCGAGGTGCGGCATGTTCGTGTAAGTCAGGCGAACTCCTGCGGCTGTCTCATATCTTCGAGGACTGTCACCAGCTCCGGTTATGACCTTCGCCGTTCGGGGACGGTCGCCCGTTATGCGGAACCTGCAGAAGGCCGAGTTGGGTTCTCTCATGTGTTAGTAGGTCCGGGTCGAGCGTTGTGACATTCTCCGATTGGTTGTTTTCCTTATCACTCTCCTTCATCATTTCTTGGATTTCCCTTGGCTCTCTTGGTCTTCGGACCGTATTTTCCTGTATATACCTGGGGACTTGTTCCCTTCGAATCTCAGAGACCCCTTACCCTCTCAGTCTCACCTCGCACCGGCGAGGTTCGTCAGTCAGCCAGTACGTTCGAAGTCAGCAAGTTCACCAGTCAGTCAGTACGTTCGAAGTCAGTCAGTCAGTTCGCCAGTACATTCGCCAGCTCGTAGTTGCCCCGAGAGGCTCTACACTTCTTCTCCTGCCGTTGCTCGCCTTCCTTGTCACCGTTCGTTCGACACGCCTGTCGAAACCCTCCCACCTACCTTCGAGGCTTAGCCCTCGTCTTCGAACAGTCTTCGACATCTTCGAAGCCCTCCTGCGTCGTTCGGAGTCTTGTCCGTCCTCCTCCTTCTTACCTAGACCACTGTACAGTCCCCCGTACATCTCATAGACGCAGAGGCCTCGCATACCACTGCTGGACCTCACGGTTGGGTTTTTGTGTGGCTTTTGTGTTCTTTTCGGTCGCGTCAACGAGGATGCGCGTGGTCCCTCCTCACGTTGCTGAGTGAGCAGCTGAGCTTCGAGCGAGAGGAAACCGTCGGTGTTTATGGATGACAAAGAGGATGTTCTAGGCGTTGGTGCGACGGGATGATCTTCTTCGGAGTACAATGTGTTGAACAAGGAGTGGTGTGGCGTAGCTGAAGGCAAAACTACAAAGGAGCAAACAAAGGACTGTAAGAACAGAGGACTTACAACAGATCTCAAAGCTACTGAGAGGGAAGACCCAGGAGGCGTAGAATGAGAGGAGAGATCGTTACATTACAGGGGCATCCAGCCCAGTATATATACACATGAGAGAGCCATCACATGATTGTACAGTAAGCGTAGTAGCATGACATCGTAATGGTGCAATGAGCAATGATGCGATGATTGCACCATGGATAGAACGTACTGGAAAGGACTGGACAGGACCGGAAGGGAATCTGGACAGTCCTAGAACATGATACATCAGGAAAAACACTTTGAGCGCCCAAGCGCTTGGTGATTTTCCAAATCCGCCACAACTACCAAAAGTACTTCCATTGTGATTCCTGAGCAAAACACTGCTTGCAGAGTAGCTGTAAAGTACTTGTAATATTTATAGACACATCGAAAGTGATTATACGGCCTTCATCAAATTCACAAGCATTGAGAATACTTTGTGGTTTAGAGCGTTAACTTTGTCAGTGCGTTGAAGATGCCAACACTTGTACCAGCAAATCCGCCAACACGCACATTCAAATCAACCCCTCTGTTTTTGCAGCTCTTCACACAAATTCTCTCGTGAGGTACAGAAAATATAGCATTCAAGTTGTCTACACATGCTATCAACACTGGGGCAAGTGTGACGAGGCGAGTGTCATCATGGCGATTGAGAGGGTGGTCACTGGCATACGAGCCTACTGAGTGGGAAATCACGTTTCGAACGGTCCACCCGGAGTGCATTTGGCCCGTTTCTAACGGTGTACCCGGGCTCGGCCGGAGCACTCCGGGTCTACCGTTTGGAGCGGCCGCCGCCAGCAACGAACCGGCCGGAGGAAGGGTGGTGGTTTGGATTGGTCCGGCCGGAGTGTTGGGTAACGTTCCGGCCGGAGCTCTGGTGAACGTACCGGCCGGAGGCCTTGAGAAATATGGGTTTCCTACGGTCCGGCCGGACTGTTATCGAACATTCCGGCCGGACCCCTGGTCAACGGTCCGGCCGGAGGCCTCGAAAAATTTACGTTTCCTACGGTCCGGCTGGACATATACCCAACGTTCCGGCCGGACCTTTGATCAGTGTCCCGGCCGGAGGCCTTGAAAATTTGGGCTCTCAACGGTCCGGCCAGGCTCATCACTAACGGTCCGGCCGGAGCACTCAGCAATGATTCAGCCTGGCCGGGGGTTGGTTTTGGACGTCTGGCCGGCCCCCAGGTGAAACGGTCCGGCCGGGCAAAATCCCAACTTCCAATGTGAACAGGCCAGCCAGAAGCCTTGCAAAGTCTGGGCTATAAATGGTCTGGCCGGGCTAGTTTCTAACCATCCAGCCGGACCCCAGATGAACCAACCGGCCAGGCTTCTCCCAAACCAGCCAGACCCCTCAGAATTGATACACTAGTAATATAACAACAAGAATTGTTAGTTGTAACAACCAAGCACAATATTTAACCACCAAGCCCAGAGATGAGCCACCAAGCTTGGTATCAAACCACCGAGCTCAATAGTGAGCCACTGAGCACAGTATTGAACCACCGAGGTTAAACAGCTAGGCTCGGTGGCCGAGAAAAATTGGCCGGGCTCGGCGCCGAGGATAAATGGCCGAGGCTCGGGCCGAGGTTTCGAGCGCCGAGCTCGGTGAAAACCGCCGAGGTCAGTATCAAAGCATTGAGCTCAGTGTTAAGGGGCCCAGTTAAAGGGCCGAGCTGAGTGTTCAATGACCGAGTTTGTTGTTGAAGCACTGAGCTCGGAAATGGCCGAGGTTAAACCACCGAGCTCGGTGAAAAACGGCCGGGCCGTCAGATTGCCATATAAGGAAATTTGGTATCATCTGGTAGCCCTTCATTCACAGAGTACAGTATATGTTCCCTAGTGTACAGAGATGCATAGTTAGGTCAGAGAATACAAAATAAAATATGCTCACAGGCTTCTCTGAGAACATACTATTCAACTCCTGAGGCCAGTTTTCTTTTCCCACAATGTTTGACTATC